CAGATCCAAGAGATAGTTGAGCAAGAGGAGGTAGAAGCACAAATAATAGAGCAGATGCCGAAGCCTTCAAAGCGTGCTAGCAGGTGTAGCAAGTGTGGTACATTAGGCCATAACTCTAGAACATGTAAAGTAGAGTAGCCAGTATTGATATATAACATATCTGAGTTTCAGAGCAATTTATTAAGTATTCGTTGAGATAATCAATATTGAAGGTGGTTCATGTTGAAATTGGTGGCCACGCCCTGGGGGTGGCCACGCCCTGGTGCTTGGCGTTATATATTCTAGCACTCCTAATAGTAAATGGAATTGTGATTGTGCAAGCGCATCGCATTAGTCATCGGGTCACTCCGTCCAATCTAACCAATCCCCATACATATCGTGTCGACCTGAGCCGGATCAGGAGCACTCACACATCAACCTTTGACAACATATGACAGCAAGCGTGGAAACAAGAGCATCAACAAAAAGAGGAAAGTGTGTTTTCATCCATGCTACATGCATGCCCTATGACATCCCCGAAACAAAACAAATGAGGTCAAACAATAACGCTCAGAAAAATGCCTCCAGGCGAACCCCTGAAATATGAAACTCAAAAACACGTGAGGTAAATCTCGGATGATGGGGGAATAAGTAAAAGCAGGCCCAAAAAATGAACTGAAATGCAAAAGAATTCAAGGAAATCCAGAAATCAAAGATCATCTCTCCACCCGCCTCAAAAACACCGGGACATCCGTCAGATCCACTCCAAATCCATCACTCATAACCACACTCCTTCGATTCGCCGGCAATCCAGTCATCTTCGCTTCTCCGCGAGCATCCCTACTCTCGCCTCGACCATGTCTCTGTCCGGTGGTGGTAGGACCAGCCGAAACTTTAGTGGGAGAACTCGTCCCCGCTGAGCCCGTAAAACCTTGTTCCCGATCCCAGCCGTATTGGAACCCACCGCTGAATCGGTGGTCCATGGCCAACGCAGCGGTTGCCGCGGAGGCCATGGAGGCGGTTGTCATGGGGCCTGGACCAGCGTGGTCATTTGCGGATGACGCCGAGGCAGCGAGGTCGTCGATGGAGGGTTGATGTTGATGGCGGGAGACAGGGGCGGTGGGAGCGAAACGTTGGGTGCCATTCTGGAAAGGTTGAGATGTTTGAGATTGCTGTTGACGTTCGCGTTCCATGGTCATGCCCAGCGGAGAACTCCCCAGCGGCGAGATCGAGCTAGAGCTAGGTCCGCTCATGCCGTTGTTGTTGCTGCCGAAAGATCCAAGATTGGTGACTACCGGCGGGAGACCTGAGCGGGCGAGTTGTTCGGCCAGGAGAGGGACTTTGGCGCGGGCGTGAGGTCCACCAGGAGGGGAGGGTGCGGCGAAGGCGGGCGGTGGAAGGGGAGCGGGATGGTGGGCGGAGCGGATCATGAGAGCTGCAGCGGAGGTCTTAGCAGCAACTTTGGCGCGGAACCGGTCAGCCTGAAAGCTACTACTGTTGGCAACGTTCGTGGACTGAGGAGAGGAGGGGATGGGTGCTGCCAGAGAAGGCGGAGGGACGTAGTTATTGCTGTTGTTGTTACCCAATGATCGATTCGAGGTGGTGTGGGTGTGATGTGGGCCTTGGTGAGAATTATAATTATTGCTGTTCGTGGTTGCATTGCTGTTCGTGTGGAAGTGGTTGTAGCCAGTACTGTTATTGCCACCAGCTGCACTCGCAGAAGAATTCATGGTCGTGCGACTAGTCGTCCCGGATGTGTTGGAGAAAGCAGAAGACGTCGTGGCAGAAGAAGTCGAAGACTGAGCACTGTCAGCACGAACCGGCTGCCCTCGGTGCTGCTGCTGTTGATAATGCTGCGTTCGAGGATCACCACGATCCGCGTTCCCGCTCTGCACGGTAACGAATGTAGAGCTAGTCATCGTGCCCTTTTCAGAATGTGATGAAGGGGTTTCATCGAAACGAGAATCATAAGAATACTTTTGCTGATGTTGCCTCTGCTGCTGTGGGGCAGGTTTAGCCTGGTGCTGAGGGAAATCGAGCGGCAATCTATCCGGCTGCATGGACAGCGGCAGTGGTGAAGGCGGATGAGCACGAAGTCCACCACCATTGCTAAGCGCCAGGTAGGTGGATTGTGCCATGATGCGATTCGAATTTGCGGGCGGAGGTTGAGGGAATTGCGCGGAAATCTCGCTGAGCTCGTCAGCCGGAGTGGATCCGGTAGTCGAAGAGGTCGTGGGCCGGTGCAGCGGCGTCATGGGGAATGACAGAGCTATTTCTTGTCCGAGCTGCAAGCTATTCGGTAGCGGCGAGGCAGAGAGTTGCGTGGAAGGCGACGAGGATGAGAGCACAGATGCCGGTGTATACTCCCTCTGTCGACGGTGAGAGTCATCCGAGAGGTTCATCAACATCATCATATTCTGCGTCTTGGCCGCCGCGGCAGCCGTATTCGTAGTCGATGGCAATGAAGGCATGGTTGCACTCTTCGGAATTGAAGCGGTCGTCGTACCCATCGAAGAGCCAGTGTCGACTCTCCTGAGTTGGGCTCCGTCCTCGTTAGCATCGCCATCAACTCCTACACCCAGAGCTTCCAGGTTCTTCTTCCGCATCATCTTGACCTGTGCCTCCCAGCCACCCTTACCACGGGGCTTTCCCGTCGAAGTCACAGATCCGTCCAGCGACGAGAATTCCACGGGCGTATCAGCTTTCGCGCTATCCATATTTCGAACATGGTCGCGTCGATCATCCATGGATGTGCGCAAAGCCGCAAGAACAGGAGATGTTGAAGCCGAGAGGGCATCATAACCAATACCGAGTCCCGCGACGGGCGATAACGAATTTTCGGGAGCATTGCGACCGGCAGCAGCAAGATCCCGAGCCTGTTTATCCTCTTCCGCTCGACGTTGTTGCAGCAGACGTTTCGCCTCGAGCACTTTCGCGGAGACCACCGGGAAGTCTTCAAGGGTGGGTACTGGAGCAGGAGCAGGCGAGCTAGGTCCTCTAGGCCTTCCACCACCCTCGCGTTGGATCCTCGATGAAGACGCATCCTCTGCGTGCGATGTCTTGGGGCGCCCAGAGTCATTCGTAGCATTACGCTGAGAAGTCGGTTGGGGACCGGGTGTTGATGGCCACATGCCACTGCGATCCTGGAAAGTGCTATATCCACCATTCATCATCGAGGCGGTGCTGCGGAGACGAGGATCGGCAGGCGGGAACAAGGGCGACGGGAGTGGAGGCGCAATATCCCTCGACGCGCCCACTGTAAGAGTCCGATCGAGCATTTCCGAGGCGGAAAGATTGCTATTGCTTCGCTGTTGTTCCTGAGGCCGTTGTGTTGGTCGATGTTGTGATGTGTGGTCAAAGGAGGTCGTCGACCGTACAGCATCGCCTGATAGATTGAGTGACAGAGTTGGGGGATACTGCGAACCGGCCGTCCTGGGACGGACCGCAGATTGAGACGACGAAGAGTTGTTCTGCGCATTTTGATTAGTAGTTGACGACGTTGCAGCATTTGCCGGCAGAGCATTCGTGTCCTTCCGATTCCATGGTAAACGGTCCCTCGCGCTGTTACCGCTTTTGCCGCTACCCGTTGAATCGGTGCGATCGCGTACGACGAACTCCGGCCGTGGCAAGCTCTCTGCATCATTATACTTGTCAAGGTTCGGCAATGACGGGAAAGACGCCGCAGCGGCAGCAGCATCTGCTCTTTTGGCCTCAGCTTCCGCAGCCTGACGAGCGCGAGATTTACTGCGCAAGCGAGCAAAGGACCACGAGGATGATCCGCCCTTGCGATCACCAGCGCTATCCGACGCATCATGCGGGGAGTAATCGCGGCCTGTGGTAGCAGTGGTTGCCGTCGTCTTGGAAGAAGCATCGCTTTTCCGACCTCGAGAAGCCTTGCCGTTTATCCCACGTGCAGTCTTCGAGGAGGCAGTCGTGGCAGTGGTAGCCGTCGTGGAAGAGGATACTGATTTGGAATGGTTTGAGTACGTATCCTTGTGCGGCGGCTCCGCGGGAATAACAATGTTGTGGTCGTTTGATGGAAGCGCAACGGGGGCAAAGGACATTTCGGAGCCGTTCACAACAACACGCGAGCTATCTTGTAGCTGTTGTTCGAAGAGGCGGGAGTGGCGATTGAGGCTTGCGACTGCTCCTGCTGGCGGCGCCGCTGGTTCCAACGCAGCCGCTTCTCGCGCGGCCGCATCAGCTTTCTCTTGCTCTTCGCGCTGCTTCCGGATCACAGAGAGCGGCATTGGCTTCTGTAATTTCCTACGGTCCCCGAAATTACTGTCTTGTGTACTTGCATCGCTCGTGATTGACAAATTGTCGTTCAATGCTGTGGGTGATGTCTGTGATGAGGGCGCGGATGGCGCCAGGGCCGGTGTGGGTGCTCCAGGAGGAGCGGTCAAGAAGTCCTTGAACGATTTTCGCTGATCGTCAGCTATGGAAGAGCGGTATTTGTGTTGAGTCGTGGACGCCGAGGCGGGTGCAATGACAAGGGCCGCATTCGTTGGATCCGCGGGCTGCAGCCGTGGCAGGGTGGGGGTCGTATTGTCGTCAGACCGGAGGCCACCAGGGGATCTCGGAGCCGACTCCGAATCTTTCCGTTCGTTTGGAAACGACATCTCGTAGCTACTGTAACCACTATCTGAGGCGGAGGGCGCCTGTTGACGCGTGAAGCTCTGGCGGGTGGCTTCCGTTGCAGTTGACCGTAGCGATTTCGGCTCATTGGCAGAGGAGTCGGAGGGTGAAGGAGAAGCTGGGACCTGCGATTGCTGCAAAAGCATGCTGGGTCGAACGACCATTGCACCCGTCAATCGTGATAGCGCAACAGTCCGTGCGTCACGATGTATGATCTCTGCTTCGCCATATTCCGTACCATCTACTGACTCGCCCACTGTGCTGATCGACATTGGGGTTAGAGGTGTCCCTGGCCCTCGCGAGTCGCTCAGATATGATGCACTGTTAAGCGGACGATCGGCGTAGGAGGCAAGGTTGTTCGTGGCTACGGCCGCCTGCAGTGGAAGCTCACTCCGTAGTGACTGGCGGAATGCGAGCATGGAATTCTGAACTTGCGGGGGTTGGTTCTCGCTACCCTCGTTCGGAAAGTTCATCTCATGCGGATGCATGGGCGAAACGGGCGCACTATCGCTTCCGTGTCTACTATCTGATTGCCGATCGAGCCGACTTCGCGGGAATCTTTGCGGTTGTGGACTGATTGATCGATCGCGTGGCAGTGACCTGGAAGGAGATTGTCGTTGTGAATCTATCGAGCCGCCTTGTACACGTTCACCTTGCCAACGATGCTCTTCCTCGCGCGACAATTGCTGTGCTGCCGCATTCGCGTTCCATTGCCGTTCTTCTTCCTGCAGCTTTTGGGCTATAGACGCATCCATTGCACTCTGCTCGTCCCGGCTCGCTGAACGACTTCTATTGTCAGCTCCAGGCGTGTAAGGATCCACTGGCGTCTCGGGAGTCATGGCAGAGTCAATACTGGCAGGTGAATGCGGAGGCTGCGCCAAGGGTCGTTGCGCGAGTTGCGTGGGGAGTTGCCGTGACGGATCTGGAGAAGCAGGCGTCTCGCCATTCGTGATTCGTAAAGATCCATATTGGAATGCTCCGGGAGCGGGTGAAATTAATTCGGGCGTATCGGATCGGGTGACCTCGTGCATGGTAGGCAGACGAAAAAAGTCGGGAGAATATAGACCACCACCACCTCTACTCTTGTCGCCATCTCCGCGTCGATTCCGTCTCCGAGCAGTCGCAGGTACCGGTTTCAATAGAAACTCACTCGAAGGTTTGCGCAAAACGTCATCGTCGTCGCTGGGTCGCGTGGCAAGGCCCGGTACGCCAAGAGCACTCTGGCGCGACCGAGGAGCCGGTCCAGGTATATCCAGTGCGTCAGCAGGGAACATGGGTGTGACGGGAGTGATGACATCCTTGGTAGGAAGGAGCGCGCGATGTAACGCGACTAATTGTTCCGGTGAGGCGGTCTTTTTCAATTGCTCTAGCAAATTGATGGCCTGTTCCACATCCAGTTGACTCGGACCCTCGGCGACCGTAGCGAGTCGTGAAGGCTCAACAATAGTCGGCATAGGTGTTGCGGATAAGGTAGGAGCCGTCCGACTTCTCGGGAGGTTACCGCGGAGATTGCTCTCTGGGTGGAGGAAGGAATTCGTGCTAGATGTTTCTGTGACAGCAGAGGCCGGGATAGGCGAAGTCGGCTCATCATCCAAGGGTTCTGCATTGTCAATGAACGCGCTGCTGAATTGTTGTCGTAAAGCCTGGCGCGCATCTCGGTTTTTGAGGTCGCTGAAGGTCGTGCGCATGAGCGGAGCCGAGCTGTTCAAAAGTTCGCCTGTGATAGGATCGGTCTCTAGATTGTCCGCCGTTCGTGCTCTCGTCAGACGTATTGACTTGCTCCGCGCAAATGTGGTGGGAGCCATGGCGGCAGGAGACAGCTACAACTAGTAGCTCTGGAACGTGGTATAACTGCGAGTATCTATACCAATGCTACGACGACATTGAGACAACTGAGGCCCTGTCCAGGCAGCGGTTGAGGCTCAAGATCTGTAGGGAAGGATCTGCCGATGCTGTGAAGAGAAGATTCCGGGCAAGGTTATGTGTAGACCGGAAGATGCTATTCCCAGTGTCTGGGTCAATGATGATGCTGCTGACGAAGTCGTGGTCTAGACCATGTCGTCGTTGGGATTATGCGTAGTCGTATTAGATGGTAGTGACGGTGATGGTCTCTCTTTCGAATTCGTGATAGAGTTGCCTCGCCGGGAGGAAAAGCTCAACAGATGTGCGATGAAGACAAGGTGAAGATCGTGCCGGGCATTGGCGATGGGTTCGATGAGACCAGCAGATCGAGGATCGTAAATCGGGATATGAGTCTTAGATCAGCGGGATGGTGATCGCTGGTGAAATGCAATTGTCGCAGATGTTGTGTATCCTGAGATGTATCGCGACAAGAATGTCCTTTGTTCTGTCTTTCCGCGGCTGACAGTGCTGCCGTTTGGCACACTCGCGATCTACCTCTTCCAAAAAGTCCAACCTCTTTCTGAAATCAATCTCTTTCGGCTATGCTCTCTGGGAGTCCCGTGCGCCCGATTCCAATGACAATATCCAGCGAGGCCAACGATCTGTAGGCGCAATAATATAACACACGATAAGGAAGAAGCAGAGGAAGAGTAAGAACAAACACACTGACACACACGTATAGAGAGGACCGCTGGACAAGGTTCACTCCTAGGACAAGACCTGCAGGCCACCGAACGCAAACCCCCCAAAAGTCTCTCCCTCCAGCACGAATGAGGTAAGACGAGAGTGACGGCGGCGGAAGGCAGGCAGGCGGGCTAGACAATCTGCTACACATGTCAAGGGTACCTGAGCCGAACACAACATACAACCGTCGCACGAGGGGAGACAAACCCCGAGCAGCAGCAACATTCTGCAACAAGTAAAGCAAAGTCAAAGCAAGCCACCCTGTACCGAACCAGGGCAACCACGATCTTCGCACACCCGCATGTGGGAAAGTGGGTGAAAAAAGGGTGGGTGTCTATCGTACGCTAACCATGTTTCTCACACGTAGTCAAGAGAGCATTATCCAAGTAGAGTATCATATTAAAGCCACAATCGGTGGGCATTCCTTACTTCGGTACGACGGGTCAGGACTCCGTCGTCGTCGCCGTCGCCGCGCCTCTAGCACAAAGGCGCAATGGGGCCCTCAGATATCCCCTCTCCTTACATGAACGAGAGGTGCAGTGCCAACAGGTACAAATTCAGGAACCAGGGCTGCTTCCTGGAATGCAGTCATGCACGATCCATGCATTGGTCTAAGACCGAGTCATGGAGTAGTGTGAGTGCCCAGGTGTGATGAGAATCGCCCGCCCAGTCAGGGGAGAGAAAGAGGAGTAAGGGAGGTGGGATGCTGGACGCTTGCACCGAAGAAGTGCGGGTGAGGTGGCGTAAGAACAGCCGGACTTAAGCGGGAAGGAATCTCCCGTCCCGCACCCTCTGTCTCATTTGTCTTGTAGTCCACAGTCACCTGCCCATGCATGCATGTACTGTACTGGACTCCGGCTGTTTGTATACCTGCGCCCAGCACCGAACCAGAATAATTCGGAAAATGGCCGACCACTCGGCAGGACAGGACCAACAAAATTCGTTCATTGGTGAGATTCCATCGTCATGGTTTGTAACCATGCACGATCATGGATCTATCTCCTCTTCCAAATCGAGGATGAATCTCGTCTGATTGTTGGTCCTGCAACATTGTTTGGTTGAGGCGAGGTTGTTTTTGTTATCAGCGTTGCATGGCCATACCAGCTCCGTACCGTCTCCCGGGCAAAGTGCAGTACATGCAACCATGCCGATGATGGTCATGATGATGACAGCGGAACCAGACGATTGATAATTTGCTTTGTTCTGCATGGCCTGAAAGGAGACGTGGGGATCTGACAACGGAAGCACACCGACCTCGGAGAAACAGATGAGACAGCAGATGCAGCATCCGACCAGCCTCACGATCTCATCGATTCCGTGCCCCTTCTCCCATTCTGTTTGCTCATCTGGGCTCAGGAGGCCACTAGGTCAAGTCTGTCTGTCCGCGGCTGTTTCAGCCTCAAACTCTATCTGTCTCTCATCTATCTCTCAAGCACATGGATGTTCGGCCAGCCAAGCTTACAGTATTTGGCCGGCCTGAGGAAACCCAGCCTGTCATCAATGCATCGTGTGTGCGCCGGACCGAGACACTTCGGAGCAGACACACAAGAATACCCTCATTGTCTAGCACTTCGATGTCGTGTCATCTATCTTATGACCACATATGAGTGTTACACGGGTTTATCACAATCGGTCGAGCATCATATACACACCCAACAACGATGAATATCTGCTACTGCAGGAACGAAATTTGTGCGCACCTGCAGATTCCCAGCCGAAGTTCCACCATGGCGCCATCACACACCTGGGTCTGGAGTGCAGCAGCTGCTGCATTTCTCGTCGCGCCTCGGTACCGGAGCTCTATTCGCGGTGACACTCGTTTTCTCCTGCCACAGCATCGAGTAGTGCGATAACGACATCGCGGTTTCATCGCTATGTTTGAAGTCCGATGAGGAAATCTGCGACAATCATGTCATAACTCAACCTGAATATGTGTGTAGATAGACAGGCCAAGACACGCTCCACAAGGCAAAAAACAAAGGCCTGCTGCTGCAAGCCATCTCTGTATCACTCGACTGTGTACTGCACACACGCCGAGAAACACAGAGGACTGTAGTCGTGGGCATACAAATGAGACTCCGAGACCAGGACCAAACAGCCGTTGATGAATGTTGATGGATCGTATCGGTTGTTTCCCCGGCCTCTCCTCCCCACGCCTCTTCTGAATGAATCATGATGATCACCACCAACACCATTATTAGTACATTATTACCATGGACGTTTAAACTATCGACTTTCATCATGCTAGCCATCGAAGAAGTGAATCCCTCTAATATTAAATCCACCCTCTCTCAAACTGACCGTTGAAAGAGAGTGTGCCCTGGAAAGAAGATTATTCCGAGAATCCGAACGGAGGAATGAGGGATCTTCGTCATGTTCCTGCCGAGGGACCCTTTTTGGTTTCTGCGTGTCTCTCTCCTCGTGGTTTGTCTAGACCGATACCGATACCTTGTGCGCGCCATTCTCTATGGGTGATGATGAGACCCCCGAGCTCATCGTCATCCCTGTTCACATTCTGATACCTTTCGACTCTCATCCTCGCCGCCGTCAACACCGTGGAGCTCGAACGGCATCCTAGCTCTGACACGGCCGTCTCGGAAAGATTGTGGCTTTCTTGGTTTCTTTTTCCCCGATGACCACCACCATTTCGAACCGATTACACAGAAAAATATCTCACCACATTACCCTGCCCGGGATCGGACAGCTGTGGCAGCTTCTATTTCCTCAGATGCAGATCACAGAGATGTCTGCATAATAATGGCGCACTCGGGCATTCCACATGCTGGCAGGCCACGATCTATTTCCCGGGACCTTGTGAAATACAGATGTTTCATCAAGAAACCTACACAATACATGTGACATGTAGATCAGACGTTCGTTTTCGTGTTTTCTCCTCCTCCTTGTCAACGCAGCACAAATTTTGCTTTCATCCTTCCACTGCAGATGTCATCGCTGTGGTGTCTTGCAAAAGTAATGCAATTCTGTGTATCGTAGCATCTGGCAATTTCGACTAGGATTTTCATTGTGTTGGATATCGCACAGTACTTCACATGTACTGTGCTTTTTACGCGCCTTGTGACATGCTACGCTCACGGCGACGATGCGTGTGCTGTACGCCTTCGTGTAGTAGTCGGACGTCGGATGTATGGTGAGCACGCGACACTCAATTCATTGCTGCCACCTGGGCAGGCGCTGGGAAGCATCTCGAGGTCGCCTTTGTGGCTAGGGTTATCTTGACCTCTCTTGAAGACCTCGATGATCTAAACGTGAGGGGCTGATTCTTGGTTGTTGTGGAGTGAAGCTGTGGATATTGCATGTTGTCCGGCCACTGGTCTTCGAATTTCCAGACGACTGTCAACATGCGAGATACCGTGTCCTGTTGCGAACTCCTTTGGTGATTATGATATCTTCATGATGTTTACCAATCCCCGATTCACGGAATCACGTCTGCCCGAACAGTTACAAGCGGTAGAACAAACAGAACGCTTTTGATCGCTCTACCCTATCGTTCTATAGCCCGGAAGCTGTTCTTTCTGCAATGCTTCGGACTGTTGATCAACAGCGATCGAGTATTCAGATATGTTTCGGATGATCATCCTGTCGTTTGGGTGCTCTTCTCGCGTGGCAGCAGCGATGAAGAGGCGCGATCCGCGAGAGCCGAGCCGAGCTGGCTTCTCGCTCTCTTGTATCCGAACCCTAGCCGTGTCTCATCTCATTTAATTTACTTACATGTACTAGGTTAACCCATATTATTACTAGGAGATGTCTTCGGCCGCCAATCACTCGGATCAATGTACAGTATCTCTCGACAACTTTGTATGAGGACGTGCGAAATAATTACGGATGGATATAATGGAGACGTACAGGCGTTTCTTCATCGGTGGAGGAACAATATCCAATATCCAATATCCCGCCAGGTCCATCGCCGAAAGGACATGGAATCGGATGTCAGCACGGAACCATGTCCGCGCACCAATCATCGGCTTCGCTGCCCGGATTCGGGGGAGGAAGTGTGAGAGCCCAACGGTCACTGGCGGGTGACAATAATGCTGTACCCACTGGGCCATCCTTCAGATATCCTCACTCGGTGATCGTTTAAAACCTCCGAAAGACGATGCCGAAGTCTACGCAACCATCGCATCACTTCGTTCATTCAACGTACATCGCCTTTCGGAGACATCCATGCGCTCGGCCGAGCCCCTTCTCACGATCGTGAAGCCGCAACAATCACGGCGCAACAGTCTTGGACTTCTCCTGATCCTCGGAACCTGCAATTCCGCTCTGCATGGAGAGGAGCGCTCGGCGACAACGAACGCGACCTGGGCCCTCGGCTACGACTACGCAATAATTCTCCAGAACACCGGCGACCGCTCAGGCTGGAAGTGATCCTAGATCTCGAATCGAACATCACCACCCATGCCGCCTTACAGATACCAGGTCGGGCAAGGTGATCAGCGGAACAAGGTATGAACGATCTTCCAGCCAAGACGGGCTCGGTGCAGACAGATTCACTGACGATGCGCTCTCCACAGCTCGCCAGCTCCTACCAGTCACTCCTTTCCGAATTCTCCTCGCCGGAGCTCACCAACGTCGGTAATTACAGCATTGGCAAACTGATCGGCAAGGGCAGCTTCGGCAAGGTCTATCTCGCATCGCATACCCTCACGAATGGCTCCAAAGTCGTATTGAAGAGCGCCAACAAAGACGATGCCAACCTGGCGCGCGAGATCCACCATCATCGCCAATTCCTACATCCGCACATCGCACGACTATATGAGGTGATTGTCACAGAGACTCTGGTGTGGCTAGTGTTGGAATACTGTCCCGGAGATGAGCTATACAACCACCTTCTGAACAATGGCCGTATGGAACCGGCCAAGGTGCAGAAGATATTCACACAATTGGTCGGAGCGGTTTCATATGTCCATGGGAAGAGCTGCGTGCATCGGGACTTGAAATTGGAGAACATCTTGCTAGACAAACATGGCAACGTCAAATTGGTCGATTTCGGTTTCACCAGGGAATACCAGGGCTCGACCAGCTACTTACAAACATGGTGTGGGACCATCTGCTACAGCGCACCCGAGATGATCAAGGGCGAGAAATATGCGGGAGAAAAGGTGGATGTATGGAGTTTGGGCATCATTTTATACGCGCTGCTGTGCGGCGAGCTCCCTTTTGACGACGACGATGATTCAACGACGAAAACGGCCATCTTGAAGACCGATCCGGTCTATCCCGACCATTTGCCTCAACCCGCAGTGGACCTCATCAAAAAGCTGCTTTCCAAACGACCATTACTTCGGCCTTCCCTAGGAGACATCCTGAAAGACCCGTGGCTGGCTGAACATGCGCCGCAGCAGCAGGAAGTGTTGAAGCTCCAACAGCCGCCACCATTCACAACAGACCTAGAAAAGGATGTACTCGAGCGAATGCGGAGTGCTGGAGTAGATATCGACATGGTGATCGAGAACGTTTTATCGCAACGCTGTGATGGCCTGGCGGGCTGGTGGGCGCTGCTGCTCGAAAAGGAGCAACGCAAAGAACGCCGAAGAGAGCGAAAACGACGTGAGCGTGAAGCGGATGCCAAATCTCTCCGTCGCCTCAGTGCAGCTAGCAGTCGCCTTCTTGCACTTGGTGAGATCTACGAGGTGGAAGAAGGCATGGTCCCTCGATCCCCGCGAACAAGAGGTCGACCGCTGAGCAGGAATTATGGTGTAGCCAGTCAAGCACCCGATCTTCCAAGAGTCAATGAACAAAAGTCGCCGCTCGCAGATTCACAAGCGGTAGGCTCATTGGTTGAGCGTACCGAGAGCCATTCAGGAAGTCGTCCGCCTCCGCCTCCGAAAGACTATGCTCCAAATAGTGCTCCCAACTCACGGCCCACGACGGATACCAACGCCAAAGTTGCAGATGCAGCGCCAGCGGCGGCCACGCCTGACCCGAATCTGCTCAGCCCAGAATATGTCCCGCCACCGCAACGGAAACGACCGAAACCTTTGAAAGAGCACCTGGCCTGGGTCAAGGGCCTCTTCAAAGATGGGGCCATCCGCCGAGCAAAGCACGCCAACGACAGCAGCAAGAAGCTTGTTAAGAACGGCACTTTCGCTGCTGGTCAGAATGGAAATGCCGGGGCTTCTCACGGCAACCTGCGCGAATTGCGAAGAATTTCCTCTGCAGGGCCTATGGGCACACCATCTCGCCGGACGAGTTTGTCGAGTCGACAAGGTGACCCCCAGACTCACTCTCGCATCGCCCCACAAAGACCACGCATCAATACCCAGACTTCAAGTAGTAGCAGCATTCCTACTACCGCCAGACTTGTCAAAAGGACTAGTCTCAGTCCCGCCACATCCATTACTCTCCACAACCAATCAGGCTATCCACTTCATCGCCGTCGATCTTCCGTAGGCGCAACGGCTAGTGGTCTTCGTGGTCGGAAATCCACTTCTTCCTCGGTCTCCTCCATACGCACTACCTATCAATCGACATCGACTTCGACCAACGATCGAGGCACCACTACTACAATAATCACCAAAGGCCATAAACACTCTCACTCCAAAGCATCGAGTGCTTCCAGCACCTCCCTTGCTTCTCCCTCGACGACCACCAATGGCGGAGCCTCTTCCGGTCACCGTACTGGACGCTCACCTCATGGCGGATCCTCCTCAAACTCCGTCGTCAAAGTTCTCGCTGCACCAGGAACCCCGACAGCCACAACCTTTCCATCCGGGATCCGCTTCTCGCGCCGCGCGCCCGGTAGCGGCGTCCCGGGATTTGGCGGCGGCGGAGGGCGACCCAAGGATCTCGGCCTGATCCTCCCAAACCTCGCCGCAATCAACTCATTGCACGTCAATCAACTCACCGCCGCCAATGTCAGCCCTGACACCAATGGCCACCCCAGTCCTAAGTCTCAAACCCTCTTCGCAGACTCATCTTCGCAGTATTACCAGAACAACCCGCCCACGTCCCCCGGCCTACCGGTCTTCGCGCGAAGGAAGCGTTCGCTGTTCAAAGGCCCATTGAGCGGCAACAGCGGCTTCGCCAGCGGCGCAGGAGGTTTCGGTGGATTCGGCATCAGCGCGGGAAGCGGTGGTCATGTCGGCGGATCAGCATGGACTGGCAGTGGCGGCGGCTCACCCGGCGGCTTTCCTCGCACCAACGGCAACGCATCGAACGGGAGCACCAACGCCAAGAGTGACCGGAATCCAAGTGTCCAAGGCCGCGCGAGCTCCGACCTCGGCATGCTGGGCGTCATGGAAGAAGAAGAAGACGAAGAAGAAATAGTGGGCCAATGCCCGCCCCCGCAGCCGCAGTCCGCAACCACGCCCGGGGCCGCATCGTCCTTTGAAGGCGGCATCCTCGAAGAAGAAGATGACGATGCGCTGTATGAGGATGTCGAAATCGACCGTTTCGGCCGCTCCGTCATCATCCACGCCGACGGCCACGAGGAAGTCATCACGGAGGAAATCATGGAGGAAGGAGAAGAGGAGGAGGCTGCTCCGGTCTTCGTCACGGCGCCGCCTTCGCTCTCCGGGAGGGATCCTTCGGCATCGTCTACCGCGGCTGCTGCTGCCGCCGCCACCGCTGCCTCAGCACCGGCGGTACCGTCTACCACAGCAGACGACAAACCAAACGATACTGCACCCGCTCATCCACCCGCCAAACTCACAACTACCCTCTCGACTATCATCGCTGCCGCAGCGACTGCGACGACTACAAATGGTGCCGGCGCTTCTACTGGCAGTCGGCCCGGAACGAGTTCAGATAAAGCTGCTTCTACCGCCACTGTGATCGCCACGACGACCGCGACGACGACCATCACCAAGATCGAGGACGGTGTGGCGGGGAAAGCCGAGCAAACTCCTGCTGCTACTGCCGCTGCCGCTCCCGCTCCCGCTGATGTGAAGAATACAGAGGCAAATGGTTCTGGAGCTAGCGGAGAAGGAGAACAGGCAGGGAAGACGTAGTTCCCAAATCCACAACGAAGAAGGAGAATTAGTGGAGGACGGGCGTGAAGGCGACGAGTATGGAAGGAAAGGTGGAGGGAATGGAAATATTGTCATTTACTCACAACGAAGAAGAGGTAGCAGGCCGGAAGGGGAAGAAAGGAAGAGCAAAGCATGATGTTCAACAAATGTATATACCCCCCCCTCGCTTTCGCCCCCCTTTTTCGCGTTTCGCACATGGACATAGTTTCCTTCGTGCCCGGGCGGCATTTCAGCGAGATCTTTTTTTTCCCGAATAAATTCGTTCATCTGTTCTAATGCTCCCGTCTTTTCTCCCTTCATTGTTCTCGTCCGAGACTTCGACGAGGGAGACCGACATGAGGGTTGGAAGAGGAGGCCCTCTGACGAAGCACAAATGTAGAGATTCCTTTTTCACTTTCTTCCATTCTTTTTATCCATAAATACTTTGTGCGAGAAATCAGCTAAAAGATGCGTTACATAAGATGTTTGTTGCAGATTTTTCCAAAGCTGCCACAGGACACGGCGGGAGAACCCCACAATGCACGTGGGATCCTCAATCCAGGAGAGAGACATCCCTGATGCTGGGTGCTCTCTGCCCGTCACGAGAACGAGGAATCGCATGGAGCTCCTCTATTTCCCACAGATCCCGCTGCCGTTCAGCGCCTGACTGGGGAACAGCACCTGGGGGAGACCATCGGAGAGCGTGACCGCGATGTTCCCGTTAGAATCCGCAACATAAGTCTTGCAGCTGAGGACGTCGGTCATGTACCAGCCCGCGCCCCAGCCGGCGTTGCCTCCGCCGACGGTGATCCCCGCGGAACCGCTGTTGGCGCCGCGGTTGGTCCAGATCGAGATCACCTGGTTGTTGGTGAAGCCTTTGCGCATGACGATGGTGCGCGAGTCGGATTGGATGGGCCAGGCGTTATAGGTGAGGTACTTGGGGTCCTTTTTGATCGCGAGGCTGCGGAGGGCGTTGAGGGTCTTGATGTATTGGTAGCTGTGGGGAAGATTGTGTTAGCTGTCGTGATACTATCGGGGATTTGTGATCGGGAGTGGGAAAATGCTTACAGAGTGGAACCGGTGTTGTAGCCTGATAGCCAGAGGGCCTCGCGATTGGTGGGGACATCGGCGCCGCGGAATTGCTGCTCTTGACCTTGGTAGATGATGGGGGTGCCGTCTGCGAGCAAGGTAAAACCGATGGCGTTTTTGATGAGGGAGACGTCGGAGGTCAAGCTTGGGAAACGAGGGTTATCGTGGTTCTCCAAGAAGGAGCCGAGAAGGGTGACGTCGGAGCAAGTAGACTATGATCCGTGTCAGCGCAAGCCTCGTTGAGGCTTTGAGGCAGCCGAAGAGAGCGGTGGTGGTTCTACCTTCATACGGTTGATCCCATTGACCAAGGACTGGATGTCACCATTGGTCGAGCGGAAGGCGTTGGTGATGGTGTAAAAGGTAGGGTAATTCATCACACCACTGAGTTGGCCCTGGTATGGGCATGTGTACGCCGGATCACCGTTGAAGACCTCTCCGATGGCGTGGATGCCACCTGCTGCGGCTTGGAACGGCTTCCAGAAGCCAGCGTTGACCTGCTGCATGCTGTCGACGCGAAGTCCATCGACTATGACACCGTGATCAGTACTGGGTGTGAGACAAGGGAGGAAAGTGCCTACTTGAGTAGTCCGAAACCAATTTGGCGATCCAGGAGTTGAAGACACTTTGCACGTTCGAATTCTCCGTGCGCAAGTCGGGCAAAGAGACAGTGTTGCTTCCTGCGATTTTCATCAGCAAGGGTTGACATGCTACGAGAAAGATTGAGCACACCCTCCCAGCAGTTCGTGATGGATTGAGCATTGTTGTAGTCGATGAAGCAGAAAGGATGGTAGTACGAGGCGCTGTTGAATGGGCTTAGAGTACTGTAGTCGACGCAGTTCCCGCAGCCAACATAACCCTGTTTTTCGTTAGCTGGAGCGGACGACCTAGGTCGGACAGGCGGTGTTGACTTGCCATGTGGCTATGAGGCTTGTTAGCATTGCACTGAATGACGGGACATGGCGAAGCGATACTTACTTGGTCACGATATCAACCATGAGATGCTATAGAGAGATATAGTCAGAATCAGCACAAGCCTATGTCACCGGCAAGGTGCTGAGATCGTGCGAGCACCTACCATGCCTCGAGAATGAAGCGCCGATGAGAGAGCTTTTAGATCTGATGCCGTTCCAAAGTGTGGGTTGAGCGAGTTGATGTCTTGTGCCTAGATGTTGGACAGATTAGTCGAAAGCCATGGCTCACAGAGAGATTACAATACAAAGCACATACCCAATAGCCATGGTAAGAGCTTCCATCGCTAGTAAGACCTTCGATGTTCTTGACAACAGGAGAGATCCAGACCTAGATTATCGTGTCAGAATTTGGTACTCGGAAAGTTCGGAGCATTCTGATGTAACACGAACAGCAGTGAAACCCATTCCCTGAATGTAGTCGAGCTTCTTGATGAGACCAGCCCAGGTGCCTCCACAGTAGTCGTTGATATTACATCCGGCTGTCGTGGAGCCGTCAGTCCGAGCGAAACGATCCGTGATGACTTGGTAGATGGACTCCTGGCGCCATTGCGCAGGCGTCAAGCACTGTCCGAGAATGGACAACGACAGCAGAGGCAGGATTTTGGTGAGAGAGAACATGACGTCTGTTCAATAATGTGTGTAACGGTTGAGGAAGTATCGTGGCGATGCAGCGAACACCGAGACCTTTTTGTATCTCGGGTACGTGGAGAAGTTTCGAAGTCGATGTTGAAGTTCAAGCTGAGGCATATACACCTTTCCGGCTGATTGCAGATGATGATGTTTATGGCACCGAGTGGGACTCGCTTCCCGAAGGACACGACCGTCAGTCGTGCAGTAACAAAGCGGGTCTCGACGACTGAATTTGGCAACAATGCCGTCTTTGGTCAGAGAAGTGCAGAAGGACCGGGTTGCCAGCAATCACGATCAGCTTCCAGAAGAGGGTTGACAGGTAGTTCTCACTTTGACATGTACCGTTGGATACTCGGATCTATCAGCATCAGTCTGCTATACAAGTATAGTAATATATGGCAAGCACAATCACCAACACCTCTATGTCGTCAGCGAAACGGACGACACTTCCTTCCCTGGCCATTTCCGTACGGCAGAAGTCGTCAGGAGCGGTCATCGCGCCACGACGACGATCTTCGCACGCGCCAGCAGATCATCCGTCGTCAGCCGCGAGTGTGCGAAGGACATGGTTGGACGGGTCGGCGTGACCAAGAATGAGACCGAGCTGCATCGATCCTGTGTAGATTAGCGCTCAAATAATATAAACTACCAATCGGCTGCAGGGATGGGCCATGCCTTCACATGGCTCCCTGGCTTTGGCGGGGTGTGGCAGAACCGGCCCACTGTAATAACACTCAACATGGACTGTACTTTACGTACACCTGCAGCAACGAACGCCGACCTGGGCGGGAGGTTTGGTTGGAGGATCGATGGAGTATGTGAAAGGACTCCCAAACATGCCCTTCCGATGAGATGGCGTAATCTGTCTAGTATTCAGGCTGAATGCAGATCTTTGACCCCTCGAAGATCTACTATACGCCGATTCCGCATCTTGTGATCGTGAACCGTTGATTTATTACTTGGGATCAGCGAGGGTCGTAGTTGATGGACCCAGGCACATGAAGCGGCGCCCGCCTGTAGATTGGCTGTTCGCAATTAATCGAAAAGGACCAATCCGAGACCGACAAACTCTCGTCGCCCGTCAAAGAAGCCTTCTAGGCGGCCTGATCATCTTCCGACCTGCCACCTAGGCACCGCACTCGCGTCATCACAAAGGAGATTATCTTCTCTTTCATATCTTCTTTCAAATATCGTCGCGCAAATCCGCAGGTATACACGTTTGCGGCTCGGGTCGCGGAAGTGTAACCAGACGTCAGGTCACGTTCCTAGCATCGTGTTCTCGAAATCCTCACAAATATCGTGGCGTGTAAATCAGAAGCAAAAATTTGGTCAACTCTACGGCTCTTCCGACGAAACATGATGACAGATTCAAAACAGTGTGAACTGGTCGAACCATGTCCTTGCTTGACTTCACACGCACTGGGTCATAAGCAGAGCGGATCATGCAGGCGCCCATGAAAGACGGGAATCAAATGCAGTCGGCCGCCATGTCCGTCGTGATTACCTCCGGGAATTAAAAATCTACACGATCAGGTGCACGGAACGTGCGTAGCACGGCAGTGGCTCCTGGACACAAGCATTCTCTTCACCTCTTCACCTTTGTGAATCGTCCCATGTTCGACGAGCGTTGCACGAGCATCAAAGGGAGCGGCTCCCAACCAGGGCTTTCAAATCACAGCAACTTCCTCTGCGTGAACAAAGATGTCGCGACACTAAGTCTTGAATTTTCGCGTGCATGAGGAAGGTAACTCTGGTGCGCAGAGATCGTCTGGTTTCCAAAGAACATTTCGCAAGACTCCTTGTGTCGCGAGATGAAACAGCTTTGTCGTCCTACTGTCAGCCTCATCTCGCACACGACAAATCATGAAGGACCATTCGTCAGCGGATCCGTGCAACATCACCCACCGCTCCAAGTGTGCTCACGTGCGCAGGCTCGGATACATGATTCCGATATATGATGACAAAATGTAGGAGATTCGAATGTCACATGGCATCCTCGACGAACATGCATGTCACCATGAAGGGCGAAGTCCTTTCGGTCTTGATCATTAACCTGCGGCCAGAGACGTTTGTACCGTGGCAAAGCGTTCTCGGGCAGAGTTTACTCCATCTTACTGGGCCACGACTGTTCCGATCGATAAGCTGCGTGAACATCTTGAAGTAGGCTCATGGATGCTTCTTTCAACATGAGTGTTTTGGTGTGTAAATTGTTTGAATGGCGCCGAACAGTTTGTTTCCGTGCCAATCTGCTTCCATATTCGATGACTTGAAACCCCCGAGATTCTGCCCGCATCGACCTCGGCTTTGGCCCACGCGACACGACCCTACATGCACAATTATGCAGTGCATTGCCATTCGCGAATCGTCGCGCCGCCAATTCACATCTGCATCATGCATATGTAGATACGCGATATAGACATCATCTACAGCTCGCCCATGTTCAGACCGACCTAGGCGCCGCGACCACCGCAGATCACACGAGTGCGCGCGCACGACACAAGCAGGCCCGCCGCCGCCGCCGCAGCAGCAATGTCTTCTCGACGCTCCGCCTCTGGAGGATCTCCCAGCACCACTGCCGAGATCGCGCTCCTGCCGGCCCTGAAGAACTGCTTCGTAAACCTTCCTGCATCTCTGGTGGGATTGCTTGTCAACAGCAACACGGCGGTTCAAAATGTCGTTGTCGAAATTGCATACAAATCCACCACGGGCGATCCAGCCAAAAGCAAAGCTGCGACTTCTGCGACCCAGTCGGTTTACTTTGGGTGGACGGGAATGCAGTCAAAGCCGAAACTCGCTCCGGTCGTAGGTAAGGATGGCATAAGAGGAGGGACGGGAAGGCATGAGCAGGAGGTGGCCGTCGTGGAGATTGATGCTACATTCGCGAGGCTTCTGGGATTGAATGAGGGTGCAAAGGTCAACATCTCGCTACACATTGATCCGCCTTTGGCGCATACGGTGAACATTGAGCCGTTGACGGCCACCGACTGGGAGATCATCGAATTGCATTCTTCTTTCTTGGAGATGAACTTCCTCAGTCAAGTGCGCGCTCTACCTAATCCCGCCGTCGGACACCCGCATCCTCTCAAGCTGCATTTGACGCCTACATCCACCGCCAACATCACGGTCACTTCACTCACGCCCACACCATCAAGTACGCAACCTTTCGTCAAGATCTCGCCTGATGCTGAAGTTATCGTTGCTCCCAAGACCCGGAAAGCGCGGTCCTCCTCACGACCCGAGAGCACAAAAGATGCACGAAGCACCACGAGTGGGAAGAAAAGTGTGGGTGGGAGAAGCACGACTAGTACCGTCAGGCACAAGAGCCAGCATGATATCGAGAAAGCACGACCGCCAATTTTCCTCCGAGGTGTCACACGGCAGCTTCGAAATGAGTGGTTTGAAGACGAGACTGAAGAGATGAATGATGAAGGACTCAAGATCTGGCTGGATCGGGAACATCTCCACTCCAAGACCCTCCGTGGTGTCACCTGGGTCTCGGTGGCTGTGGTCAAGCCCGCCGGTCTGCAAGAACCTGTCGATCCTCAAAGTCAACCCGCTCCTGAACAACAACCCGCCTCAAAAGTCGTTGCGAAGCTATGCACTTGGGAAGATGCCCCTGACAGCCGGCATGTCGCTCTCTCGAGTCTGCTCTGCGCTGCGCTCGGATCGACAGGTATTGTGGGAGGAATTGTCCGCATTGATGCCGCGCCTCCACCGCTTCCACGTACCGCATCGGCATTGAAAGAGCCCTCACAGCAGGCCAGCAAGGATGCCATTGTCAAAAAGCTACGTATCACACCTTTCGCGGCCTCTGCCGCGCAGAAGAAGACGTCTGGAATCCGCTTCGGCGGCGAGTCAAAGACGGAACGAGAAGAAGCTGCGTTACGAGTGAAGTCATTGTTTGGCAAAACTCTGCTCGATGGACCTTTGACCGATGGTATGCTACTACCGCCGCATGCAGGCTGGCCAGGTGGCATCCTAGACTTCGAACCTGTACCGCCAGGCGACCCCTCCAAAGCCCGAACAAATTGGCTCTTGGGCGGTGATCGAAAACTGGACGTGGTCATGCAACCCGAGACGGCGAGAACCACAGGTCCGCAATGGCCGCCAGGTGAGAAGTTGGTCGAGGAAGTACCAGAGATGGTTGGAATCGATGCGCTCATCGAGCAGACTCGCAAAAGCCTTCTACACACATCGTCAGTGCTCCTTACTGGCGGTCTCGGATCGGGAAAAACTTCCCTCACACAACTCCTTGCGAATCAATTGCGCAACGAGTATCTTTTTAACGTCATCCATCTTTCTTGTCGCACACTGGTTACCGACGAGACTCGCGTGAAGACCATCAAGGATACGTTACACCGTGTCTTTGCAGCAGCTTCATGGGGCGCTCGCCTCGGCGGTCGCGCACTTGTTGTCCTCGATGATCTGGACAAACTTTGCCCGACAGAGACCGAACTTCAAGTTGATGCAAATGGTCGTAGTCGACAAGTTTCGGAGATTCTCTGCACAGTCGTCCGGGAATGGTGTGGCCGGGATTCCGGCGTCGTGATGCTCGCCACTGCCCAAGCAAAGGAGTCGCTGAACAACGTCGTTGTGGGTGGTCACGTTGTTCGTGATATCGTCGCCTTGAAAGCACCAAACAAGGATGGACGTAGGAGGGTTCTAGAAATGTTGATTCGCCAGTCCCAACAATACGGTGAACAAAACGGCGGACCCCGAGATTCCGCCAACAAAAATGCATCCGACTGGATGGAGAGCTCGGTTTCTGACGGAGGGCCCTCTTCAGCCGATGACAGCAGGAATGTCAGCAACGAGTCAGATCTGGATCTCCTCACCGTCGCTGGACAAACCGACGGGTACATGCCTGGTGATCTGGCTCTCCTCGTCTCTCGAGCACGCAGCGAAGCGCTCATCCGAACAGTCACCAACGATTCGCTGTCAGATGAGGTTGTCTTGACAAGTGGCGACTTCGATGCCGCGCTCAAAGGATTCACGCCAGCTTCACTACGCGGTGTCACATTGCAATCTTCCCGAACCACATTCTCCGCAATTGGTGGTCTAAAGGAGACCCGACAGACCCTGCTCGAGACCTTGCAATACCCAACAACATACGCGCCGCTCTTCGCCAAGTGTCCCCTGCGTCTTCGATCAGGTCTCTTACTGTACGGGTATCCCGGTTGTGGAAAGACACTGCTAGCCTCTGCCGTCGCAGGTGAATGCGGTCTTAACTTCATCTCTGTCAAAGGACCAGAAATCCTGAACAAATACATCGGTGCCTCCGAGAAGAGTGTACGTGATCTCTTCGAGCGCGCCGAGGCTGCGAAGCCTTGCGTATTGTTCTTTGATGAGTTCGACTCGATCGCGCCGAAGCGTGGCCATGACAGTACCGGTGTCACAGATCGTGTGGTCAACATGTTGCTCACCATGATGGACGGCGCCGAAGGTCTCAGCGGTGTTTATGTCCTCGCCGCCACTTCACGTCCAGATCTCATCGACCCTGCTCTGCTACGTCCAGGTCGTCTAGATAAGAGCTTGATCTGCGACATGCCTAACGCCGAAGATAGACTCGACATCCTGACAGCCATCACCGGTCAACTCAAACTCGACCCAGCCGTCCACCACGCTCGCTCGGGGAGCTCCCAAAGTCTCGAAGAAGTCGCCCGCCGGACAGAAGGCTACTCCGGCGCCGATCTCCAAGCCGTCATGTACAACGCACACCTCGACGCCATCCAAGACGTGCTCGGCAGCGACGCCGCAGCCAACGACTTCGGCAAGAAGAAATCCGGCGGCGCCAACTCCTCGCGCTCAAACGTCGACTTCACCGTCTTCCGCGCCGGCGACATCCCCACCGCCAACGGCGCCTCTTCCTCCTCCACCCCATCCCAACCTCCCCAACTCCCCGCGGCCCTCGCCGCCGAACGCGCCAACATCGCCGCCCGTCTCGCCTCCATGCAAACCGCCCGCCGCAAAGCCCGCGCCGAGCGCCACGTCTCCACTTCCTCCATCGCCTCGACATCCACAGGGTCGCGACCAACGCACTCCTTCTCACACCTAAGCGCGCTCTCCGTCAACGGCGGCGGCGGAGGAAGCGTCAGCGGCCGCAGCGCCTCCGGCGCCAGCGTCAGCGGCAGCGCAACCGGCAGTCTCCGCGGCCTCTCCGCCGTCGAAGAGGATACCGGCGCCGCAAGTAAAAATGAGGAGCCGGTCATCCAGTGGAGACATCTTCTCCGGAGTATGGAGACGACGCGTGCGAGCATCAGCGTACAGGAGAGGAGAAGGCTGGCGACGATTTATAAGGAGTTTGTGGTGGGTAGGAATGGCGAGATGTCAGATGGGCAGGGACCTACTGAGATTGGAGGACGGACGAGTTTGATGTAGTTTGTTTCTCAGGTTTCGGATGTTAGGGGGCGAAGCGAAGAAATGTGAAAAGCTTGTTGTGTATCTTTGATGGTTGTGGAAATGGATGTACCGTACGCAGGTTACCGGCTGTGATTTGTGGTCTCATGTAAGTATAGGTGATTACCACTGTGGTGGTTGGTTGATCTCTGATTAGGGTTGTGGTCGAATCAGGAAATTACCACTTCGAGTTAGTCACGATGATTTGTCTACCCCGACAACCTTTGGCGAGCATGACAGCAGCGCGGGAAAGTGCTGTCGAGTCAAGTAGACACAGTGAATTTCGAGCAGACGGTCATGATTAAGTTTCGATGCAAACCTAAGCACGCACGACAGGCTATGACGACCGGCAAGGAAGGATAGGTAAATTGAAGGACTGTTGCGTGCAGTGGAAATTACGTCTGCTCGACACTCAGTGCCCCACCCATGGCGACTCTACCCTGAGTACCCGTTGGGTAGTGCTGGCAGTGAGGACAAGTCGGTGTTCACGGATCGTTCAGCTCATTTTCCTTCTGAAGCCTCTCAACATTGACCCATTGTTGCGACGTCTTGGGCTCCGTCAGGAAGCCCCACGCGCCAGTTTCCTCCGCGATCTTGAGGAGAAAATACTTCAAATGGTCTCGGGCGAACATGTAAGCGCCGTGTTCCATTTCCCAATTCTTGTCGTCAGCGTGGTACGCTTCCGTTTCGTTCACGGTCAAGAACAGAGGTGGTTTGATCACGTCGGCGTCGACGGAAAGGACAGCGATACAGAAGCCCTGCTTGTGGTTCTTTTCGAGGTACAAATCGAGGTATGATTCCTCGATATTTGAGTCTTCGCCCTTGTTCCTGGCATCGCAGTATGTCCAGGCCATGTCGAGGTTGTCAAATAGCAGAAGCGGAGGGCTGATACGGCGTGGTCAGAGTATTTGCATGCGTTGGAGGGTGACGGGATACGAAGTCTTGCCTTCTTTCATCTTCACCTCCGCTTAAGCCCACGAAGCCGCTGCCTGGCTCATGTCTGCCGGGCATCAGCTGGTGCCAGATGTGATAGAATTCTATGTTCGGCATTGTGTTCTGGAATGGTGTATTGAATATGCAGTGAAATGCTAGCGGAATCTTTGATGTAGTCTCGCACGAGAAACTGGACTGGCTCTGTTATTCGAATCGCATGAACCAGAAAGGAAATCGGGTCGAACAGCAGAAGCATCGTGTAAGAACTTATGTACGACGAAGCACGGCAGCCCCTCTCGAGTAAGAATGCAACTCGTGATACCTCTTGCTCACTCTCACACACAATGTACCAGAGACAAGTCGACAGGTTTGAAGGCGTCGAGGTTCGATTTGCTCTCGAGCTGAATGACGAGAGCCGATCGGTGTGGTAGTACAACCTTCCCTTTTGAGGAATTTTCAAAGATACCTGATCCCTGTCGGTCCCATCTACATGCTACCTGATCGATTCAAGGCGTCACTCCGAGAGCGCATGCGTACAGAGTCGAGTGACATTCACTTCTGAGTGAAGATTCGACCTCACAATAGTCATTTTATAGGAAATTCTCTCTTCAAGGCGAACTAACACTGACACTAACGTCGTGACGGAGTCTGAATAGCTTGTTCAACTGGTAGCTAGATACTGATCAGAGTAGCACGGTTCTCTTACAGAGATCGAATCAAATCAAACAAGACCCACAAATTATCTCAAGATTTGTTATAAGTTCTCCATGCATGCCTAGCTACCTGGTTGTTCCAGGTCGAATTTTCGGTAGAGATCTGTATGGCTTACTTCTCGAATAGAAGTAGTACAGGATCGCAATCGTGTAAACGGAATCTCACCTCCATACCAAAGCGCAGTTCCCACAGCACGACGCCCGTTATTAAGTGCCTCTTGATCCAACTGGAAAGACCCACTGATTTAATGGCGTGTAGATCGCGGAAATCCCCTCCCGTGAGTTCATTTTGTGTGAACCAGACATTAAAAGGGATACCCCATTTGCCTGCCATCGTAAATCCAACATCTCGCCTGAGCTACGCTGCTCGGGTGTCCTCTCCTCCTGTAGCCTTTGGCGCTTCGGCGGACGTGGCTTTGGCGTCCAATGTGCGACCGTTCATCATCGCGCTGGATTCTCGGTCACTTACGATGAAATAAAGCGATGGCGCTTGTTGATTTCGTGGCCATGGATTGGAAAATCTCAGGCTGGGCCCAACAATCACAGCCTGCGCCAACACCTGAGCACGGCATTCCCCAACACTGAAAACCTCACGATATGGCAAGAGGTTGCATTCATCACGGTGCAAACGCAAAACATGGTCGGTCGCAGTACTTGTACCAACAACGAGGGAGAATGTTGGCACAATCCGAGAGCTAACGTAATGCGTAACATTATTCACATCCTTGTCCAGCGTCAAGGTCGAAGCGCTTCGCCAAGACGATGGCGAATGATATTTGTGGCGAGCCACTGTGTGTCACTGTCGCGATCAAGCCTCTGCTGTGTACCCAAGATAGTTGAAAGGAACTACATGAGCACTAGATTTGATCCACCCAGCAATATCGAGGTTCAGGCACACTGCACCCATGTGCTTATCTTTGTGGAAGAACAGTCTATCCCGCTCAGACCATCGATCACTTGCGCCGTCGACGATATTCATTGAAGTCCGCAGATTCTTTCTGGTCTCTATCTCGCCGCTACAGCACGCAGACTTCAAAGCGTCAAGCAAGAATTGCACTGGTCCTTAGCTTTGGCGAAACTTGCATCGGGAGAGACGAAACCTTCAGGGATGAACTCCATCGTTGTCGTTCGGTCTCTTGACCATGATATCTGTTAGCATATCCAAAGATGAACGGCGTTGTTTCTTTTGGATCTGGCACCTAGTGCGCTCCACATGGAGGGAGATCCTCACATTCTGTACGATCCATTCAACAGCACAATGATGCGCTACACAGTATTTCCCTCTTGGGAGTCTATATAGCAACGATGAAGCCTGGAAAGTCAAATATTGAGCAATTTGGACCATGGTCAAGCTCATTGTTATACTTCCAAACGCGACCGAGATGCTCTGGATTTAATGTGTCGTCTCGACCTATCTGCCGAAGTTCTCCGATCCCTCGTCGTCCCCCGGCCGGCATCCCCCGACCTCTCGACATATGTAAATCATCCACTAGCGTCCGTATGATTTCAGCCAATCCACACGCGAGCACAATTCCCCACGAGACACGCGAAAGCCACTTCGCGTCCCCCAGAATCGCGTCTCCCAGAAATTCCTAAATTGGTATATCCAGTGAAGACATTGAGAAGAGACTCACCACATCCTCACCACGCCTCCAGGAGATCACCAACTCACAAAATCATGGATCTCACTCCAGAGAGCGGATCGCTCTTAACAAAGCCCAACGATCAAGAATATGCCGTCTCAGAACGCAAACCATCGCTCTACAACCCCCTCACAACCTACCATCTCCCACGGGGTGAAGCCAAACACTACCAGCAACAATTCGCGGACATGTACTTCGCGCGGCTAGCGCAACTCAAACCAGCGGTGAAATCCGTCGCTACGGAAGCATTCTCAGAGTTCGAAATTAGCGGCGAACAAGCTCGCTACGTCGACCGAGTGTTAGATGTCCGCCAGGGAGATCTCTGCTGGGTGATCGGCACCGTCTACATGGATATGCCGTTGAAACCGAATGTGCTTGATGATTTGGGGAAAGAGCATTGGATTGCAGCGCCACCGCCAAGGGAGAGGTATACGGGCGCGGGCGAGGAGGTCATGTTGGAGGATGAGTCGGGAAGGTTGCGGCTGACTGGGGATGCGTTGAAGAGTGTGGTGCTTGTTACGGGGACGATTATTGCGGTGCTGGGGACGGAGAACAAGGATGGTGATTTCGAGGTTTTGGATTTGCGGACGCCGGATTTACCACGGCAACCGACGAGGTGGGAACGAGACGATGGCGATGCTGCGATTAAGGGCAAGAGCGTGCTCAAGAAGAGATCGGCGAGCGGGAAAGTCGCAATCGTCTCCGGTCTAGCTTTCAGTGGAGACGAAGGCGATTCATTCGCATTGGACCTATTACAAGAATGGCTCATGGGCGAGATCGCTTCAGCATCGGGGCAGACCTCAGCAGCCGACATCTCACGGCTCATCATCGCGGGCAACTCCTTCTCGCACAGCTCCCCGATCCCGTCAAGGGAAGATGCGATCGCGGCCAAAAAGTCCAACATCAAAAAATACGGCTACGACGCCGCCAGCTACAACGCCGCGCCCTCGGATCGTCTAGATCTCTGGCTCTCCGCCCTCCTCCCATCCCTCCCCATAACGCTCCTCCCAGGGTCCACGGATCCCACCTCGACCGTAATGCCGCAACAGCCCATCCACGCCGCCATGTTCCCGCACTCGCGCGCCTACATGGAACTCGGCGGGGCGACCTCGCAAAAGGAGCCAAGGCCGCCGAGTTGGTTCGACAGCACGACGAACCCCTGCGATTTCGACTGCGACGGCTGGCGCTTCCTCGTCGGCGGCGGCCAGACCCTCGACGACATCCTGAAATACATCACTCCCGCCTCCCCCACCGCCGGCCCCTCAAATGACGAGCGGACGGAGATGATGGAGGCCATGCTCCGCTGGCGTCTCGCCGCCCCCACCGCACCGGACACACTCCCCTGCTACCCGTTCCAGGACGGGGACAAATTTGTGATCAAGGAGTGTCCGCATATCTACATCATGGGGAACCAGCCGCGGTTCGAGACGGGCGTGATTGAGGGGCCGCAGGGGCAGGAAGTTCGCTTGATCAGCGTGCCGAGATTCAGGGAGACGGGCGAGGTGGTGGTTCTCGATTTGGAGAGTTTGGAGGTGGAGATTGTGAGGATCGAGATCTTCTCCGATGAGGATGGGGGAGGGGAATGAACCTTGCGGTTGTTGCTGTTCTTTTTAATGTGTATGAGACGAGATTATGACTGCGAACGAATTGGCAATTTCATGTTATCAACTTCGTCCGATCGGAGTCGCTCACAGTTTTACCAAACCAAATCCGCAAATGACGAATTCCAGAGACAGAGATCCCGGAAAGGGGAAAAGAGAAAACAAGCCAAAATGGCAGTTCATAATGTTCATGTCTCATCACATCTCACCACTACAACCAACCAACAATCTATCAACCCCCACCGCGAGATTCCTTAGAAGTATGTGTACATGCACATCTCCCCGTTCCCTTCCTCCCCTCACAGCGGAAAATTCCCCCGATAACTAATTGAAAACCTCAACGAGCGAATGATACTCCACGAGACTCCCATCCTCGCGCCCCCTCAGCGTCATCTGATGACACAGATCGACGAGGATGCGTCCCAGGATCGGGGCTCCACAGAAGAACACGCCGACCCTCCTCTTCCTCTTCGGGTCGCGTGCGAACAACGCCATCATCTCGGCGTAGTGGTCGTTGAGGATGATTTCGAAGTCCGGTCGGCCGAAATGCGTCGGGGCGATGAGGCCTGTCAGGGGCGAGAGCGGGTGCAGCGGGGTGGTGCGGTGGGTCTTCTCGAGGAGCGCGTGGAAGACGTGCGTGGGGAGGTCCTTTCGTTTGGTGGTGAGGTGGTAGTTGAGGCGGATGTCGAGGTGGGAGGAGCAGGAGGAGGATGCGTCGCCGGGGGCAGAGGAGATGCGGTTGAGTAAGGAGGCGAACCAGTGCAGGTGGGATTGGTCGCGCACGATCCAGTGGAAGTCGACGCGCCGGTAGGTGTCGAGGGCGTAGGATTGCCAGGCGTCTGGGTTGTCGCTGGGGCTGCTGGCGAGTGGAGTGATGCTGGGCTGGCGGGAGGTTGTGGGGTTGTTTTTCGCTTCGCGGTGGGAGCTGGGACTTCCTGCCCGCGATGCCTTCCGGCGAGTGTTTTTCCAGTGAGCTCGTTCGCGGTTTTGGATGTCGTTGAGGATCCCGGCAAAGGGCGTGATGCCGATCCCTGCGCCGACGATGATGCTCTGGTCGAATTCGTAGAAGCGTTGGGCTGGCGCTCCGAATGGTCCGTCGATGCCGACAAAATCCAGGCTCTCGCCAATTCCACGAAGTTGGCTTGTCCAATTCCCGTCTGTTTTGATGTGCAGCGTCAACTTGCGGCCGACGCAGCTGGTGATGGTGAAAGGATGCCATTGCCAGAAGGATATCCTTGGGACTTGCAGGAACACGTATTGTCCTGCGTCATACCGCCAGAACCGCAGCTTCGGCATTTCGATCGTGACGACCACCGCCTCATGGTCTAGGATCTTGAGACTTGCGGGTATCTTTTGGAGACCCTGGAATGTTCGCACGAGCCGTTCGAAGAAGATGAGAGTGGTGGGTAGTATGATGAGGAAGCCAAGCGCAGGGGCGTTCAAAAGTGCAGAAGTGCCGTGCGCGATCAGCAGGCCCATAATGGGGTACATCAACAAGTGGCTGAATTGGAAAAGTTCGTAGGACCGCTTGCGTACAAAGGGCATACTCATCAGCGCCATGATGTAGAAAAGGCCAAGTGCGGCGAGACCGGTCCAGCCTGGGACCAATCTTAGATAATTGGAATATGTCATCGGGACGAAATTTGCGCCTATCGCGGCTGCAACAGCAGGCTGTCGATCTGGTTTGCTTCCATAGACGAACGTTCCGGCCATGTGTCCAATGGCGTGTAGTGTGCCCAGACCAATAGCCGTGACGGCCATTTTGATATGAAAGGACTGCGACACGTCCCAATTCACCACCCGGCAGAGGTAGCGGGAACGGCGCATCCACGCTGAAGCCCATCGAGACATGCTGAGCAGCATGAAAAATATCGTCGGATAGAGAGCTCCGGCACAAGCCTTACCTAGACCGACTCCCCATCCGAACGCGGATTGATACTTGGGACTCGTGCTGAATTTGACGCATTCCCAGACGCCCAGGCCGATCTGTAAAGAGATGACGATCATGGAGAAGATGTAGTTGAGACCGTTGACCTTCCACATGGCACGCAGTCGTCGACCCCATCCTACGCGCTTCAGGTAATCATCTTCCACCTGTGCTGCAAGCCTGTCTGGCACGAGGGAGGGTATTTCCCAGTTTGCGACGATCTTTTTGAACTCGTCGACAGGGATACGATGGGACTCGCCGCCCATGATGGAACGTAACAGGTCGCGTTGGACATTCCTCCGAGCGTCGAGGTGTGGTTGGTTATGGTTCGTCTCCGGTTGGAGAGTGTCGTAGCTGGACTCCAGCTTCTGCTGAAGTTCGTCGTATGTTATGCATCCATCGCCGTCCAGGTCGAAATGGGCAACAAACTCATCCACCTCAGCCGGTGTCAAGTGGGGTATGCCGACCATTGGGCAACGTTTGAGGCAGGAAGACGGTCATATGAGGATGATGGGAAAGCGATGAAAGAGATACGACATCCTACCTGGATTGAAAGTAATAATCGTCTTCCAGGTCACTCAGACGCACCTCCGTTCTATGACCGTTGGATGGCGCATCAATCGTCAGACATGCGGGCGACGATGACCACGGACACACGTGGAAGATTCAACGACCGACATGGGTGCACGCACTGCACGGTAAGAGCATACGGTGCCCGCCGGGAGCATTTCATTCCCGCTGTATCGTGCGGTAGGTAGCAAGACTTGCCCGTGATAAACGTCTCGAAAGTGAGAGCGGCCACCCGCTCATAGCACGGCACAGTGAGGATCCGGCCTAGGATCGTTGTAGGCGTTCCGTATTCGCGCTGCAAGGGACACGCAATCGCAGCTTGCTTGCCAATTTGCACTTTGGAGTGGTGAGACTGGGGATGGATGGACCTTTGAAGTATTTCACGCTTCCGGCTCAGCGACGATCCGGATCGAACTCCGCTGAATCAGCATGTCTGACTGAAAGACCAATGCACTGTACAGTCTGTATTCCCGTGCATCATATATGGGAGAAGAGGTGATTTTCCGTGATGTCCGGCTGAGCGGTTGTACCTGGATTCGGGAAATTGTTGCAGTTGGCCCACGGAACGTGAAGTCTCCGTCCTCGACCTAGTTCGACCAGGCGAGGTTCCCTGCGCGCTGCCACATGGGATCGTAATTAGCTGCACATCATTCAATACTTATAACATCGTGCTACCAGGTGCGGTATGGCATTCTCAGCAGAGCAAAGATTCTTCGTGCGGTGCTAGATCACGCCAATGCTGACACGAATCGCTGATTAAACAACGCCATGGCGCTTGTTCCCTCGCGCTTGAAAATTGCCCTCGATTCGAGATATATGAGATCGCGTATCGATATGGTGACTGTCGTCGACGAGGTCGATGCCGAGCTGAAACGCAAGATTGGCATATATATCGCGGTCTTGTCGATCACGATCCCATCTAAAGAACGCCTCGTCCGATCCGTGAGAGAACATGTGGCGCCTGCACCGGCGACGATGTGGTGGTCTTCGACATCGTGCATCGAGGCAGCCTCGTGTAGAGAGTCTGTCGAGGGACATGGCAATATACACACACATATGCCAGTGTCGACGGCAGAGACGATGTCTGCATGGTAGGGAACAACAGTGCGATAGGCGACGTCTCAAAATACCGAGATGTTCAGCAGGATGGCGTGAAGTCATAAAACTGCTCCGCGTGTGTGCAACAGACCTGTCGCACTACTTAGCCGTGCCCCTTCTTGGTGTGTTAACATCATGAGCTCCTAGCGAAACGATTCAGGTCGAGCAGTGCTCAAATGTTGGAATAAACTGAATATCATATCATACGTGCTAGTTGACCAAAGCCGTGATGTATCGACCATACACCAATCTTACAAGCCAAGCATTCCCCGTCTCGGATCTGCTTCTGGTCGAAATACTTCCAGCTAACGGAGACGATTGTCTGTAATCGGCCCTCATTACAAGCCCTTGACGAGGTAATCATGGTCAATAGTAGCTTACCGATTGCATCCCTGGAGCAACTACGATCCAAGGATGTTTTGAACTACCTGGCGGCAGACATGTCTACAATGGTGCTTTGTGGGTGATGGTCGGTCAAGGCCAGCCAACGACAGACGGTCGACACGTAGTGACAGAGGGTAGATTGGCTGGACGTTGACCGATGGCTGCTCGGTCAAGGTGCGGAGTCAGGGCAGCGAGGTCGACAGGCCTTGTCACGGATGCGATTGACCAATCGCCAACAATTCACGACAGCGATTCACCGTGGACGACTCGGACGATGAGGCAGTGATCAATGGTTAAGCGGCATGATAAGACACCGGTGACGGCGCTGCCTCCATTTCTCTTTTTGTGCGAGGACGAAAAGAAGATCTTGCTCATGTCATAAGCGAGTCGTTTTTTGTGTGTATGGAATCGATAGGCCAAAGAAGTATTGTTCCGATATCTTCCCGTCCCATCTCCGCGACATCCCTCTGCACACCATGTGCAGCGACGATGCACCCTTCGCCATCACACAAACGTGACTCCCGATCCACAAACCCCCTGCTCTTTTAATACGCCGTCCCGTGGGCTCGAAAAGCAGATTACTCCTTTGCTGTAGTTCACCGTCCCGAGGAAAAGGCTGAGAGTGATGATGCCATGCTGAGAGAAAAAAAAGTTCGCCGTAAAATTGCTCGTCTCGATACAGGTTGATTTGTTTACCGGACGATACCCTCGAAGCGGCTCTTGTACCACTTGATGGTCTCCTGCTGGTTGATCTTGTGCGAGGCACCGACGCGAGTTTGGCATCGTCTGCGGCGGGCGACACGCTCACCAGGTCGGGTCCTGTTAGAGAAAGTCAGAATCATGTCCGGCCCACTGTTAATCGACTTCCAATGGATGATACGCACATGCAGCAGTAGAAGTCCATGCCGTAGATACCGATACCCGGGTCGTACTTGATACCCAAGTCGATGTGCTCGGAGATACCGAAACCGAAGTTGCCGGTCTCGGAGAAGTTGCGCCTCCTCAACTCGTATTCCTTGACCTTGAGGCCACGCTCCAGGATTTCCTCAGCCTTGGGGCCACGGACGGTGACGTGGACAGCGATCTTCTCGTTACGACGGATACCGAAGGTTCGGACAGTGTATCGGGCCTTGCCTGTGGAGGAGGTTTTCATCAGAAATTGAATCCGGGTGGTGAGGGGTTTCCCTGCTGAATCGACATACTGTAGACAGGGGTTTGACCGCTCAACTGCTCGAGCACCTTTGCGGCTCTCGTCAGTCTGTCACCAGACTCTCCGACGGAGATGTTGAGCACGAGCTTCTGGATGCGCAGCTCGCGCATGGGGTTGCCGGTCTTGTCGTTCTCTTCGGCCTGATCGGGATGAATGTCAGCCAATTTTTCTCAACAGGCATTGCTGCGCCATGCAAATATGCATTGTCGCAATTTTGTCGCGTGTACTGACCATTTTGACGGTGATGACGGAAAAATTTGGTGTGTTGTAGAATAGATCTCGAGATATCTCGAATTTGACGTATTGTTGGAGTCGCTCTAAGATTTGGCAGGTGGTGTGCCGATGTGAGTCTTGGCGCCAAGTCATGAACTTTCGGCTAAACTCCGGCGACATCGTCTGAGCTTCTCAAGACTTCGCGTGTCGCAATAGCATGTCGTGTGCGCGGAGCGAAAAGTTGTGAATATATTAATCGATACCACGACAGATACCTGCGACGTCCTCACGGCAGATTCGTACAAACACCCCTCATTCATCAAAAGTCGTGCTTAGGCACGCGAGATATTCAGCATGGCCGCAAACCCGAGCTTGAAGCAGGGAAAGATGGTCAGTCTCGAATGAATGGATACGACATTGGTATACTCTAACATCATGCGCAGCAAGGATACATCAACTACCGAATGCGTGCTACCATGATTGATGGACGTCAGTTGGTGGGCCAAATGTTGGCATTCGACAAGGTCAGTTTTGAGCTATGAATTTACGGCGCATCTAAAAGAGATCTCCTACTAACATTTTCTTTCCTTGAACAGCACATGAACCTCGTCCTTGCCGATTGTGAAGAGTTCCGAAAAGTCAAGCGCAAGGCGAAGCAACCTGCTGGCTCGGCGCCAGGTACCAAGGACGGCGCATTGGTGGAGACGGAAGAGAAGCGCATGCTCGGTCTGGCCATCGTCCGTGGAGCTACAGTGGTGTCCTGCTCGATGGATGGACCACCACCTGCTGATCCCTCAGCACGACTCGGACAGACTGCTCCCGGCGCTGCCAACCTCGGCGCAGCATTCTCAGGACCGGGTACAGCGCGACCAGCAGGAAGAGGAGCAGGAATCGGATTGCAAGGCCCTGCCGCAGGAATAGGAGGACCTGGTTTCCCTGGTGCACCTGGGTTTCCACCGCCACAAGGCTTCCCTGGTCGAGGCGCACCTCCAGGGTTTCCGCCTGTAGGATTTCCACCAGGCGCAGGACCACCGCCAGGCTTCGGCGCGCCGCCTGGGTTCCCTCCAGGAGGTCGTGGCTTCCAGCCGCCGGGAGGTGGATTCCCTCCACCAGGACGATGATGACAGATACGGCAACGTCGTGATATCTAGATCTGTCATCACACAGCGAACGGCCTTGCGGGATGAAGCAGATGCTCCAAGCAGCCTGTCAGCACCGCTCTCGTATTCGCGCGATCAGCCTCAAAGCGATGTCTTCATCAAGTGACGGATGGACACAGCAGGCGCAAGCGCGGTCGTAGATCATGTTCGCACAGCAACGAGCTCCACGTCCATTTATTGGAGAAGACCATCCAGAACGTGCAGCGCTCCTCACATTTCCAGGACGGGTCATCAGGCGAGCACAGTTCGCGGAAGGAGCTCTTTTTTCCATTTGCAGGAGGATCCACAGAGGTCAGCATGATTATGAATGAGAGGCGTCCAGCTCAATTGCTTACCCGTGAGAAAGGAAAGGGGAATTTGTACCAAATACTCATCCCAGCGATCATGATAGATTGAGAAAACCAATCTGAACCTGTCAACCCGTCTTTCCCTGTGGACCGTCACGGCTGTTTGCCCGCTCGTCGCTCTCCGAAATGATTTTGCACTCCGCTTCAAAGGCAGCCCGATGTTTGTTCCAGTCGAGGATATGAGACGACGTACACCATCTCTATGATAATTAAAAAATAATTAATCTATATCATTCAGACTCCCAACACCGCTCCCGCCACCATAGCCACGGCAGCAATCACCCGCGGACTCGACCTCCCCACGCTCACTGCGCCACCTTGCCTGACGGGCGCCGTCGACGTCGCTGCTGGGCCTGTCGCCATACTCACAGGACCCGTCACTGTCGCCGTCCCTTCTGAACCCATCGTCGTCGTCGTCGTAGTCCCAGGCCCGAACGATGAATCGCTCGTTCCAGTCCTGACGCTACTACTTCCTGTACTTGTGGCCGTCGTCGTGATCTTCGTGCTCGCAGTGCCAGTCCGAGGATCATCCGGCGGCGAGGTTTGGATCGTGAATAATTGGGCGCTGTTTGTAGAGCCGGTGGTTGCGAAACCCCATTGGTCGTAGGTGGAGGACGAGGAGGTTGTTGTTGCTGGGGTTCTCATGCTGGTGGTGGTGATGGTGGCGGGATCGACGGTTGAGCCGAGTATGATGGTTTCTGTGCAAGTTCCAAGGCGGTGATTAGCTCGCTCGTCACGTTCGTCTGGTGGGTCGCTGCTGCAGGCCGTGACGCAGGCACCTGTCTCATCACCCAGATCGACTTACCTCCTGTGAGGACCGCCAGACTCGGGGAGCACAGCCGTGATAACGCTGCGATGGACAAGCTCTCCGGCTTCATTTTGACCATGATCTCCCTTCACCTCTGTCAGTTGTTGTATATGCTTCAGACGCCTGACTCTTATTTATATTAGTACTCCTTCCAAGTGGTCCATATCGCGAGTCACGGGGGGTAAGCAGCAGCAGCCAGAGGACATCCCGAGTCTTCACCAGCCCTAGGGTTCTGAATAGACTTTCCGAGGAGATCCCCACCAAGTTCGATTGTCACTGACAAGGCTCGTTCCGTTCCGTCCATCTTTGGTGTCTGGGGCCAGGCCGTTCCAGTTCCGGTTCCCCATTCGCGCGGGAGAGGAGAAGGAAAAAGCCCTACTTTGACACCGCACCCGCACTTTATATAGAGTGAGTGAATAGCACAGTACCTGCACCGCCCACGCTTCCCAGATCCAGTCTAATGCACATCTCCCGCCCAAGACCGTAACTGTAATACCTAACTCTATACACCAGAAACTCAACCAGCTTCAACATTGGCCCCAATCCTGTCCTCCAGCTGTGTTGTTGGGTCCCGTATGCGCACACCAACACCACCGCATTCCTGCTCGTCCACTTTGATGTTTTGTCTACCGACACATCAGTCAATCCCTCATCTCTTCTCCTCCAATTGATACTCACCATCGCCTCTCGCGCCGTTCTCCCGCACCGACAGCTCACGATGGCGTCATCGCGTAAGTCCACGTTCAAGTCCCGTTGATCGACAATCGCTTTTTCCCTCGGGAGCGCGAGCATCTTGCAGGACTGGATCGCAGCTGACATGCCTGATCACTCAGTGTCGCCGCAGCAGCGGGACGCCTACACCGGCATCATCGACCAGATCGTCGCTGCGTCGGACCTCAATACCGTCTCGGTCAACCAGATCCGCGAGGGTCTCCAGGAAAGAGTCGATCATGACCTCGCGCCACAAAAGGTATGGGAGATGCGAGATGCAACACTGCGGCTGCTTGGGCGTACACTCGAAGGGCAAGACGCTGACCGTGTCGCGACGCCCAGTCCCTCATCACCAAGCTGATCAAAGCCCGCTTCTTCGAACTCACACAAGGCGGAGATGAATCACCCGCTCCGGCAGCACCAGCAGAGGCGCCAACACCGGCAGTACCAGCGGTGCGATCACAGCCCGCCACCAATGGTGCCACGCCAAATGGGCACCGAAACCTCGCCTTGCCCGCCAAACCCGCCTATGTTGGCTTCCACAAGCGGAAATCCAGCGAAGCCGAGGAGGATGGATTGAGCTCGGCCGTCGACGAGCCGGCGCCGAAGAAGGTGAAGAAGGCAGCCGTCAAGCCTGAGATCGAATCCGACGAGGTCATGGCCGCGCGTTTGCAGGCGGAGCTCAACCAGACCGCGCGCGCGACGCGGGGAGGAGGAGTGACGAAGCGCAAGGCCCCCGCGAAAAAGGACAAAGTCGCCAAGAAGAAGAAGAGCTCGGCCAAGGTCAAGGCTGAAGACGACAGCGATCTGGACAGCGCCGACGGTGAAAAGCCGGAGAAGGAGAAGAAGGGCGGATTTCACGTAAGTACTGGCGGAGTCCTCCCCTCACACGCACACATACACATCTTCAGGCCCAGCTGGCTTCCGGCTGCATACCACACAGGCCCTTTTCAATCCCACCACTGACATCGCATCTCCCTCCTCAGAAACCCATGGCGCTCTCCGAACCTCTCGCCGCCCTCCTTGGCGAATCCGTCCTCTCCCGTCCCCAATGCGTCAAGAAGATCTGGCAATACGTCAAGGAGCGCGATCTGCAGGACCCGGCCGACAAGCGCCAGATCCGCTGCGACGACCGCATGCGCGCCGTCTTCAAGAGCGACCGCGTCCACATGTTCACGATGAACAAAGTCCTGGCCACGCAGCTCTACCCCTACGAAGAGGAGGAGGACGATGCGACGGCGGCGGCGGCCGTCAACGGCGCGCACATGCCGCCGCCGCAAGAGGGAGGAGGCTATGGCGTCGAGGTGTGAACCGATGCGGAGGAGGAATTTCCCGCGAGAACGAGCCGGACCAGAGCGCAGGGGCCGAGAGACGAGATCTGCGATTTGGATATCGCTGGCGACGAGGCTGTGCCCTATCGCGCCTCTCCATTGCCAGCGCCCGCACGCCGTCTCGCCAGTCACGCAAATCCCTGTTCCGGCCCGTCGTCCTCCGCGCTCGCGCTCCCTCGTCCCACGGCCGCCGACCCGGTCTGGTCTGGTCTGGTCTGATCTGTGTTTTGATTTGTTTTGATTTAGCGAGGCGTTTATCATTGCTTGCTGCTAGCTCTGCTGCTACTGTTACTACCACTGCTTCCACTACCGAATGATGAAAATGAGGTCCTTGGGGGGGGAAAGGGGGGGGGTGGCAAAAAAGCGGGAAAGAATTCGAACGGGAAGAAGAAAATCCTTGATATGAGCAAGAAGAAAGGAGGAGGAGGATTTGACGAAGGAAACAGTGGGTTCTCCTTTTTTTTCTTTTTCACCCCTGGCAAAAAGAGCGACTTGCGAGGAGACGATGATTTTTTCTTCGGGAGCGAGGCAGGCGTCCACGGCGATATTCGCGCGCAGGCAGGCATACGAGAGAGAGGGGAGAGAGAGAGAGAGAGAGAGAGACCTCGGGAGCTGGATGGAGACTGCTTCGCGTATGGAAGGAACAACCCTTGGAAACACTAGGTAATGATTGAGTGATTGATTGAACTATGAGAGAAATTCAAACTGGTGTGGTTCACGCCGAGCATGAAAGAGCCCTGGAGGAGAGAAGAGGAGAGGGACTACTTCCTTTCAGCCTACCTACTCTTGCGCCTTTTCTGCCCTCTATTCTTCCTCCGTATTTGCTCTCTAGCCTTTTTTGGATACTCAGTTCTCCCATGCGGTCGATGATATATCTTCGGCTGGTCTAACGATATATGCACGTAGAATTGGATTTCTTTTTTTTCCCAATGGAGGACTTCGTTCAATAGACGAAGCGACTGACACGTGCAACCCGGTGCTGGCAAGGGTCATGATTATATAATCACGGGTCCTCCCCCGCGGCCGGGCTCTCCCACTGTGAGGAAGGCGTGACATCGTCATGCTCTGCCCGGCTTTAAGGATTCAGCCTGTCTGACTTCGCCTCAACCTCCCGTAGCACTCTGCCTAGGCCATCTCATCCTCGCCTCCATCCCGACCTCGTCTCAACCGCCCGACCCGACCTCGTCTCGCTGCCACCGAGCACTCCATCGACAATCGTCGCCACGACCAAAATGGCTGCAACTACCAAATACACTCCGGCGCCGACGCGCGACAGCTTCGAGGAGGAGGGCCCCAGCTACTCGCAGGCGCCGCCTTCGTATCAGGCCGAGACCGCGCTGCCTGCACCGCGATCTGAGGGCGACAATGTCCCAGACGACTTCAAGGTGAGTAAGAGGAGAACGCACCATCCCAGGGAGGGACCAAATCTGACAGGCATCTCTGCGCACCACAGTTCGGAGGCTCCGTCGCCGAGGCCACCCTCCCCGTCCGCATGCAATTCATCCGCAAGGTCTACTCCATCCTGACCGTCCAACTGCTCCTCACCACCGCCATGAGCTCCATCAGCTTCTTCAGCACGCCGTACCGCAACTGGATCCAGACGAACCAGTGGATGATGTGGGTGTCGCTGTTCGGCGCCATCGGATTCATGCTCTTGACCTTCTGGAAGCGCAAGTCTTACCCCATGAACCTGGCGTTCTTGGGCGTGTTCACCGCGTTGGAGGCGTACTCGATTTCGGTCATCACGAGCTTTTACGAGGTAGGAGGAAAGATGAGGCGACATAGTGTTGATGGGACATCCGCTGATGATCACATGTGTAGAGCCGTATCGTTCTGCAAGCGTTGATCTTCACCCTTGCCATCTTCGCCGCTTTGACGCTCTTTGCTTGCCAGAGCAAGTACGACTTCACTTCATGGGTAAGCCCAGAGTCTCTCTTGTCTCCAACGACGGCGATTTATTTACTGACACTGCTATTTCCAGATGCCTTACCTCTTCGGTGCCCTCTGGGTCCTGATCATCTTCGGTTTTATGGCCGCTTTCTTCCCCAAGAGCAGCGCAGTCGAGCTCGGCTACGGCGTCGTCGCCGCTCTGATCTTCAGCGGATACATTCTCGTCGACACCCAGCTTGTGATGAGACATTACCACGTGGTACGTTATTTCGCCTCATGGAAAGTCTTACCCGCTCGAACTCCATACTGACTCTCGCGAAATTTACAGGAGGAGGAAATCGCCGCGAGCATCAGCCTCTACCTCGATATCCTCAACCTCTTCCTCGCGATCCTGCGCATCCTCAACAGCCAGTCGAACAACTAAGTGGTTTTTTTTTTCTTTCCGTTGCGCAGGATTGGTTCAGATTGAGACAATGTATGGTTGGGAGGCGTTCACGGGCTGTTTTGGCTGTATGGGAAATAATCGGACGAAAATTACTAGTGTGAGATCGAATTTAAAAGATACTGGCAGACATGAATGGGGCAAGGCACACTCGAGTGTTCTACTTTATCCTCGTCAAGCACACGAAAGGTCGTATTTTCTAACACGCCGAGCGAGTCCTGCAACTCCTACCGTATTTCAAGGGCTTCACCTGAGCACCTGGGCATGGTCAGGCCTTGGACTTAGGGTGGTCTTTTCCCGCGCGATGAGAAGGATCATGCAGCTCGTCGTGAATCTCCAGTCGAGGCCGTGTATTGACTTCTACTACATGTCAAGAGACGCGAATTTCTTCTCAATCTACACCCAAAACTCCCAAAGAATCACATCTAGAATGTACAGTTGATCATTGCCCTCGACTCCATGGGGAAGAATGGAACCGACGGCACCCAAGATCCTCTGAGAAAAAATTCCTTCTCCACTTGCACAGACGGTTTTCGTCGTCATGGAGCCTCCCCCTCGTGAGGGAAAGGTACTCTCGAGTCGAAAATGCTTTTAAAGGCAGTGTTGTTTTTTGCGTTGTTCATACAAGAAAGAAGAAGAAGAAAGGAAGGAAGATTGTGGCTCGTGGAGAAATTCTGATATCGCTGGACTTCGGAACAGAGGCGGCAGTGGCCGTCCGCGACGGAGCGGCACGGCGGCGACTTCCGGCCCTACGAAGCTGTCCCGCCGCTCTCTCCAACGACGATATCGACCCTCGACGCGCGACGCGTGGGGATGCACGTGTTTCTCTGTGCTTGCGCCATTCTTTTTTTGCCCTTCTCCGTCGCCATACTCGCTATATCTGTGCTTGAAACGAAGAGGACGACTTATTGCGCAGAGTTTGAAAACGAAATTCACTTGCGCGACAACCTCACAATATCGCCGGCGCTATGGCGCTCCTCCAGTACAAACAGATCGTCAATTACGAAGAGCAGCAAGGTGGGTGGATGATGTATACCTGACGGGGAATGCGCCAGTGCGGCAAGGTCATTGACGATTGTACAGCCGCTTTCGTGGACTTCCTGCAAAATTTCAAATCGTCGTCGACCGAGGCGGAGGATGCGCTGGGCGATTTGCGCCTGGACGCCGACGGCGACAACGACGAAGATGACGAGTTCATGGCCGAGACGAACGGCGCGCGAGGCGGTGCGCGGACGCGCGGGCGCGCCCATGCACAACTACCGAACAAGTTGAAATATGTCCAGATGCTGCAGGATGTCGCCGATCGGACCACCTCACAAGTCTTGGTCGATCTGGACGACTTGCAGGAGTGGGAGCGCAACGCGCAGGAGGACGGCGCGCAGAATCTGAACCTGGTCCCGTCGATCGAGAGGAATGCACACCATTATATTGAGATCTTCTCGCGGGCGGTCGACGCTGCGTTACCGGAGGCGACGCGGGATCCGAATTTCAAAGACGATGTCCTGGACATTATCATGAGTCAAAGATCTAAACGCAACGACGCCGTACGGCAACAACAGGACGCGAACGTGGAGAATGGTTTGCCCGAATCCATCTTCCCGCCGGAGTTGACGCGGCGGTACACGCTCAACTTCAAGCCCCTCACACCATCAGGATCCAGCAGCGACAAAAGCTCAAAAGCGATGGCCGTTCGGAATGTGCGCGGCGAACACCTCGGTCGTCTCATTACCATCCGCGGCATCGCAACTCGCGTCTCCGATGTCAAGCCGTCCATCCAGGTCAACGCATACTCTTGCGATCGATGTGGACACGAAATCTTCCAGCCCGTCACATCCAAACAATTCACACCTTTAATAGAATGTACCTCGAACGATTGCCGAATGAACGGTGCCAAGGGTCAGCTTTTCCTGTCCACTAGAGCTTCGAGGTTCTTGCCTTTCCAGGAGGTCAAGATTCAGGAGATGGCCGATCAAGTGCCGGTCGGACATATTCCCCGACAGCTCACTATCCACTGCCACGGTGAGCTGGTACGACAAGTCAACCCCGGTGATGTAGTCGACGTCGCCGGTATATTCTTGCCAACGCCATACACGGGCTTCCAGGCGATCCGCGCCGGTCTTTTGACCGATACATACCTCGAGGCGCAATACGTCCACCAGCACAAAAAGGCATACGACAACATTGTTCTTGCGCCGTCCACCATTCGTCGCATGACGGAATTAGAACAATCAGGTCAATTGTACGAGTTCCTCAGTCGGTCGATCGCCCCTGAGATCTTCGGTCACCTCGACGTCAAGAAAGCGTTACTGTTGCAGCTCATCGGTGGTGTCACCAAGGAAATGGGCGACGGCATGAAGATCCGTGGTGACATCAATGTTTGTCTCATGGGTGATCCCGGTGTGGCCAAATCTCAGCTTCTCAAATACATCACCAAGGTCGCACCTCGAGGTGTTTACACCACCGGACGAGGTAGCAGTGGCGTCGGTCTCACAGCTGCTGTCATGCGGGACCCCGTCACGGATGAGATGGTCCTGGAAGGTGGTGCACTGGTACTGGCAGACAACGGTACCTGCTGCATCGACGAATTCGACAAAATGGACGACAGCGACCGGACAGCTATTCACGAAGTCATGGAGCAGCAGACCATCTCCATCTCCAAGGCCGGCATCACCACCACATTGAACGCCCGCACCTCCATCCTCGCCGCCGCCAATCCGTTGTACGGTCGGTACAACCCACGCATCTCCCCCGTCGAGAACATCAACCTCCCAGCCGCCCTCCTCAGTCGATTCGATGTCCTCTTCCTCATCCTCGACACCCCCTCCCGCGACGGCGACGAGGAACTCGCCCGCCACGTCGCCTACGTGCACATGAACAACCGCCACCCCGAGCCCCAAGGCAGCGGCCTGATCTTCACCCCCAACGAGGTCCGCCAATGGGTCTCGCGCGCGCGCTCCTTCCGCCCCGTCGTCCCCGAATCCGTCTCCGACTACCTCGTCGGCGCCTACGTCCGCCTCCGCCAACAGCAGAAGCGCGACGAAGCCGGCAGCAAGACCTTCACCCACACCTCCCCGCGCACCCTGCTCGGCATCCTCCGCCTCTCCCAGGCCCTCGCCCGCCTGCGCTTCGCCGACCACGTCATCACCGACGACGTCGACGAGGCCCTCCGCCTGGTCGAGGTCAGCAAGGCGAGCCTCTACGACGACAACCGCGACCGCCGCGGCGACCAGTCCCCCAGCACCAAGATCTTCAACCTCATCCGCGGCATGCGCGAGAGCGGCGCCGCCGCGACCGGCGAGGGCCGCGGCGAGATGGACCTGCGCAGAGTGCGCGAGAGAGTCCTCGCGAAGGGCTTCACCGTCCAGCAGTTGGAGGCGACGCTGGAGGAGTACGCTAGCATCGACGTGAGTTTTCCTCTTTTCTCTTCTCTTCCCCCCCCCCTTGGCTGGTTTCTGGGGGGGTTTTTTCCTTTCGCGTCTCCTTACTGACAACCCCTCTACAGATCTGGCAAACTGCCGCCGAGGGCACGCGATTGGTGTTTATCGAAACGGGCGATGATTTCGACATGGATGATGAGGACTTTTGATCCCTTGCTCCTTTCTTCCTTGGACACACACACACACACCTTGAAAAGCTATCATGTCTGCGTTCTATGCGATGGGATTCATGAGGAGGGGCGGCTGAATAAAACGATTTTCCTTCTTCCACACACTCACACACAAAGTCCACCAGTAAAGGGAAAAACGAAACTCGGGAGAGGAAAAGAAATCCCGAATCCTCGGTGTGGGAGTCGACATGGAAAGTGCACGAGCGAGAGCAGGCGAGCGAGCAGCAAACTTCCCGCCCGTCCAACAGCAGCACCCTTGCGAGACCTGATTTCCTCATTTTTCTTCGTTTCCATCGATGATGCATGACGGATACCTGCTCGCTGCTGCAGCGGTGAACATCCCGCACGAGCAGTGCGCGCCGTCCACCACCAGCCGGAAGTTTCTATGTTTCCAGCCGGCAGTGGCGAGAACAACGGTGCTTGACGGCTACCTGCTGCTGCTTGCTGCCTGCTGCTCGCTGCCTGCTGCGACCAGGAACACCCCGCACGAGCGGTGCCGCGTGCGAACGGCCGAAGAATTCCTTTTTCTTTTCTATATTTACAGCGCAAACGACACCTGCATGTTCTGCTTCTCCCTGGATATGTGCAAGTGGTGGGTTGGGAGGGATGTCACCACTACCTGCCTATATGTCTCGCCTGCCTGCCTGCCTCGCCACAAGGTCTTGCTCTCGTCTCCGTATCTTTCGTGTGTTCACCCCTACGTGTCAATTTTTAGAAAAACCCATGATGGGGTTTTTCTCTGGAAGTCCGCTGCGTGGGTTCTGCTTCGTTGGAACTGCATGCATGGATGCATGTTCACGCCGTGTGGCACGTCGAGGCGCGTGATAATAATGGTGATCATCAAGGGGAGTGCGTACTGTGCCTTTTCCGACATCCTGCTTTTTGGGGGGCCTGGTGGAACGCTGTACGCCTCGTGAGTGACTGGACCTTCTTAGGGTTGGGGTTGCGGATCTGCGTTGGTGGCACATGCTGCGTACGGGTTGCTCGGCCCCCCGTGGTTCAAATCTATCTTTGTTTGCGTACCTTTGGTGTTTTTCGTTCCTGTTGGAGTGCTCTTGCAATTCCGAGGGCACGGAGGAAGGATTCCTTGACATTTTGGCATTTTGTTGGCACTGATGACCCCCAGAACTTCCGACAAGCTGCGGACAGGTCCTGCCGATCACGCCCCCAAAAACACCAACAGATTCGCTCACAGACTTGCCGTGATCATCGCTGGTCACTGTGCTGCAAATGACATTGCTCACCTAACATTCTCACTGAACATCAGGCGTGCCACAGATTCACCACACGCGCGGAAGAAGGTGTGAGTGCAATGAAAGCCGCGCATATCATACTCGCTGCGGTGGTGATTTAGAGGAACGGTGACGATTTAGAGTTCTGACAGCCTTGCATACGCGACTTTTGTTGTTCCTCAGGCGAGCCCGGACTTTGGCGCGTGGTTGGTGGGGGACAGGATTTCGCAGGGGTGGAAGACGGAGGGACCTTCCATTATGGGAACACATTCAGAACCTCCCTTGGGGTATCATATGCACTTTCTCAAGTAGCGACGGAGATGTTCACATGCAAGAATTAAAGGTCCGGAATGCTAGTTCGTATTGGGTCTGCGTAAAGTTCATGGATCTGTAAACTCGAGTCCATGGACGAAAGGAGGAATATCCCCGGCTGTGGGGGCCATGATGTGAAGAGAGTTTGCGACTGCGTGTCTCGACCATCACGAGTGAAGGATAGGACTCGGTTGGTCTTCGCTCGGGGATCTGGGCAGAGAGTCAACTCGCAACGTCTCTCCTCTTGGTTCTCGTCGCGTGAAGACTCATGACCCTGGGATGACAAGCGAGATATGATGACCTTCTTATTTTTAGTGACGATATTATTATCAGTCACCCAGTCGATCATATGACGCAGTACGTGTTGGTAGGAAGTGTTGGTGAACGACTGGTGATTATCAACCAGATGACATACCAGAGGCTGTACGGCGCCGCAGGGCAAGAAGAGATCAGTGACAAATGTCTACTTTTTCAGAGCCGAGACGTTTGCTCAGTCAGGGCGATCCGATCGATGGCGCAGAGAAGAGCAGGGAAAACCTCCTTCTCAACCATGTCGTGCTAGAGAGCGATGTCACAGTCGCTTTCGGCCAAACTCTCGCGATCAGTGGGGCTGACTGATCGGATGTAAAGCGTCTGCATGCACGACACACCGTGCCACGCGAGAGCTTCATGTGGGTCGCGAGAAGACGACTATAGCAACAGCGGCCTGCAGTAGTAGCAGAGTGGGCGACTTTTCGCCCAGCCACGGAGAGCAGAGACACCCACATCACTCCGCATCGCACCGCATCGCCTCGATCATTCCTCGAGATCCCTCCGAAATCCCGTAGATTGCTTGAAATCTCTCAAGATTCCTCTGCGTTCCACTGCATTCATTAGTGATCCTTAGCTTCCCGCGATCGCCTGGCGTGCAAATCAAAACCCTTGCCCTGCGACAGCCACTGTAACCATAGCCGGGGCCAGTCGTCGCCGGGGATACATTGGGAAAACAGAGTTTCAAGACGGATATGCGACGTTTCGTCGAGGAATGTGTTGGTTCAATGCTGCAGGTAGAGTATCGATGTGGCTGAGGCCGCCAGTCAGATCGTGAGGAAATGACGAGTAGTCCTGGAGTATACTTTTGTCTAGCACGATTCATCATTTCAGCACAGCCCGGTAGCTGCGGCTGCCGAGGAGGTGGAGGTGCAGACGGCAGCGGCCGGCGGGACGCGGCGCCGGGAAGGCCGCGATGTGCTATAAGCCGGATCCCACGCATGCGATCATGCCTCTTTGGGACGCCGCGTCTGTGCGCGACGACATCTGTCGCTCCTCATTCGACCACTGTCGCGGATGCTTGCGTTTAAGGGAGACAATCAACGACGAACTCCTTTGCTCGAACATGATGCACTGTGCCGATTCGTTCGGATGCAAAGCTTAATCACTCTCTCGTGGTGTATGTGATTCTGCGCTCATGCGCTTTGCAGTCCCAATGTAACTACGGTGAATGTTTGCACTGCAAATGTCCCGGGCCGGTACTGTTCTTCGCCTAGTCTGAATGGCAGCACCCGGCGTCCGTTCCCGTCCGCTGTTGCCGAGATGCACGAGTCTCGTCCTCGATCGAAGGGGAACCCTTTCGGAGACTCCGCCCTCGCGCATAGCACGAAAGTCACGGGGAGGGCAATCTGGCGGAAACGATAGGACGTAAATCCTCGGTCCAGCGCAGCAACGTGTAGGATCTCGCGCGAGAGACCACCCCTTTCGCGGGCCCGCGCAAAGACGAATCCATGGCCTCGCATTGGGGTGAGAGCCAGGCCCAGTCCCTCGCGCTCCCTGCCGCATTCGCGCGAAATGAGGAAAAACATGATATCAGACTCCCTGTGAAATTCCAACAACCCAAAAAGAGGCCTACCCAGCACAGCGTCATGCACGAGCCGGTAGGCACTCGGGAGTTTGACCTATGTCGAGAGTGGAGAATCCCCTCCAAAAAGCCACACTAGACCGGGGTGGTTTAGACTTGTATACGCCTATGCGCGTGGTAAACTGCCTGATGGGAAGCCTATGCGCAAAATGGGAACGTCTCAGCCAATCGATTTTTCCAAGGCATCCAAGCGTCAGGCGATGGACCATCATCGCCATGCCGCTGTGCATTGTGACTCGACGCCTCGTCGACTTTTAGAACAGGGCGGACTTCGCATGCTCAGTGGAAGCCGCACGCATCTGTGGCGCTGTCCGACACATCGCGCTCTTTAGACGTCACTACCGTTGTGCTGCAGTCCCAGGGGAGATTTCAAGCTTCATGCATCGCGGTCGGCTGGCGACGCCGCAATGCACCTAACATTTGATCGTCCGACTCATTCCAACTGTTGTTACTTTCCATCCCCCTAAGGAGCTAAACGGAGTGGAATCTTGTTGGGTGTGGGGTTCATGCGAAAATGGGGAACGCATGTGTGGTGCCGTCATTTTGTCGACGACTCTGGTCCAATTGCGTAAATAGACAGGAGGGATGTTTATAAACCTCGCTGCGGCCTCTCTGCCGGCCTGACCATGCCCAGGCAGATGCACCGTCCCTGGCCCTCTCGCATACATCACCTGTTGGATCAAGACTTGTTCACCTGCTCCCTGCGGCGCGCCGATACGAGTCGACCTTGGTACACGGGCGAATACATAAAGGACTCGATGTGCCGAACCTTGATGATCATCATCCTTCGAGCAGGACAAGACATACTCAAAACATCATCAAAACAACATCAACAACAACAACATCAAGTTCTGCCTTGCTCATCATCCAGTGTTTCATTCACATACTCTCGCACAACTCCGGGCATATCTCGCAAAGGAGAGGCGGGACCCGATCACACAATCCTTCACACGATAACCTCTCCATGTCACATTACGGCGCTCCGGTATCCGAGTTCGGATCGTTGGCTCTCAGCGGCAGTAGCTCTGGCGAGGAAGACATGGTCGCAGTGACCCGATCACAAGCAGCACGGCAGGCCGGTGCAGCAGCAGTCGCAGGACGAACCATGGCGCGCCGCGCGACAGCAACCCCCGCTACTCCCCCCAGCAGCGCACGAAGACCTGCCGCGGGTCAAGTGCGATATGCGGGACAAGCTCAACAGGATGATTCGGACGAGGAGGAAGATGGAATGGATTATCAACGGCAAGCGCGGGACATTTTGGCCTTTTTCGAGCCAGATGGATTGTTTGTCAGTGAGGCATTCAACCCCAATTTCCCAGATGATCTCCGCTCGCCACGAGGGTAAGTCTCCCAGATCAATTCGATCATCCATTCCATCTCGTGTTAGACTTGGAAAGCTGACTTGTGTATGTAGTCGTGTATTCGCCTCCTTAATGCGGACACTGACGTCCAGGGTTCGTACCGCAGAGAGCCTCGCCGAGATCGAGCAGACCTTTTCTACCAGCATGCCCAGCTGGCACAGCTGGGCGACCACTCGAGTCCGACAAACGATCGAGGGAGAGATGCGCAAGTACGCCGACCGCTCCATCGACATCGTGACGTCGGTGGATCTCCTAAGTCGCGCAGGCCAGGAATGCGGCTATCTGCTCAAGTATCACTCCGATACTACCGCCACCGAGATGTGCGGTGTCATGGTCAGGCTCATGTGGTTCATCGTCCAGAACGATGTGCATCTCAACCCCAACCCTGGCTATGTCGGCGGTGCACACGAGCACAACCTTTATCGCCGCTTCGTCAGCACGCCGCAAGCTTGGGGGCCGGTGTTATACTGGTGGAACCAGGCTCTCGACGATGAGGATGTTGTCGAGATTTTTCAGCGAGCCGCGGCGAACTTGAGGGTCCTTTGGGGATCCGTCAGCGAGCGACATCAGGACAGTTCTCCGGAGGAAAGCGAGTATCGATTCAAGGCCCAGTTCGGATCGCTGATCCACAAGATTCTGAGTAAGTCGGACGCCACCCCTGCTCATCTGCCGCTATGAGACCTTCGCTAATCATACCAATAGCTTCACCACAGTGATGGCAACAGCGCACGAGGGCGCTAACGCAACATATCATATGTCATAGAAGAGCCAAGCCTCGAGATTGCTGTTGTATTGAGCGAGATTCGTTCGGAAAGTGCTTTCGGACATGCATTTTTTAGATGGCGCAACGGGCATTAGACTGGAGTTGGGTTGGCGGGAAATTGTTCATATGGGAGTTTTTTGCAAGTATTTGGGAACTCGTTGTTTGTCGTCGTATCTCATCTCTCGTCATTCATTTCGCACCTCGTTCTTCTTCGTCGCTGAGTTTTACGGCGCAGCTTGATGCTCGGATTAGCTCGCTGGTGCCTGAACTTTACACCCACCCTTGCACGTCGGAAGTTTCGGGAAGTATTCAGGCCTCCGCGTGTGCTCAAAAGCAAAATGCATTACGCCGTCTTCCTGCTTGATGAGGGCTTTCTGAAATGCCCCTGCATCCAGCAGCGATACATCTTAATCTTACGCTGCCGATTGACCAGCATTCTGCGATCGACAGCCAAATTGACGACTTCAAATCTCCCGAGATCGGCGTTAGTAGGTGCTGTCTCATCGTCGCCTTGTGGAAGGGCACCACCGTGACTCCAAATGTCCCTCAATTCCTCGAGCTCGAAGAAATACACCCTCGTGCCATCTCCTCGGACATAGAAATTCTCGTCCAGATATCGGCCTTTCTTGAAGCGCACCTGCGCGAGGTCACCGCGGCCATAATCTCGAAAGAGGATCTCGCCACCAGGCTTGAGCAGTGTGAAGAGGTTCTGTACTGCCTGGGTCCATTGATCGGGCGCGAGGGCGGAGAAGATGAAAATCATCAGCACGACGTCGACACTGCCGGGCGCGAGGCCTTCGGGTAGCTCAGTCCCGGCAGCGTCCCAAACGTGTGCCTTCAATGTCGTCTGGGAGTCTGCGGTATATGCCGGTTGCGATTGGATGATTTCGATCGCTTTTTTGCTGTAGTCGCAGGCGTGGAGATTTAATTGAGGGTTTTGATTCATCGCGAGCAGCGGAAACGCAGTGTTACCCGCGCCTGCACCCACTTCCAGCACCGTCACAGGACCATAGTCTGCGCCGGTAACGGTACTCAGGACGGGGAACTCTTGCGCCAGCCATTTGCGATCCTTGAAAAAGTTGGCCTGATTCTTGCTGTAGAATTTATCCCACCATTTCTCCGGACTGGTATTGAAGCGTTGCTTGTCGAAATCTGAGACTTGATTGTCTCTTTGGAAGGTCGTTTGCTGCTCGATGAAATCGTTGTATTGTGAGTCCACCTCGACGTGGTCCCAAGCGTTGTGAGCGAAGATGTCGTCGCCTTCTTCAAGATATCGCGTGCCGAATTGGAATGGATCGACCCGCTTCTCCGGATTCTCACTGGAATTGGTTGCCGGCTTTCTTACAGGGGCAAAAGTGGCAGGCACGCCGTACGCATCTTCGCCGGCAGTCGACGTGTCTTGATCCGAAGCTTCGTTGATTGTGACATATGTACGCATGTGCTCCATGCCTTTGGTCAATTGTTGTCTGGGCTTACGAGGCCGTTCGGCCACTGATGTGAGTTCCGCTGTCTTCGTCTCTATGTTCTCCATCTTGAACATCAATGTGCTGTATATCGAATCAATATAAGTAGAATCGATAATCTTTGTCGTAATGTCTCGTACATTGGAATGGCGTTCTTCAAGAATATTTCGATTTCGATGGTTGTTGATCTAATCTCAAAAAGTGGGACAGACCATGCTCGGATCTACCCGAACCCTAGGCCTCGACCAGCCCAGTTCACTCCAGCTTCTTCCTCTATCATGCCCAGGTGGTTCAACAACAGCGAGTTGGTTTGCAGTTACAGCAGCACTGTCAATGAAAGGCCAGCTGCACAGACATGTATAGGGAATACACATGATACATAGATAGCACAATCTCTACCTGCCCATCACCTACAGAAAACAGACCCATAAACAATGCAATGTATTTCCTCTCAATTTACAGAATTTCAAAACCACGTCAAAGTCCAAGCCACACCGCCGTGACTACTCACTGCAATTTGGTCTTGCCTTGCTGTGCCGCAGGACCCATTTCCTTGCTGAAAGCCATGTAGCTGACCTCCAGGCCAGCAATGGCCGAGAGACCAACGTAGAGGATGGAGATGAGCAGGATGGTGACGGTGAGGCCCATGAAGATGGCTATGAAAAATGTCAGCAACCCTGAGATTGGCGAAAGCTAATTTCACGAGACAGAGGCTAGTGAGAGAGGGTAAAGAATGGGACTTACCAGGAGATAGGAACGAGTAGCGCTCGAATAGAGGCAGACCCTTCTGGTGCTCGTCCTCACTGCTAGAGTTGCGAGGGTAGACGCCAACGTCGCGCTTGAGATCCGAGTGGAGGACTTCGTGCAGGATCGGCGAGTCCATCTCGTAGGTCTGCGACTCGTCCGCGACTGCATCTTGCTGAGAAGAGGAAGTCGACGGCGAAGAGACGAAGATCAGGACATGCTTGGTGTGGTTGGCTTTGGTGGTGAGGATGTTTTCAATCTCGGCGTCTGGTAGGATGGGTGAGTTTTGAGCTTCAAAGGACAAGTTAGGATGCGTGCAAATGCCTACCTGCGGCTTCTAGACCTTCTTGACGGGCGTGTGCATCCGGATGTAATGCCGGGAGTGACAAAGTTGTGATGATGGGCTGATCGCCGTGACCGTGTCCGTTCTGGTCTGTATTCGAAGATAGTCGCGTCAGCAAAGCCTCCCTCTATTTTCTGCCCAGGAGCATCGAGTTTCATAAATTTTCCCTTTCTGCTCTCCTAAGCAATCGCAGACAGAAGAAACCAGACCAAACCCACAGTAGTCCTCCACACTGACTTTCCTCCCCGAACATCTCTCCCCGATCACCCTCTGGATCTCCTCGACATCCACGTCCCCAATGACCTCCGGAATCTGCACCGCCGCCTCGTACATATCCGCACCCTGCAACATCCTCCTCCTCATCCGGGGCATCGCTTTTCCTGCCTCGAAGTCTCCCGCCGAGAGTCCCGGCTGCGAGACGATGAGGTAGAGTTCGGCATCGCAGCCGCGGAACGCGGCGAGGGTCTCGTCTGTCACTTGCGATGCGAGCGCTAATTGCTGGGAGCGCAGGGTTGTGGAGTCGTGGAGGGGAGTGCTTGACAAGAGGAAGAAGGGCGATGAGGAGCTGCTGGAGGGGATCTGAGTGCAGGATGCGGTGGAGAGGAGAAGAGCCGTGGCGGCGAGGGCGGCTCGGGAGAAGACCATGGTGGAGGTTGTTGTTGTTTCTTGGAGAGGTCGTGGCGGAGTCGATGTCGTCGGACTGGCGTTGTCGACAGGCTGCCAAAGGCTATCGCTCTTGCTGTGTTACTATGACTCCGGTCGTGGCGATGGGAATACTCTGATCAATGTAATGTACACCTGCATGTAGACATTCCCCGATGTTTGCTGAATGCACAGTTGGAGCTTGAGGCTAATGGGTGCCCCAAAGTGACGACGTGCACGGCTCTTCCCGCTACACCTTCCCTCTGCACACACGCGCATCACCTCCGACCGCCAACTCCGACAGCAGGTGCATGTTCCAATGCTAGGGCAAATCTTGAAATATCTAGTAATGTATATATAGTTGCTACGACCCAACTCACTTCAACTTGAGATTCTTTGCACATTGGCTTCTAGAATCTCTCGCTGCCAGCTTGTAAGACGTATAAAAGATATGCGTGCATTCGCCAACCGTGCTATCCAGTCTCTTCGTAGGGCGTTGTACAACGACCATCATCTACGATTGGTAGCAGCAGCGCCGCCTCCTTTTGGGGCTTGCTCAGGATGTCCCGTTGGTTGAAGAAGGGACTTCAATCGGCAAAGGGCCATCTTGCGGACGCAACACAAGCTACACAACATAATGTGCAGAAATTTGCTCAGGCCAACGCAGCGTCATCTCCTCTCGTCGAAGGCTACTATGAAGCCCGCGCCCACGAAAGGTTCAACGACGGACGTTACGAGGCGATTCGACGGCTGGGCACAGGACAGTATTCCCATGTTTGGCTGGCCGACGACTTGCAGTACGTCCGCTGAATTATGCCATGTTGATTATCGGCCCTAAGCAGTAGAAACAGCGAAAACTCGCAAGTGGCCCTGAAGCTCTTGACTACGGATTGCTATGGAGGCGATCATGATATTTTTGAGGTTGAGATACTCAACAGAATCGCTGAGCAACAGCGCCTCCTGTCGAATGCGGCACGTAACTCCCATGTGATCGGTTCTTTGGATAGTTTTCGGCTTCGTGGCCCGGCCGGAGAGCACAGGTGTATCGTGATGCCGGTGTTGGGGTCTAGTCTTGGACAACAGGTGCACCGCTTCCCAAATCGCCGGATTCCCGTAAAGACAACGAAGGAGATCGTGAAGCAATTGTTACAGGGTTTGTCATTTTTACACGACGACTGCAGAATCATACACACAGGTATCGCAGATCGGCGCAATTTCCGAGGACCATCACTGACCAATTATTAGACCTTCAACCTGCGAACATATGCATCGAAATAGCACCAGGCGAGATAGAGCCTACGTGTGTCGGGATCGCAGTCAGCGAATGACTGACACCGTGCCCAGGAATGGCCTCGGGTGAATCTGCGGACAGCGTGACACCTACTATTGACAGCACAGTGAGCGTCAAGATTATTGACTTCGGCGTCGGTCCATGATTGCGACCTTTGTGCAAGAGATTGGCAAGTTTACTGACCTTTCCGAAGCATCCTGGGTGGATAAACATCTCAGTGACCGTATCCAACCAGAGCACTTGAGGGCTCCAGAGGTTTTCCTCGGCGCTCCATGGGGCCCGCCGTGTGACATATGGAGCTTAGGCTGCCTCGTACGTGGGATGCACCCTCGTTTCTACACCCATCGCAGGAAATTCTAAAAGTTCCCTAGATCGTCGAGTTCATCCAAGGATTTGTCTTGTTCGACGGGAAGGCTTCTCAGCGCGGGACTTGGACTTCGGAAGATGATCACCTCGCTCAACATATGGAGGTCCTCGGTCCGATGCCGTCTGAGCTTCTGTAGCGCGGCATCAAAACCAGCGAGTATTTCGATGAGACCGGTACGATCATCACTCCGTGATACTTGCCCATGAAAGAGACTGACGACCTGTCTCATGCACCAGGCACGCTAATCCGGATCCTTGCGCTGAAGGTCGTATCTCTAGAACACATGATTGACGGCGAAGAAGGGGTCTTCCAACGACCCACAGATATGAAAAAAGACGAAGTACCAGCATTCGCGTCTTTCCTACGGAGCGCATTATCCCTTGACCCGAATAGACGCGGCACCGCAGCTCAACTGTTGCAGCACGAATGGTTACATACTTAAGCCTTAGGTCTGGACCCGCATCAACCTGAATTGGAGAGCAATGGGCCGGTCAGGAGCCTGTGTCACTTGAGAAACGTCCGCTTGTTTCCGGCCACATGTTGATACGCCACGTCGACCTCGGCCCTGGCTCGTCGCCAGCGTGTGTACCCGTTCGATGCTATAGCGAAGTCCAGCCTCGCTTCACGGGGATGACGGCTTGTTTCGAATTCCGCGGAGGAGAGAGCACAGAGTCAGGGGAAAAGTCTCAGCCTGGCGGAAGTCTTCCTCGACGAAGTGAGTGACGGGAGTGCTTCTACGGGCAGGGGCGTCATGCTGTAGCCGCTAGCTTCGTACATCCAAATCGAATAGGTGCGTCAACGCAGATTCGAGGCCCTCGAGGCAGCTCCTTGAACCTTTGCAGCGCCCGCATACCCCGTCGCTTTCGCTCAACCATCGATCTGTGGTACGATTCAAAGCTTGAAATGGTCCGCAGTGTTCGAGATTGACGTGTGATCCGCACTCGACGACTTCTCGCATGCCCCTGACACCCACAGAGACAAGATCTCGGCCTCCTTTCGAGGTCTCGCGATGGATCCTGGACAGACATCATGTATTCGAGCATACGAATTTCTATTATCCTTCGCCGTTTCACCCAGAGAAATGTTCCCCTCTGCACCTTCAATTCTCGCGCATCTTGCTGGTTATAGCTCTCACTCCCAAGTCAGCAACTCCGAAGGTCCTGCTCAAAAGCCATGCGCAGAGCGTTGAAGCCGAGCTTAACATGATTTCAGCGCCAGGTTTGTCCGCGCCTCATCATCAGGATCGGGAGGGTTATCTACGACACATCTCTGCCAGTAATCTGTGCGAATCGCCATCCAGCTACGCTTGATAAGTACGGACAGCTCCGGCGCTGAACCATATCAAGTCTCGACGCGCAGTCCGTGACAGGACTTTTTGAGCAGAACCTCCGCAGTGCTGTAAGAACTTTACGAACCCCTCGATCGGCGGCAAGGACTTACTTGGTTTATTGACCATCTATGTACGGAGCCATATCAGTATATTGTACGTTTGCCAGGGTAGGGCACGTTATGTGTAGAATAGAGATGTCGAGACAAAGATATCACAAGCCGCGGCGTACCGTCAATTCCGCCTATCGATTACGGACCCTAAGACTCGCCGCGTTTTTTTCGGCTTGATCCTCCAATAAACTACCTGCTGCTGTACACAGATAAATACTATAAATTTCCAATCGCGCAAGCGCAGCACTCTCGCACAGCATACACAATATACCTGCCGAGCCAGAGCCGCAGAGACACGACCGTACCATCGCATCGAAAGGGAGAAATCATACATCACCTCCCGAAAGAAGGCAAACCCTCGAAAGGCAGCGACCAGCACTCTTCCCCGACCCGAAAAGAAGAAAGACAGAAAACCCCGAACTTCCCATAATCCCAGCAGCAGCAGCAGCAGCAGCAGCGACATCCCCACCCCACCGACCCCTCCCTCCAACAGACGAAAAGGAAAGGAAAAGAAAAGAAAAGAAAAGAAAAGAGAGGAGAGCATGCCGTTCCGCGTCACGAAACGCCCGCCGCCGTCTAAGGTCAAGCCGATAAAAGCGCCCAAGACGCTCGAGCTCACGTTCGACGCGGGCGCGCGGCAGGACTACCTCACGGGCTTCTCGAAGCGGAAGAAGGCGCGGGCCCAGGCGGCGAGGGAATCGGCCGAGGCGAAGGAGAAGGAGGAGAGGGTGAGGGAGAGGAGAGCGGTGAGTTTGCGCGTTTTCTTTCCTTTTTTTTTCTTTTTTCCGCGTTTTTCTTTGGTGGCGCCGGGAGGGGGTTTGATCTTCGGGAGGATTTTGGAATCTTGGGAGAGGGTTGGGTTGAATAAGAAAGAGAGAGAGAGAGGAAAAGAGAGGAAAAGAGAGAAGCAGACAGACAGACCCGAGTGCTGACGACGGCGCACCGATCGCACAGCTCCGGGACAAGCGCAAGACCGACCTCGAGGAACACGTCGCGCTGATCGCGAAGGAGATGCGGCGACAGACGCGGATCATGGACGGGGAGGAAGACGCGGGGCTATCGTCCGACGACGAGGACGACGAGGACGACGGAGAGAAGGGCGGGAAGGATTGGGACGGCATCCCGGACCCAACACCGGCCACGGCGATCCCCGAGGAAGACGCGGAGGCGGAGTACATCGACGAGGACAAATACACCACCGTGACGGTCGAGGCGATGGGGGAATCCGACGAGGACGGAGAGGAGGAGGAGATCGACTACGCGGCGCTGGACGCGGCGAAGGCGTCGGAGCTGCACGCGAAGCGCAACGCGAGGCGGCGGCCGTGGGAGAAGCGCAACCCCGACGGCAGCCTCCAGCCCAAGGCGAAGAAGCAGAAATTCCGGTACGAGTCCAAGGCCGACAGGCAGGCGACGCGGCAGAAGCAGAAGTCGAAGAACGCGAAGAAGGCGGCGAGTCGGAGGGACGGATGAGGGTGGCTTTATTCTCCTTTCCTTCTCGATATGGAGATAGGGAGGGAATCTCGGGCGGGTGGGTGTATTCCTACTGTAACAGTAGTTGGGGGAAACTGTGGGAGGGAGGATATGTATTCGAATGAATGAATGAATGAACGAATGACATCCTAGGAAGGCATCGTGGGAAAAACAGGCTGGATGATCCGTGAACACGAAAGGGCGCCTTTCATGTTGATTGGGGACCGGGCTGCAAGGGGAACCTCTGAACGCTCGCTGTGGGAGTCGTGCGGGCGGGCTGCCGGCCTGAACTCCCCTTCCGGATCGAGCTCCCTTTTCTACGTGCGTGTGTGTGTGTGGGAAGGAGGAAAAGACATATTTATCGGTTCGTGGTATGCCGATTACTCGTCGCGCAGCCGGCCTGTCTCATCACGATGGATAGTTCACGCAATGACGGGATTTCTTCTCTTGCTTGTTCTCGATTTTCTTTTTTCGGTAGAGCGCTTTGCACTGGGGAGATGTGATTCACATGGTGCACGAACCGTAGGCTGGGAGAGAGAGAGAAGAGAGAGAAGAGCACAAGAAGAGCACAAGAAGGGTGGTTTACTTGATTGAAGAAAGGTGTGGATTTTCCCATGACGAGTCGCTCGCGGAGAGAAACAAAAAGGCCATTGTTTCCGTGTCTCCTTTTCGACTTCGCGGAGATGGGAAATCCGACAGACAGACTGGGCGAGCTCGATGGCGACGCGACTGCCGCTCTTCTGGGGAACGAAAAATCGTGCACGTTGTTCTAAATGAGGTGGGGTGGTGTGGTGGCAGAGGGTTCGGGGGGAGGGGGATATCAAAAGAAATTTGACCTGAGCTTGCGTGTCTCGTCCAGAGCGGGAAATCTCCCATCGTCACAGGGCCGCGTGCTCTTCCGGGCCTGTGATCTGACGAAACCGGAGCTGCGAGGATATCTCTCCATCAAAGGACGTCTGAGCGAAGTTTCCCCCTGTCGAGATTCCAATCGCGTCTCTTTCTCGGTCAGATCGTACTGCCCGGTTGCCACCACCGTCCCGTGAAAGTCGAGAGATCCGCGACGCGACCGCATTGCAAAGGTTGACGAAATGAAGCGAAGTGGAAATTTAGATGTTGCCGATCTCGGCGACGAAGTCGGCCAGCTCCTTCTTGACCTCGGTGTACTTCTTGGACATCTCCTCGAACTTCTTCTCCCACTGGTCGCGCTCGGACTCGAGGGCCTGGACTTTTCGCTCGTAGTGGCCGGCCTTGACGTCGGTTTGTCGGAGCCTGTGAAGAGGGGAAAAAGATGAATGTCAGTGTCTGATTCCCAGAACGAAAGACCGATCGCGATCGTTTGTATCCTCATATCGGACGGGCGAGGGTGAAGGGAGAAACATACTTGTCGTTGGTCTCGCGGAGGTTCTTGTCGTTCAGCTCGGCCTCCTCCTCGAGGAGCTGCAGCCTCCTCGTCAACGTCTCGTTCTGGGTGCCGTGCTGAGCGCTCTCGGTGACGGCGGCCTTGGCCTCGCCGTGGGCCTTCTCCAACTTTTCCACATCGGCCTCGAGGAGCTGGTTCTTGTGGGAGAGGGAGGTGATTTCCTGCTCCTTGGCGAGGTTCTCCTGCTGGAGCTGCTTGACCTGCTTCTGCAACTCTTCGACCTTGGAGGCGGACTCGTCGGCTTCGATGCGCAGGGCATTCATACGCTGTGGAGGAGGGACAAGACGGTCAGTATGTGGGAAGTCCGCACGGGTTGTAGCCGAGGACGACGATATGACACGAGGGGATGTCTTGAGGAGGCCAAGGGCGAATGACGGTCCTCGCCAGCTCATGCAGGAGGTGACAGGCTTGCATGGGGTGGGACATGCGAGCAACAGGACAGGCGACAGGCAGCGATGAGGGGCAATTTTTCAGGGAAAAGAGAGATGAGGGACGGCGCCTACCTTCTTGATGGCGTCCATTGTGTGATGTGTGATGTGTGTGTGGTGTGTTTGTGTGTGAGAGAGAGAGAGAATGTGTGTGTGGGTGGTGTTGAAGAGACAAGTGCAAGATGTGCGACAAGTTCGAGGTGTTGCTCGAGGAATTTCCAAGCGGCGGCGGCGGCGGCGGTGGTGGTGGTGGTGGTGGTGGTGGTGCAGGTGGTAATGGAAGGAGTATGTATGTATGTGTGTATGTGTGTATGTATGTATGTATGTATGTATGCAGGTGCGTGTTAGGTCTCTGTTAGGAGAGAGAGAGACAGAGAGCTGGGAGATGCCCCGAATGTGTATAATACTGTCCTCACTGGGCATTACTGTACATAACAGCATAACTACCACATAACTATCACATCACCACCTCATAACTTCCTGATAACCACCACATAAATTCCTCATAAATTCCTCAAGGTGGTGGCAGCGACAAACCTCAGGCGGGGCCGAATTGAACTGAACTGAATTGAACTGAACTCGGTTGTGAGGCAACCCAGCGGGACATTCCAGTGCCTACCTACCTATAGTGACTACGGTATAGTATCCTGTAGGTGGTGAGGGAATCGATGGGACGCTCAGGGATGAACAGGAGAGAGGAGCTCGGAAGCTGCTACCCACCTAGCAGTCACCTAATATTATTAGCACTGGACTGCCAAAGGCGATTCAATCTCCGCCCATACATTTTACTATGGCGGGACATTGGCCCGCACTTGAGAAGGTGAATGAACCGAGACCCTGAACGAACCCGCCCCGCCCGCCTGCTCGCCCAGACAGCCGCCGCCGCCGCTTCTTCTGCTAGGGACGACTGTACTCAGTGTACTACTACTGGACGTGCCGTGCCCAGCCCAGGCGTGGACGGGACACATATGCATAATATATTAACAATAGGCGAGACTGGGCAGAGAACGCTGAGTGAGCCTACCCAGAGCCTCTGGTATAGAGGGGGTGACTAGGTATGTACCTAGGTATGTGTGTGTATATATATGTATGTATAGTATAGTGTGTATACTGCAGTATAGTATGTATGCCCCTGGCCAGTCTCGAGGTGGGCAATGGGCAAAACCTTGGAAAAGGTGCAACTCAGCCGAACTTGTGCAGAAACCAGGGTCTGCTTACATAACTCACCAATGACCATAGCTGTGCATGACGGTGCATAAATGTGCACCCTCACCACTACCGTTTAGGGTTTAGGTGGATAACTCTATTCGATCCCTCGCTAAACCCTAAACGGAGAAACGTTTATTTGATGAAATCATGTTAGTTGCGCCCCCCAGACACTGTCATTTATTATACTGTACATACATATCGATTGCGCGCCGACGCCCTCACCACCACCCACCCTGACCTGACACCCGTGATTATCACACCACAGGCATCTCCGCACTACCTTATAGTCTCCGTCCGCGGTCCATCCGCCTACTCTCTACCTCCTGGTTCGATATCCTGGACCGGGACCACCATGTAAACATCCACCGCGCGCGCAACGCAGAAACTGAATCCCACCGTCGATCCTCGCCTTGCCAACCGCGACCATGTTCGCGACGCGTGCGAACCAGGAGAACGCCGTACACGCCCAGCAACTGGCCCCGACCGGGAAGCCATTGGCCCAGAGTTCGAAGCATCTCGCGCCCAAGACCCCCGCCAAGGCTCCGAACGCGTCCAAAACTCCATGGAAAGCTGGGAGGAATGACGAGAACGGCAAAGCGGGTTTTGGGCAGCCCGGAGGCAAGGAAGGCAAGGAAGGCAAGGTCGACCGGAGTGCTTTCGTGACGCCGGCCAGTGAGTCAACCCCCGAGCGTCGATGGGGACATGGTGTAGCATCTAACATGGCGCCCTTCTTCCAGATACCCGAGTTCGTGCTCCTCTTGGAGCCAAGACGGGCAACGTCAAGGCTTTGCGCACTCCCAGCGCAGCGCCGGCTCAGGATCGAGCGCAGTCCTCCGTCAAACCCACCAGTCCGCGTTTACGCCGTTCCAAGATCAAGGTCCATGCTGGAGAGCTCGAGACGCGAGTCGTCCCGCCCGAACCGGAAGAGCGCGAGATCGAGTACATGCCACCGCGTGAGATACCCTTGCCGGATCACCCGGACGACATCTGGCCGCATGATCGAGAGTATCCGGAACTGCAGGGCAAGAACTTCACACGTGGCTGGTGGGCGGAATACGCACCACGGCCCAAGGACGACGACGACGACAGCGATTTCGAAGAACGCTACCGCAAAGCCGTCGCCGAGGAGGAGCGACGCGACCAGGCCGAGGCGACATCACATACCGTCACCGCCAAGGATGCAGCATCCGCCTTGTCCAATCCCTCACAACCTGCTCGCCGCCGTCCAGCAGCCTCCAACTTCGCCGCACCCACCATCGCCGCCAAAGCCCGACAACCCGCCGTGATCAAGAAGCCCTCCCCCATCGACCGTCACCCGCGCTTCACCGCCGCGAAAGCCGCCTCCAACAGCACCATCGGATACTCCAAGGGTCGCGCCGTGTCATCCTCCTCGATGCGCTCCCTCGGAGACATCCACGTGCGTCCCGCATCGGCCGCGGCATCCGCCGCCGCCGTCGAGGAACCTCCTGTTTCCGCTGAAGTCCACGAGAGAGCGCTGCGGACCGCGCTCAAGCTGAGCGAATTGTTCATTACGGACGATGTCGACGATGCCCTGGCGTTTCCCTCAATGGTCGAGCGTACCGGCGAGGGCGCTTTTGACGAATTCGAGGATTTCCAACTCGATCCTGTGGAGGAGGTCTGAACTTTTGCTGGGAAAAAAAAGCAAAGTCTGTTTATGCATTATGAAACGAAGAGAATGAATCCCCTGTTGCAGCGATGCGAATCGTTTTGTTTGACAAATCGCTGTTGAGTACATCGCTCATCCTGGACGAATTTCCAGTCTTCGCGCCCGTGACTCCTCTCCACATCCTGCCGTCCCCGCATCAAGTCCCTGAACGGCGCGGCGTTCTAATCGCCGACATGCGTCCGTACCGACTCCCAGCCGTGTACAGTCATGACGAGACCTCGTGCGACTCGACACGTCGCTCCCATGTAAAAGCCTCAATTGTAGGAGCGACGGCTCTGCTTTCGATTCGAAATCCAACAAATCTTCAACAATGACGACAGCGAACCCTCGCCGCAACAACGGCCTGTTCGAGTCTCTCTCGCCGTCGTCCACCGGACCACGATCGCCTCCTTGAAGCCGAACCCCGAGCCGGCTTTCGGAACTTGCACCAGTGGCGGGCTTACGTAACCCGAGATGAGCCATTCTCGCTCATCGCGAGCATTAAAGCTTCCCTGAGGTGAGTCAGGTCTAAAGTGGAGCTTGAAATGCACGATGTCATACTAATGCCGTCTAGTGCTGATGAGAGACGACTTTCTCTTCGAGACAAATGCCTTTTACATATGGGATCACGATGGCTCATACTGTTGGACGACACCAAAGGCAGCCTGCGGTACAAGTATAGACATATACATATATAAATACATATATATATATATATGTATCCATATCTCTCTCCCGCTTTCCCAATCCTACTCGAGTTGAACAATCACAAGTCAAGATAAATCCCGTGTGAAGAAGCAGTTCCGCTTCCACCACCTCTCCCTCTCCGAGATGGATCTTCTCAAGACTCCCGCTTTTGCGGCCCACGTCGAATCGCTGCTCAAGGAACACCACACCCCGGGCGTCTCCATCGCCATTGTCCACGACGACACCTTCTCCTCAGCCGCCTTCGGTAAATCCGTCATCTCGTCCGACGCCGGCAGCGAGGAGCGAGACTGTACCCCTGACACGCTCTTCGACATCGCTTCCTGCAGCAAGAGTCTCACCGCAGCGGCAGTAGCCTTGCTCGTGGAAGACGATGTCAATTTCCCGAACGTCAAATGGGACTCCAAGATGAGCGATCTGTTGCCGGAGGATTTCGTGTTGGAAAAGGACGAGTACACGAGGGATGTCACCATCGAGGACATCTTGAGTCACAGGTCGGGATTACCCAGGTAAATTGACCCCCCTCATCTGTTCCTTGCGGATCGTAGTCTCGGCGAAGTGACCCGAAGCTCACGATGAATGCGTTTCCTGCAGCCACGATAGTGTCTATATGGGCACCAAGGCCAAACGCCCCGACACCGCCAAAAGCATCACCCGAAAACTTCGACACCTCCCTCTCGCGAAGCCGATCCGATCCTCCCACATGTACTGCAACCTGATGTTCACCGTCGCCACCCACCTCATCGAAACGCTCACCGACAAGACCTTCTCCGAATTCCTGCAGGAGCGCATCTTCGCCCCCCTCAACCTGACCTCCACTTTCCTGCAGCCCTCCAGCGTGCCGCCCGCGGACCGGGACTCCCGCCTCGCCTGCGGCTACAGCTACCGCGAGTCGACGTCGACATACCACGCCATCCCCGTCTTCGACACCCCCGAGGACCAAGGCGCCGGCTCCATCATCACCAGCGTCAACGACTACATCGTCTACGTCCACGCGCTGATGACGCACGCCCCGCCCTTCACACAAGCCATCCAGAAGGCCCTCGTGACCCCACGCTTCGCGCTGCCCGAGTACAACGACGACCGCGAGCGCCTGCAGTCCTCCACGCTGATCGGCCTCGGCTGGGAGATCTTCTACTACCGCGGCCACCGTGTCGTCCAGCACGACGGCTCCATCAGCGGCCTCACCTCGACGCACTTCTTCCTCCCCGCGCGCAACTTCGCCGCCGTCATCCTGTGCAACGGCGACGCGGGATACCCCGCCGTCGCGGCACTCGTCAGGGAGCTCATCGACCAGACCCTCGGCGTGGAGCCGAGCCAGCGACTGGATTGGCCGGAGATCTTCACGCGGGGCCGCGGGGGTTGGTTCGCCAGTCGCGAGTCGGCGGAGGACGTGAGGAGGAGAGTGCGCGGCGAGGCGGAGAGCGAGGACGCGGACGGGGAGCAGAAGAATGAGGAGGAGAAAGCTCCCTCCTCGATCGACACCGCCGGTGCGAAAGACATGGCGGAGCTGACCCTCGCCGACCAACCTGAAAAGGAAAGGGGATCAGAGGAGAAGTACATCCCTCCCCCCTTCCCCACCTCCGACCTCCCCCTCGATCGCTTCACCGGCGAATACCACCACGCGGGCTACGACTCCTTCGTCGTCGGCGTCAGGGCTTCCCCGGAAGGGGGAGAGGCGCTGTTCATCGACGCCGCGGACCGCTGCATGGGGTTCGGCATCGCGTTGGAGTTCGTCTGTCGCGCCGAAGCCGGCGGGGATGCCTCGTCGCCGTCGCCGTCGGAGGTGAAATTCCTGGCTTATCTGACCGACGTCGATGAGTGCGAGACGGAGATTCTGGAGGCGGTTTTTGTGGTCGATGGTGATGATCGGACGGACGCTGGTGGGAAGATCGGCAAGGCGAGGAGGTTGGGCATCAACTTGGATGAGGACATCGAGGGGCTGATCTGGTTCGAGCGGGTTTGAATGGCAGAGCTTGATTTTTCCATTTGTGAGAAAACTTGTATGTATGTAGAGGTTTGGTTCCGTTGGAGGAAGCCACCCTTTTTTTCCTAGTTTTTTCCACAGACGTCGATGGATTGATGGCGGAGAGAACAGGCGAGTGTCGTCGATCGGCGTTCAAGATCACAGGATCGAAAGTGCAAATTCAAAAATCTAAATACACACAGATAGAGACACAGATAGAGATATGGATATCTTCATCATCATCATTATTATCATCATCCTTTCTGCATCTCTCGTCTCTGTTGGGGTATATCCACCGCTGCAAAGTTTTCCCTTTCCACCAGTCCACCGCTTCAACATCATCCATCATGATGACACGACAGTACCAGACCACGATCCAGAACAAGAGCAAAGAAGCGATACAGAGCAATGCGACAAAGCGAATCCACCTTCCCCCGTCAAACCCGCACACGCCATATTTCCCCTTTCCCCGCCCTGCCAGAACAAAACACATACACGCCCACGAGGGGAGAACGGATGGGAAAACCCGCCCATCAATCTCTCTCCTCTCTTCATCACCCATCGCCCCCTTCAAACCCTCTTCCTCCCCTTCCCCTGCAGGCTCGCCGCGTTCGCAGGCACGGCCGGCACGCGGGGGAGTCCGGCGACCACGAGGTCCTCACGCGCGACGCCCGCCCTCGCCATCATAGTACTGAAGGTGGTATCGCGGTTCGACGGCCTGCGACCCGGCGGGTGGAGGAGGTCCTGTCGCGAGGGGGGCTCGTCCTGCTCGTAGATGACCGGGGGCGGGAATGTGCCCGAGTGCGGACCCGCGCCGTAGTTGCTTGGCGTGTAGGGGATGTTGGGGGCGAATGACGACGGGATGCTCGCGGGGAAGTGTAGCACGGTGGGGCTGTCGCTGTTGGTCATGTGGCTCATTCGTGCCATGTAGGCGTCGGCCTCCGGGGAGGTGGTGCTCGTGCTGGACCAGCTGTTGCGGCGGCGGGAGGAGTGCGAGCGGCGGGGTGAGGTCGTCGTGGCTGCTGGTGGTCCTCCTGCTGTTGCTGTTGCTGCTGTTTGGGAAATGCCGGGGCGGCGGTCGGGCGTGTGCATTAGGACTTGGATGGTTTCGGTGCTGCCGGTGCGGCTGCGGTCATCGCCACGGCGGCTGCTGTGGCGCAGGGGGTTCATATTTCGGGCGGTGACGGTGTTGTTGGACTGGGTGGATGCCGTGCTCATTTGTCGGCGTAGACTGTGCATGCTTCGCTGCTTGCGGAGGGCGCGGAGAGGTGTGATTTTGAAGGAGAGTCCGCTGCTGCGTTTGTTGCTCGACGGATTCGGAGACTGTGCTGGGAAAGTCGCTGCGAGCTCATTTGAATGATGCGGCGGCGAACCGGAGAACAATGGTCGAGGCTTATCCGAGTCGATTGCGAATTCTGATGTCGTCTGCTTGGGAGGAGTCAAGTGGTAAAATCCTGTGCGCACAGCCTGGTATTGCAAATTTGCGGTGGGTTCTGAGATGGTGCGTCCATGAAAGGTGGGTCGTGCACTGAGATCGGGATGAAGGTCACGGAGACTATCCTGTCCAGATGAGCGATATAACTTTTCCGACATCGATGTTGAAGCAGCCTGTTTGCGCCTTCGAAGAACGAAGAAAATAGCAAGGCCCACTATCAGAGCCCCGACGACAATTCCTGGCACGAACCCAGCTGCAAAGGAACTCGCCGAGAACTGCGAGGACGGGTTCGACGACGATTGTCCGGCGGTACTGCTCTCCGCAGGAATTGAGGTAGCGACGGGCCCCGCAGCTGTAGTAGACGTCGGAGTCTGTGTCGACGAGGATGCAACACTGGTTGCCGTTCCAGAAGGGCTTGGACTGAGCGCTATCTTGGCACAATACGATCCCTGACATGAATAGCCTTGCGGGCAGCAAAAGTTCTCGCCACATGTCGTCAATGCGGTTGGAGGCTGAGAGTGGTATTGACTACCAGGGACCAAGGTTGCATTTTGCGAGCTCAAGTCGCAAGGACCAGGAGATATGATGGAGCAATCGGAGCCGGTGGGACAGCACAAAGTGGCTGTGATCTGAGCGGTAGTGTTGAGTTGTAGACAGGTGCTTCCCTGGGGACAACAGAAGCTCGAAGGAAAACTTGAACCGCATTGTTGAAGGCCAGATACACCGCCACATGTAGCGGCGACGTCGCGAGCAAGGTTGTTGGAAGAGAGTACATCTCGAGAGAATCCCAAGGACGGTTGTAGCGCTCTTGCGCTTGCCAGAAGCGCAAAAGTCAAGACGGTATAGATCAATGCTGCATACGAGCGATGGGCGATCATGGTGATATGCTTTTGCGTGGGAGGCCAGGCAGATTATGAGGACGGAAGCGGAGACCGATCAACAGTCTGTGATTAAAAATGATAGAGAGTGAGAACAAAGGAAATAACGAAAGCAACTGCAAACACACGATCAACGTGCGATACAGGACGGCAATGAAAAGGGCGACGAGGACAAACAGAAGAGAGAACAAGAGAGGAAGGGAGACAAGAGACAAAGAGAGTAGATCATGTGTTGTTGTCCATGCCAGTCCGGGCAATTGCGCATCAATCAAGCCATATTGATCGCACAGGACAATGACCAACGACTTACCACGGAGAGTAGAATGGGTCGACGACAGGCATCGCACGGCCGAGACTGACGACGGCGGCTTCAACATTCGAAACGCGCGCTCGAGCACTCTTACGAATGAGATCGAATGGTGAAGACGTAGGCAAAACGGCTTTCCAGAAAGACGAGACGGGGAATTGACGATGCGCGAGCCAATCGATCCGACCGAATCTCGAAAGACGAGGACCCCTCGATGACGCTACACATGTTTGAAAGGAATGATTTCCCTTGCCGCCCTCGACTAGCATCATCCACCGTTCCCACCTCGGAGCCAAGGTAGGAGAGAAGAGGAGAAGGTGCACGAGCGCACATCGTGTCAAACGTTGGCGGAGGGAAACACGAAGTCGTGTTCGAGTAATGTCCACCAGTCATGGACACGTGAGGTTGGAGTCCATTTTGTCTAGTAACGTTGTTTATTGCTTTTAAGCGTGGTTCGTTTTAGCCGCCGAGTCGGAGAACACGAAAGCGGTTCGAGAACGATTGGCTGAGAGCCGTTGGGTGGTTTTAGAGGTGTGAATTTCGGGTGTTGAAGCCTGAGGCATAGAATCGAGCACGTGAGCGCACATCGGACATTGACAGAGTCCCTCACCCGCGGCATTACCTAAAGCGGTAATCGACCATTTACGCAACAATTAATTCCACCACGCATGTAGAGTTCACTCCCACTGCATCGGCAGTGTGTTGGCAAGATTGCCATATCAACCTCGACACCACGCCTTTCCCGTTTGCGCCTGGAATCACCAAACATCCCAAGGCGATCATCTGCGGTCATGGCCTCTCGGAGGTTAATAAGATCGGCCTCGAGCCTCGTCAACTCCACATCCATTCCGATCACACCATCAAGACCATCATGGATCTCCTCCTCATCACATCTACAATCACTCCAGCAAAGCCGCCTCCCATCAAATCGACGGACTCTAGCCACCGGCGCAGACAATGATCAATACTGGCCCAGCCAGCCGCCAATCAAAAACCCCACTGACCAAGTCCCGCTGGAATACTCAGACGGCTACCCGCAGAACGTGGGCCTGCCCAGCCTCGGTGGTCTCGAACCATCCTTCACGGCCGACGGCGTGCCGGGCCTGCTCAGCAAGAAGGGCTTCGAGATCGCCTGGACGACCTACCAACAGTTCATCATGAAGAAGCTCGCCAACCTGGTCGCGGGCGAGGGGATCGACATCCACAACCCGCGCGCCATCGCCATCCAATACGCCCGGGACCCGATGAACGCCAGCCTGTTCAACCACGCGAGCATGGTGCACAACAACCACTTCTTCTTCCAGGGGCTGTCCACGCGCCCGATCCCGCTGGAACACGAGAAGGCGCTGCAGGCCAAACTCGTCGCGCAGTTCGGCAGCGTCGAGAACCTGCGCACCAGCTTTATCGAGTCCGCGGCGGGCATGTTCGGGCCGGGGTTCACCTGGCTGGTCTGGAACCCGTCCACGCGCCAGCAGGGGACGGGGGGTTTCAAGATCCTGAACACGTACGGCGCGGGGACCCCGTACGGCGAAGCGGGCCACCGCCGCCAAGAGACGGACATGTCGAACAGTAGCAGCACCCCGAGCTACGGGCAGATGGGCGCGTACAGCAAATCGGGGCAGAAAGACGGCGGGCTGGCGCCGGGAGCGGCGAGGTTGTACCCCTTGATGTGTGTGAATACGTGGCAGCATGTGTATCTGTACGAATACGGTGTCGAGGGCAAGAGGGAGTTTTTGAATCGGTGGTGGGATGTGATCGATTGGTCGGTGGTGCAGAGGACTCTCAAGGCTGTCGAGGGCACCATGGCTAAGTCGGGCAATGCTGCGAGGGGATCGGGAGCGCGGAAATTTCTGGAGCGGTAGAAGGGAACATCTTTCTTCTTTTCCCTTCCCTCCTGGAGACCGATAGAGCAGGCGAATGATGGGTCCTGGGAATGCGTCTTCCTTACTGTTCAGACTTTTTGTTACAATTATCTATCTATACACCTTGTATCACAATCCCTCACCCCTTTTCCCGAGTGTTTTTCCTCTTTCCAGGCAGGTAGGGAGTGATGTGAATATCTTCTGTATCAGTGAATTTCGTTCCCGAGAATCGATATTGACTGGATTCCTCCGGTCTTTGGAAGAAAGACTCGTGTTGCTACTGCCAACATTCCTCTACGTGAGGAACCCCCCCCCCCACAAAAAAGATCCATTCAGTGTCGTTGGTAAAGACACACCCATGTCCAAGAAACGGAGTCAATAGAGAAGAAGTAAAAAGAAAAACGGCCTCTGTCCATCACACCAGCCAGAAAAGAGAGCGGGAGAGAAAGGCATCGATCGGACAGTAAGAAAAAACGCCCGTGTTCTTATTTCGATATAGAAAATCTTTCACAAGCTGCAATAATTCCACCTGCTTCAACCCGCTAGCTAGCTACAAGCTGGCTCCAGCTATTTCAAACAAGAGAGATAGACAGGAGAGGCGCTTAGGGGGAAAAGGAAAAAGGAAGGGAGAAAAGAAGACGCGTGTCGGGACATTCTTCAGGTGCCTGAAAGAAGGTTTCATTGAAATTTGAATTTGAAGTTTCATCTTCATTTTCATGTTCTTTCCTCAAGAGAAAGAGAGAGAGAGTGGACATCACTCATGATTTTCCGCATTAATAATCAATACAGCGAAGAAACTTCCCCAGCGGATGTCTTTCTCGTCCCCCAACGGTCCCAACATTCCAGCACCATTCCATTTAAAAGGCTTCCCCCTCCCCAGCAAGGAAACTTTTTCCAGGGAGGGGCGGGTGAGAGGGAGTCGGGACAAGACGAGGAAGCAGAATTTCATCGATAACAGGGACGAATGAATATCTCCTTGCCTCCTTCCCTCTTCTTCCCCTAGATGAAATCTCCCTCGCGGCGACAGAACAAGTGCGGGCGTGTGGTGATGACGACGGATGTAGCTTTTGCTCATCAGCCTCCCCCGTTCCTCTTGTGTGAGTGAGTGAGTGTGTGTGTGTGTGTGTGTGTGTGTGTGTGTGTGTGTGTGCGATTGTGCGTGTGTGCTTGTGTTCGTTTGTCTCGCATTGCGATGATGAACAAAGGGTTTTGCGTCACGCGAGGAGGCGTGCCAAAGGATATGTGTGAGTGAGTGTGTCCACAATTTACGGAACCATACAACAATTCCAAAGGAGGGTTTCGGCATTGCTTCTGCCCAAAAAAGAAAAAGAAAGGGGAAAAGGGGGCGTCTCCAATTTGAGAAATCTCCTTTTCATCCTTTTTGCTGTGACTCGATATGCGTCAATAAATGTTGATTCTCTCAAGAGCGGCTCCTGCACTGACGATTAAATGCCTGGTTGAAGAAGGGGAGCCGAAGCATAAGAATGTCGTCCGCCCGGCCGCCGTGGAGATGATGCTGGTTAGCGGAAACACAAACCATACGTTTGAAGAATAGCTAGCCGGCGGAGCTGATGGCTTATGTTAGTCGACATGCCATGAGACAAATTCATGATGGTCCTGGGCAAGTGGCCTAACATCAATATCGGCATCGGTATGATGGTCAAAAAAGGCTCGCCAAATGAAATGGGGTCTCCTCCCCTCGGCTTGAGCATCATGTCGAGTCATGTCAGACCGACGTCGAGCATGGCTGGCTGGCTGTGGCTGAAAGAATGGGACTTGTTTCCCCCATTCATACAATTTTTGTGTGCAGAGTCAAAAATGGCGGAATGCAAAAACACAAAGCAAAGTCGAGGAAATTTCCCGTCTCTTGAAAGATAGTGCTTGGTGGCGAAGAAATGTGAGGATTTGTCGTCGTCGGCGGCGGCGGCGGCGGAGAAGGATAGAGATGTTTTCTTCTTTGACTTTCAAGACCAAACCTTGGCGGTCCCTCAGCTCTGGAATGATTATTGGAAGCGAGACGCAACACTCCCGCGCTGTGATGAAGGTGGATACTCTGGAAAGCTGTCGACAGACATGATCGACGAGGGATGTTTTGGGCGTCTGCATTGCCTTTGAGACTTTCACGACAGTTTGAATCGTGGCACACCGTCAAATGCTGGGTTCTCGCGAGGATTTTCCTCTTCGAGCGAGTGTGTGAGTCCCGTCCAAAAACTCGCGAGAAACCATAAGCTGCGGGATCGAATGGCGTTCCGGCTCGTTGCTATCCTCATCATGTCGTTTCTCCTGATGTTGTTGTTAAGTTTTATCCGAGAAGATAGGACTAGTCCATATAGAAGTCGCCCTTGAGGATCCTCTCTTGAAAATGATCAGGACGCGCGCGCTCCTTGGGTCTGGCGAGTTCCTGTACAGGTGGCTGTGGCTGTTGCTTCGGCTGAGGTGGAGGACTGTCGACAACGGACACGCTGCGGTTTCGTCCGTGGCCGTTCATGCCGACTGAGCCATTTGTAGCGATGGAGGATGCACGTTCGGCACGGGTCCGGAGATTCTCGGACCAATTAAATCCTTCCTTGGGAGAGCCTGTGAGGTTGGAGTCAGGACCATTTCTCTCGTAGGAAGAAGGATGAGTTTGTCAAGGGAACACTTACCGCCGGCCATGCTGTTGCTACGCACCTCCCGCAGGCTACGAGCATTGGAGCTCATCCGCCGGGAAAATGGCGTTTGAGAAACGGACGGATCAGCCGACAGGGGCTCGTCCTCGTCGATGGCGCTCTCGTTAAGGCCGCCAACACTGGCACTCAAAGTGCTCTCCCGTCGGTTGTGTCCGTTGGCACCAGAGGCAGCCGAGAGGCCACCGAATGTGGTCATAGAGAGGCGACGCGCCGCAGAGGTGATCGGACCTTCTTGAGTCTGTGAAGAAGATAAGCTGGCCGGGTTGTCGTTGCTCACGTTGTCATTGACGCTTCGTGTTTGACCGACTCCACGAGTCCCTCCAAACAAGCCCGCAAGGGTGTCTCCGGCGATGGATGAACGGCGGGCACGCGACGGGCTGTGGGAGTCATTGGAAGAAGCGCGGGCTGTGGTAGATTCGGAGATGTTATTGTTGTTGTTGGTGGTGGTGTTGTCAGACATGATGATGAAGCTCTGGCTGTAAGCTCTGGCTGTTGCGGACCTGGTCGTGTAGATCTGATGTGGTGCAATGGTGTACGAAGGAGCTGCCCCGCCGGCCGAATGGATATGTCGTGCGTTCGCAGTGGGCGCCGTCACAATCGCCAAGCTCTTTACGATGAAGAATGGGGGGATCTCGGGGATGTCGTCTCCGTGGTTCCGCGGGTGGTGATGGCGGGTGATGTGATCGGTGGTGTGAGGTGGATGTGCTTCGAGAGGTTGAGGTTCAGTGGGTTTGATATGCTTTTGGAGGTCGAGGTCGAGGTTGACTGGTCTCGCCGTCGGACGAAGTGCTCCTTCCCTGGTATATCGTCCGGCAAGTGTGTGTACGATAGGTGGTGGTGGTGATGTTGGTGGAGATGTTGGTGGAGGAGGAAGCGTAGTAGGGTTTGACGTCACCGTCCACGTCGGCCAATTTGATCGTTCTTTCCCTCAACTTGAGAATTGATCCGGACGTTGATCGTGGGTCTTCAGTAGCAGGTGGTGTTGGTATTATTGTTGTAGCAAGAGGGAAAGTATCCAGTGCAAATGAGAGGTGGAAGTATGGAGGAATTGGAAGAGAAGGGACAGAGATGGAACTATCAATGATATGTCCAGCCAATCTACCCACTCCACTGTACGAGAGACAACTTCAGCTAAATATGTACCGCACATGTCTCTCTCTCGTTGCTATCCATTTTCAGCCAAGTGCCAATGACCCTGGAATGCGGGGTCTAGAGTTAGATGCTTTAACATAAACGAGATAGTCGTAATCGTTGCATTAAATCATGACATGGACGGGATCTATCCATATCTAATCAAGCATCGCTTTCAGGAATTGGTATAGAATCCATGGATGTCTCCGGTCTCTCCTGATGTGGTCCCTGGTGTACATGGGTACAGTATACCACCATCCTCTGGAATATCGATCAAGGAGGGATCATGGACAAATATCAGCTTCCACGTCTCCCACGCAAGTTGTCCCGTCGGATTCATAAGTGATCGTACTGTACATATATAGACGTATGCATTGACCGAATCGAACCTGCATCACGCCCGACAGTCCTTTCACCTGTCGTCGGTTATCAGCCTCGGTGATAACCACCATCAAAGGGAGATAGGGTCACGCGAGCAGCTACGTATAGATATCTATCTGGGTTTTCATCTTGATACAGGATCAAACGCGTATTCTCCTACGAGATTGAGCTCTCTGGCAAAGGAGACATCATCGTGGGCTGCTCTCATTGGTGGTGCAATGGACAGCTCGAGGTGGAAGCTCTCTTCCTAATGGTGCGTGGACTGTCATCTCACGATGTCACATTCACATGTCGAGGGAGCTGTCGGTCCTGTAGGCAACGGCTACCCGGAAATTCTGACATTGTAGAATGAAACAAGCTTTTCATGGACCGGAGGTGGATTCATGCTATGTTGAGACTGTGCTCTATCTATCGCATTCCATTCTCTGTGCAGAAGGCAGGATGGCGGTAGATGCAGGGAATGGTCGTTTACGTTCCTGTATCATGCGAATAAATATACACAAATATATACATATAGAGAGAAGATGTATTATAGACAGTCGAGTAGAACAAACAGGAGCTTAGAGAGGCATATAACATCGAACTGACGGACGGACGGGATAGAATCTCGAGCGGATAGTAGTTGTAGATAGGTGCCGTTGCGTATATATCACGTTGCTTATTGCGTTGTTCATCAGTTCTCCCTTAACTCATAGGTCATATAGATGATACCCCATTCGCGATGAGATCCATACCTAGGTACTTTTCGAAAATCCTCCAAGGAATAGACAAACACGTTGTGAGCAGACCCAAGATATCTCTTCACACGACTGTACATTCCTCCCAGAAGCCTGAAGCAACTGTCCGCCGTCAATGTACATACAGGCATACAAAAACCCTGGGAAGATCTCGGTGGAATTCTGCATTCCTTACGATCTCAAATACGGTTATCTATTGGGACTTCAATTTATGTGATGCGGTCTGCATTTGATCATTGTCATTTATTATCTATCATGCATGCGCTGAGCCTCTCCACCAAAATCCAACGCCCATGTGGCTCGCCGTCACCGTCGACGTGTGACGACGAACCTTCTCCCGTACCAGGGTAGGTTTAGGGTTTCGTCGTCGACAGGATGAATCACTCTTCTACTGTTTCTTGAATTAGAGATCAACGTTTGACAAGGTCGTGGTCTCCCGTTCGTTCGGAATAATGTCGAAATCGAAGTGCGTTCTGTTGTTGATAGCAACGAGACCATTTCATCTACGTACCATGTAGAACCATTCGGTGGAGAGGCCCGATAGTCCCCTCGTGGCATCGGCTGAGTCTTCACAAAAGATCACACTTCTCTGTGTGCTATACGTGAGAGGTATTCGCCCAGGCACAAAGTGAACGTATCTATTCAAATCGACGCGAGAAGACAAGCGAACATAAGCAGCAGTATCACCAGTGGGATGCTAATCTACTTTCTACACATACTGATACGGTACAAGACTATTTCCGCTCCTGGCTACAGTACAGAAGGGACCCATTCATCGGCATGATGATGCTCGAATTTCAGGCGGTTATTTTCTCTCCACCGCTCTGGCGATATTCGCCTGAAGGTCCGGATTGAGAAGACGGGGCCTGTTTTTCTCTCTCCTCACGCGCTTCTCTGCGGTCGATTCGTCCTCCACGTGGAGGTGATGGCTGAACGGCCATCGATCGCGATTCTTTCGATTCTATGTAGGTCCTATTTGGAGGTTAAACTGTCCAGAATCGATTCGGTTTGGTTGGAGGTTTTCTACTGAACTGCAGCGCTCTCGTCTCGTCACATATTTTCCGACATTACGTTGAAGATATGTCAATCTCATCATCAATGGAACATTGGAATGAGAGCGATCTTCAGACATGAATGTCCTTCGTACTAGTAGACGAGGACTTCGATGTCGCGCGACTTCCATTTGTATAATGGATGATGTTTCGCGAACCGGATAAAAAAGTCTATGATGTCACCTGCAGTTTCCATCACTCGCGAGATGAGATGCGCGTATCCCAGCGACTTCCTCCGTCGACCGAGATGAGTTCCACTCCATGCCCGAGAACGGGGAGTTGTTCTTACATGCCTAGGTATGTGCACTTACATGGACTGTATGTGAGGCTCCGAAGAACTAGTCCCATGTGGAAATGGACCTAGTCTTATTGAACAAACTGCGCCAATTTTGCGCTCGTTTCGGGTCGAAACAGCCGACAGGGCTTAATCACGACATTCCCACGTGTTGGCAGCAATTCACCGCGTTGGACAGCGGATGGGACTCCCACTCTCTCGCTCCCTCTCTACTTGCGAGAGCCAAGCAAGTCCCAGCGAGGTGAACAAGAAAAAGAAATATCAAAAACAAATCACTGGACGTGCGAGTATCTAGTTGTGGTTGAGACAATCACGTCGTATCATGGCGAAATCCATGACTGTAATGGTTCACCTGATGACGATAGCGATGTTGCGGAAGTTTATTGATGTTTACTCGATCGGTTCGAAGCCGTCGGCATCAACATGAGAGGGTGTATCGACGATGAGGCAGGCCTGGTCGTCTGTGATGAATCGTCCTCATCGCTTCAAAACCATCTCATCCAGCAAACATATGGCTCATATCCGATCATGTCGTCTCATCTGTTAAGAGACAATGGCAGGGCGCGCACAAAAAAAACTCGAGAAAAGAAACATGCTCAACATCACTCAATCGAATGTAGTAACGTGGGCTAGACGCCCATCTGTCGTATCTTGTGTTGTAGGATTCCAGGAAAGGCTGTAGACCGCATCATACATTCTGCTTCGTCGACCAATCGAGACACGACGGGAACGGGCAAACTCTCTCCCGCCGGCTTGCCAAGACCGGCTCGATGACTTCACGACATCTCCACGATCGTCGACATGGCATGGCCCAACGCAAAGGCTGTGCTGACGACGCGCCTAGTCTTCTGTATTCGGACAATTGTGCGACCTGTCATGGCTCTGCTTTGCTGGCAATCCTGTCCCTCCGCATGCTAGATCCACCGAAGCTGCTCCCCGAGAAGATGCTATAGTGTAAGAGATACAATATTACTCCCGGAATCTACGGAAGCGCAGAGAACCATCAGCATGGTGGGAAGAGTCTGGATCCCATCGACCAGGTCGTCGTGGAGATGCCCATCGTCACGAAGATGCCCAGCCGTCCGTGTCCACCACGAGCAGGCTGGTGAAAGAACAATATCTCCCCATACACGTAGCCCCCCATGCGGATGAATGGGCCTGGTTGTTATGCCGACCTTTCTCCACGCTGCAGCCTTTACATCATGATCGTCTCACAAAGAAGACTTGCACTCGCGATCGACTTGGCAAACTTCGGCTGGACGCGTGGGATCCCCTACGATTGTTGACTTCACCTGCAGCTTCGAATACGTCGAGGGTGCAGGCAATGGCGCGATCCTTTGTGCCGTGATGTATAGCTGCCAATGCGAGGCTATGCTCTCAGCTTGATCAAGCTCCTCGCGTGTATATATAGCAAGCTCATAGCTCCCAGCTTGTGTATACGGTTGGCACGCAATCAATATCTCTCTCCGCCGTTTCCTCACTTCAGAAGACACTCGCTCTTTCTCCTCTTGAACAAAAACACAAGTTCATTCGAGATCGAATCGATCAAAATGCGCTTCTCCGTCGTTTTCGGCCTCGCTGCGGTCGCCTCGGCCCAGAGCCTCACCTCCCTCCTTGCCGGCGATCTCTCCTCCCTCGCCGGTTTGATCACCGCAAGCCCCAACGTTGCCAGCCTTCTTAGCAATGCTACAAACATCACCATCTTCGCCCCCAACAACGCCGCCATCAGCGCCCTGACCTCCTCCAGCAACTTCGCTGCCCTGAACGCTAGCGGACCCAACTTCATTGCCAACCTGCTCCGATACCACGTTCTCGTCAACCGCACCGTCCAAGCGTCGGCCATCAGCTCCACTCCCCTCTTCCCCAACACCCTCCTCACCAACGGCAACTACACCAACGTCACTAACGGCCAAGTCGTCCGCGTCCGCAACAACGGCACCAACGTCAACATCCAATCTGGCTACAAGAACTCCGCCCAGGTCGTCTCCTCCGTGAACTTCACCGGCGGCATCGTCCACGTCATCAACTCCGTCCTGACCATCCCGGCCAACATCTCCACCACCGCCTCCGCCGCAGGCCTCTCTGCCCTTGCTGGCGCCCTCGGCCTGACCAATCTCTCCCGCACCCTCGACACCCTCAAGGACGTCACCGTCTTCGCCCCCTCCAACTCCGCCTTCGCCAACATCGGCAGCGCCCTCGGCACCCTTAGCGCGGCCCAAGTCTCCCAGATCCTGACCTACCACGTTATCAACGGCACCATCGCCTACAGCGCCAGCCTCGGCAACACCTCCATCCCGACCCTCGGCGGCGGCCGCGTCAACATCACCGTGACCCCGGCGGGCGCCGTCTTCGTCAACCAAGCCCGCGTCATCAACGCCGACGCCCTCGTCGCCAACGGCGTCGTCCACGTCCTTGACTCCGTCCTCAACCCGAACGGCACCGCCGCACCGGATTTCTCCGCCACCACCGCCGCCATCGCTTACCCCGGCGCGAGCTCCACCTCCGCCCTCGGCGCCCTGACTTCGACCCTCCGCACCCCGACCACCACCGCCACCGCCCTCGTCACCACCGGCACGGCCGTCGCTTCGGGTTACACCACTGTCCGTCCGGCGGGCGGTGCGGCCGCGACCACGACCACTTCCCCCGGCGCGGCTATGCCCATGGCCACCGCGGCCCTGGGCGCTGTTGCCTTGGGCGGCTGGGTCGCGCTCATGGGACAGATGTAGAATGGAATCTGTGCTGGATCATCCTGCGTCCTCTTCCTTGAATGATGACATCTTGTCTATCTCGCGACAGACGTGTGAAGGATACTACTCTCTTCCGGCTTGGAGCGCCTAGGTCGATAGGAAACTTCGTCTATACATGTATGCATGTGTGCATGGATGAATCTTCTGCTGCTACTGCTACTGCTATTGCCTATTGGTGAGGGTGAATGGCATCGATTGAACTAGTCAGTGAATGGTGTGAGATGAGTGTAATGAGAGAGAGAGAGAGAAAAGTGAAGCAATTTGGCCATGGAGGGGGAAAATCTAATATCATTTGTCTAATCAACCTAGCTCTTTCTTTCCCTAACATGTCTTCCGTCGTTGTAATTTCCTTCCATGCTCTCGGAATCCCGGCTCGGCGTTGATCGTGTAAAGTGGTCTGTCGATGCGAGGTCTGCTTGTGGTTCATGACGTGCACCTCGTCCGTTAAGTTTCGGGTGAGGGGAAAGAGCGTATTCAGAGTCCGAAGCAGGCCGGTTCCGCAAGCCTGGCTCTCATCAGTGAACTTTTGTTTCATGGCAATGTTCTCGAAGCGTCTCTGTGAAAAAGAAACATGCCTCCCCTGAGCAAACTTCAGATGATATCCTATTCTTGTGATGTGCCAAGAACGCGGAGCCTCTCTCAAAACTTCTTTTCTGCTAGTACGTACACTGCACGAAGGTCGCGATAGTCGTTCTCCTCCTTTCCCCGTCTTTTGTTCTTCTCGTTTTCTCGAGTTCGTTCGTCGCGAAGGGGTGGGATCATTCTGTCCATTCAAAACTCATTCGTTTCGACAGATGGGAATGGGGCTGCTGCCTATATTTCGTGAATCATAGCTGGATGACTAGTGGGAGGTACACGTCCTGAAATGCCGCACCGAAATCCCTCGAAAACTGAGAGCAGTCAAAGACGATTGTGTCAAGAGAGAGTCTCTGCCCTGCTGGTCAATCCTTTTCGGTCTGTTACTGGAAATCTGGAGATTGCTACTTCTGCTACAAGAGTGTCACTCTGAGTCGCCGGCCTTCCCTCCCTGTCCAGTACTGTGATCAAGAATACCTCGCGCGAGACACCTCCCGCGGGAGGTGTCCGGGCTCGTTGAGAATGTGTATGTGATGTGGAGGGCGAGCATCTCGCGATTGGCAGAGGCTGAGAATTGCTAATCAGAATTGCTACTGTGGCAGTGTGGTCACAATGAGCATGGTATAATACTTGCCAATTCACTGTTGAGTGGCGGGAGTCGTGGCACGAACTGATGGACCAGGATATGAGTGTGGCTGGGAGTAGGGGGTATAAAAGTCGGAAAGTGAGGAGCCGACCAGTACTCTGTTTGCCCTTTCTCTGGTGTCGTACAGATGTCGATCACACAGCTGTATGATGGGAGCTATGGAGTCCGTTCGCTTGCAATGAAATGGCGGTGATCGAATTGGAAGCGGTGGAAGCGGCCCCCGTGGTCCCTTTACACATCATGAATACAAATCGATAGTGTGTATGCAGAGTTCCGAGTGATGGTACTGAGGATCTTTGAATACGAGAATGCTCAGTGGGGAGTTGTGAAACCGTGCTGTAGGTAGGATTGTGCTCAAGTAATTCGTAGGCGGTTATCGAAAGAGCGTTTGATGACGAGATCAATTGGGTCCTTGCCTCAGTTCCTCGAGATTGATATTAGACTGTGCGACAGTTGTCAAACAAAAGTGATTATCAATCTGCTCTTGATCAGGGATCGTGATGTATGTCAAGTAGCTCGAGGAGTAAGCGGGATTCGATGAGAATGTACGTGATCCCTGTCATACCAGACTTGCTTCGCTTCAATTGAGCGAGCACAACAGTCGATCGAGAGTTTGTTGACGAAGTGCCTTGTACTGTGTTGGATTCGAGCGCATTCCTCGAGCTTGCTCATCGTCAGAATACCCCGACAGGGATTTGATTGTCCCACACGAATGTATATCTGAACATTGATTCTGGTATGAGGAGATTTCCCTGTCTTCAGTAGTCCTGGAATGCTCGAGCTCAGAGGGAATGCACTCACTGTTCGCAACTTCCCGATCTCACATACAGCTTAACAGTCATGAATCTTCCAACTTTCGAACAGCTACCGAATGAGCTCATCAGCCTCATTGTGGCTTCTGGGCTGGATTTGGACTCGACTTGGGCCCTGGCATCAACTTCACGCCAAATTTATGCGCTCATCAAGACTGATGAAGTTAATATCGCCTATACTATCTTGTGCAATCAAATCGGATCGCAAAATCTACCCGTTGCCATCAGTGTGCGGACAATAGACGGCGGAACTGTTCCAAACCCGTGGCAAGTCATCAAATTCTTCGAAGATGAGACGAGCTATATGCAGGCCTTCCGGCTTTCATGCAATCTTGCCATCGCTTCGGAAATGCTCAAAACGCATCGGACGGTGGAATTTCTAGCCACGTGTATGGCGCATCAATTTCTGGAAACGGCCGCTCACAAATTTGAACTCTGTGGATTATCGGAGCCCATGAAGTCTAGGGAGATGTCCCGCATCGTGCGAGCAATATACATGCTTGACATGTTCTTTCGATGCCTGGCTCTCCCAAGGATCAATCTGCATCCGGCTTGTGAGATCCGATGGCGGACTCTGGAGGAGAATGAAGTATTTTGGACCATCTTTGCACCGTGGGAACTTGAACAAATGGCCTGTGTCCATGACTTTCTGGTCAGAGCCTTGATCAGAGGTATTTCGATGCCAATTGAATTGGATCTGTTCGATAGCCAGCTAATTTGATCTAGTCTACAACACGAAGTACTCCGATCTCTATGCGTACTGCGACCACCGATTTCAGCAACAAGGCATTCATGTTGGAAGCCACAGTGGGTTTCTGCATGCACAGATAGGTCAAGGCCTCGCACATCTCGGTAGAATCTTGATAAACTCGATTTCTGTATCCGAGACTGCCATTACGACGCCTCCTCCGCCTGCTCCTCCGCCTGCTGTGGAGTCCAATGATTACACACATCTCGGCCAACAAAGGAGAGGGAAGATGCCAATCAGCAAATACATATTCGACAAGCTGACCCTCTTCAGAGCCTCCCATCTTCTGGAGGATCAGGACCCAGCGCAGCTTCCTCCAACAGGCTTGTTTGACCCGATGTGGATAGATTCCGATCCTGGCCCAGAGGAGTTCTGGCGCCGTTCGGAACTAAAGGTTTTTGCTTGTGAATCCTCTGGCCAGCGATACTCCCTTCCCGATAGCCAGCCATCACTCCGTGAGATTGGCTATGTCTTTTGGAATTTCGAACGAATCCAAAATTCCAGCCTTGTTTACAACGACTGCTCTCAGCATAGGGATGCATACGAGAATTGGCTACCTCCTGTAACTCTGTACATGGAGTTGTGAGGGATGTGTTTGACTTTGCTCATTTTCACTCCTGCATCGTCAAAGTGTAGGTCGGAAGAGAAGGAGCTCGAATACAGCCCAAACAGAGGTGTTGCCAGTGACTTATCAACAAGGACATTGGTGCAAATATTAGCAATGCATTGTGTATACTAAGGAGTAATCTGATCATCTGGGTCTACCACTTGTGAAATCCGATATTTATTCTGAGAGAAACACCTGCAGAACATGATTGAACGGGTGATTTTCCAACGTGTAGTTGCGCCATTCTCCAGAAGGTTATTTCGAATCTGGCGGGTTGCGTCGTGAAAGAAACAACTTGTAGGCTTTCAAATGTGATGCCCGCCGGGACAAACTTCAATGCTAAAGAGCACATATATGACGAAGACACGCAGCTATTCCGAGCTCTATAGTATGCATTTTGGACCAACATTGCCAAGGGTTTTTATTTGCAATGCCTACATCGATCAAACGATCTGTAATCTATCTTCCATGGCAAGAAAAAGATTCGGTCTTGAATGCATCTTGCTTCTAATTGACACTCATAAAGACAGTCTCATACTCGTTCATTCGGCCCCGCTCACTATACTCTCCTCGCCGACTCGGTGCTCTGCAGTAGAGTATCGACACACAGTGAATGTTTTGTCCCACTTGTACGCTTCTTCTGCAAACCAAAATCGATGCATGCAGTGCCTTGCCGGACGCATCCTTCGGAACTTGAGACCCGTACTTACACAGGATTCAAGCGAGAGACAACGCATCACTGTCACACAGCCTGTACTTTGCAGAGGAAGCCTAAGAAGACTTCTCTTGCTGGATGTCAGCCTCTTGAGGCGTCGTGACCTGCATATGTCCCGAACATGCATTGGGCAGGTGGCACAACTACAGTCACTGAGGGACTGTATCCGCAGGCTGACTATCGTAAACAGATCCGTGCCGACCCTTTTGCATAAACCGACCTTTGTTCCCATGCCGTCTGCCATAATCCCCTTGCTCGGCTTTGAATCAGTACCTGGTTTTATACCGCAACGTCTCAGTCAATGAACTACTCTCGTTGCATACCTCCTGTTCACCGACCTTGAACACCGCGAAGATTTGCATTGACTCAATCAAGTATCGTCAGATCTTCCTCATTATGCAACACAGGCAGAGGGTAATGGTGTATTCATGGAAAGAAAACTTTCACGGCAGCTGACACTTTGAAAGTGATCGGGTTTGTTCGAACCATCCAAATCGGACCACGACCTTCATCATGGCCCCTCACCCTGTACATTTTGCCAACGAGGTCAAAACTCTGATCTTTGCGGCACTGCCCAATATGCGATCCGTACTATATCTGTCCTTGACCTCAAAGGAATGGTACAATTGTATGCGCGCCGATGAGCATACGATCGTATGTCAAGTCCTCAGGCGGGAAATACAACCCCTTGAGGTCGCCATTGCTGTTCAAGCCGCCGAAAAGGAGCTTCTCTTGGAGCCGCAAGATCTTGAAGACTTTCTCCAGCGCAAGCCGCGAACGGAAGAATTTATGAAGGACTGCGATCTCAAGAAGGCCGGCAGGCTTTCTGAATTCCATGGCGTAGTCACGGGACTTGCTTCACGAATGGCGAGCAAACTCCTAGCGCAAGCTTCTATGCATCTGAAAGACGCACTTGAAATCGAGCCCAGTCCGAGCAGGACCGAAATGACACGAATGGAGAAGACTTTCTACCGAATGGAATTGTTTCGCCACTGCGTCCGTCATGTGGATCCTTCAACCCTCAGAGGGTATGAAACGGACTTTGATCAGATTTTCTGGCAACATTTCCAATATCATGAATTAGATCAAATGATTATAGCGTCCGAGTTTTTATGCCAGACCCTGAGACCAGGTAAGATCTAATGACCAGATCAAGGTCCCTCCGTCACAATCACGCGACGCTGACGAACCAATCGATAGTATACACGGCCCTAGCATTATCGAATCCGCGATGGTGCAGCCGGATTTTGATACTGATGAACGATATGGGTGAATCGCACGATCTTCTTCTTCCCACGGAGTTCAGCCAAGGCTTGAAACGCATATATACCTTGATCGTCAACGCTGAGCAAGATCCAACTTGTACGAGAACACTAATGCCACTCCCGCGCGCGTACGATAAACGAAAGACTCTGGGCTTCAGCCTTGCGAGCATCCTTGGGTGGCATACTGACGGGGATATCAAAGATAGCGGCTGTCTTTCTGGAGAAGCAGATGAAGGTCCACAAAACGCGAGCTCGTGGTTGCTCGAGGGACCTAGGATCTTTGTGGAACCAGCCGACGAGGATCCTCAGATATCTGCGCCTCCGATATCTACTTTCACCGTCATGGCCATCGGCTATGTCTTCTGGGATCGGAAGAGGCTGGAGAGATGGAATTTGTTCACGATGGAATGCTGCAGCACTTCGTGCGGCCACTACGACTTTCCGCACTACCCGCGTCCCGCCAATCAATCTGACTTTGATTTCGAAGAACGAATGCTCGCCGCTTTGAAACACTGGGTCCCGACAGCCCGCGCCCCACGAGATGAGAATGAGAAACGTGTTTTGGCCTTTTTTGAAGACTTGATCAAGTCGATGGAAAGTCGTGCAAGCGAGAGACAGGCCGATGCAAATTTGGCGAGCGAGCCGGAATTTTACAGGGACACCAAGGGGTGTCATTGGCCGTTTTGTAGAAGGTCCCCACAAGCACGGGGTTGACGCTCGTTGACCAAAGTTGATACGGACTTGCATTCTCGAAGTGAAGATTGAACGATCAAGGTCATGAGTCCTCATTCCTTTTATTTTGAACTCATTTTCCTGCATAAAGCACTATTTAAACACATATGGCAGGTCGTCAGAGCCCAGCTTCTTTGAACAGAAGTCTGAAATTTTGAAAATAATCACATTGGGAAAAAACGCTTTTGTCCATTAGATCACAGATTTCTCGACTTGAAATTCACCACAAATGGAATACTTAAAGAGGGACTCGATCTATGGAATTTGGTCGTAAAACAAACGGAAACATGAAATTTCAGCATGGCATGCAAGTGGATTTCTCTTCGAGGGATTATCGGGGTGAAAATGCCATAGCAACTGAGATCACAGTCTCGCTTTCTGAAGCGAGACAACTCATCAACGAAGTGGCACATTTTCAATACGGGGGCGACCAAGGTTGATTCACACATCTTTTGACAGCCGCGACGGTCTTTTGGCCCCGAAACTCTAGCTGGAATGTGATTCCCTCTAGAGACTCGAGGAATGCCCAGTCTTTCCAACGCAGGCAGGAAGCTCATCTCGGAAGCTTGGTGGGAATGCATTTCCTCTCCATCCTTGAGGAATGCCGCATCTCCCTCAAGCAAGCAGGAAAGTGAGAAACCTCGTACTACTCTACAGACTGCAAGCCGTCCGGCTTCATGTGGGCAATGCAGTACGCGCTTTGCTTTCGTACTGTCTAGGGGGTTGATTGCACGAAGTACCAGCCTTCTGAAGTGGCTCTCCTTTCCAGCATGGACGTAACTCCCGACGAATTGTGATTGCATTCGTGGCTTTGTTGAGATGTTGTCGTGGCAGTATGTGATCAAACGCGTCCGATTCGGCTCAACGACTTCCTTTTCTGGGATATGAGATGTGGGTCAAGGGGGTGTTCTTTGTGTTGACCTGATGTTCTTCCCCCCCGCTCGTCCGCCCGGCAGGTATCGCTTGGTGATACCACCTCACCCATCACAGGTTTCACTGTCTGCTCTTGGAGATACGAGCCTAGTACTTCCCAGAATGTTCTTGGTATCTAAGTTGTATCACGTTCGCCGAGCCGAGATTTCAAGTTCAAGCGCCAGCCACGGCACGTACAACTTGCCATTCCAGAATTTCGCAAGCCTGATGGACCGGAAGCACACCCTAGACCACGCTCGTGCAGCAGTATGGTGCCTTTCTTTGTGTGCGATCTCAGCAAAAGCATATTTCTGAATCGCAGTCTACGACGTACCTTGTGCTATTCCAAAACTTACAAGCCTGATGAACCGCCAGCACATACCCTACACCACGTCCGTGCAGCCACATAGTGTCCTTGTTGTATGCCATCTCAGCAAAAGCTTAGTTTCGATTCCATGGGAGTACAGACCTGATCGACCGGGAGCGACTCTTTACACCACAACTGCAGAGCCGTGAGGAATACTGACTACCAGCCACGACGCGAACCACTTGCAATTTCACAAGCCTCGTGAATCGGGAGCACACTGTCCTTGCACCACACTCGCGCGGCCGGTCAGTGGCTCCTATCATGACTAGCATGCCCTTGTTCGTCTAGGAGAGCGCGAACGTGATCAACTGGAAGCCCACCCTCTCCGCATCACGCTTGTACAGCCTTATAGAACCTTCGAGGATCCAGTCTAGCAAAACCCGCGTCTCAGCCGGAATCTGATCAACGGGAAGCAATTCTCACCCCGCTCGTGCGGCGGCTGCGATCGCTCCAACCCAAACGTGCTTTCCTGATCCATGAGGGCCTCGTCGACCGGGAGCGACTCTCGTACCGCGCTGCACCACACTCATGCCGTCTTCCGTGATCGACCAGCACAGGATTCACTCTCTGATCAGGAGATACGAGTCTAGTCGTACGAACATGATGTATCATCGTACCGCCCCCTATCCCCGTTCTTCCGAACGAGACGGATGGTGTGTGTGATGCCACATCGTACCCCAGTTCCAAAAGACTCCCTCCCTTTCACGGGGCAGGAAGCACAGGCAGGAAGCACAAGCCTGAACAGGCGAGGGTCACACTTTGTGTTGACGTGGTCTGCTCGCCGCTCCTCTGCCGCCCAATGTGATGCCTCGAGCATCGTTTGCCAGCAACAGTAGACCACAGGGGGCTCGAGGAACGTCGCGGGGTGGGGACCTGGGTGTGGCGGGTTCCCTTGCCGACGATGTGCGGTCGTGATTTCGGGGTCTGTCTGTCGGGATCACGGCCCTTGTGACATCGGGGGTCGATTGGGGATGGGGCTTCGAGCTGAGCGCGACCGCTCGGCATTGCGGGCGCCAATCGTCGGGTCCTCCGTCCTGCCCATTCGCGTCATCGACGATCCGTCGGTTTCGGATGAACTGGGAGGGAATCCACGCCCGGAAGCAAGACCCACCAACACGCATCGTGGACGGAACAACGATCGGTTCGAATCGCCGCCGAAAAAGACAAAACCCCCCAAGGATGCTCGGGCCCGTGGCCGCCGCCGAGTCCTTTGGAGAGGGCCCGGTCGGAGAAGACGCGTGGGCTGCTTCGGGCTGTCTGTCACGGGGCCGGTTGGCGAGCATGGCGTGGGTGGGGAAGCTGCGGACGAGAGGGGAATGGATATGCGGGATGTGTTCTGGGAAATGCGTGTTCTGGGACATGGACAGGTTAGGGTTCGGCGCGGATAGCATGGGATTTCCTCAGTGTGGATGCTTGATCCTCTCGGGATGATGGCGGCGGAAGGCTGTAGGTGAGCCTGGGGGGGCGCTTGACGCGGATGGGAGGAAGTCGCCTACATATCTGATTGGAGGCTCGCGGCCTGGATAGACGAAGGATGAGGGGAGGGACTGGAAACATGTCTGCGTGAATTTTCCATGGATTCGAAGGAATGTTTGTTCCACCACCGAAGGAAAATATTAGATTTCGCTCTCTCATATCAGTCTGATGAGGCATGCACTCTCAATGATCGCCGAACAATTTCCAGCCCGCTCCACCATCCCGCCAATGCGCCCACACTCGTTCCAACGAAACGACCTAAAAAAAAAAGGACCTCGGAGATAGAAAGACAAAACCAGGCCGACAATACTCCCGACAAGGCTCCCGACAATGCTTCAAAACAACCGACGACGCTACATGACCATCTCGTCGTCCCGGCCCAGGCGCTCTTGCATCATGCGTTCGTTCGTCCGCTCCCAGTCGGCGTGGTTTCGGATCTGATCATAGTACTGCGCCTCGAGCTGCTGTGCGTTGGTGTGGTGTGCGGGTGCGGACCAGAGGCCCGAGGGAGCGGCGGCGGCATAGACGGGGTCCGATGCCGCTTGGGAGAGGTTGGAGCGGTGGTCTTGTTGTTGCTGTGGTTGTTGTTGTTGTTGATGGGGATACTGCTGCTCGTATCCGCTGAGCATGTACGGCTCGGCGGCTTCCGCGACGGCGATGGGCCGGGACTGCTGCATCCGTTGCTCGTAGCGGAGTTTCGCGCGCTGTTCTTCGAGCTCGACGCTGGTGAGGTGGGTATCCATGTTGTGGGCGAGTGCCTGGACGGGGTATGAAGGTGGGGCGATGCGCCACAGCTCCAGCAGCCGGAGACGCTGTTCGTATTGGGCGTTGGCGAAGAGTTGGATCTGGTTGGGGAGGAGGGTGGAAGGGTCGATGGAATGTTGGCGGAGGGTGTCGGCCAAGTCCTCGGGCATGATGGCTTCCGGGTATGCGGGCGGAGGACTCCGCGAAGGCTCGGAGTATGAGTCGCCAGGTCTGATGTGGGCGGTGGGGGTGTAGTGTACGGATGCGTAGTGGATGGGGGCGAAGTGCTGTTTCAGCTTCTCGTCTGCTGGAAACATCTCGGTCACGAACGGTTGCTGCGGAGATTCCTGTGGAGGGAGTCGAAGCTCCGGCTCCCGGAGGTCTTGTGCGAAGCGTCCGGAGACTTGCATGTTGTGGAAGAGGGAGGCGAGTTCATCTTGCATGTATTGCGCCATGATTTCGGATGTGCGTCTTGCTTGGACGGAGCCGATGGAAGGACGGCCGCACTGTGGTGGCGGTGGAGGTGGTTAGTACGAGAGATGATGATCATGTATGTATATAAAATATATGTATATATTCATATATATGTTTTCGAGAATAATGCGAGACACTCACGTGGTCACAGGTATGTTGCTGGAACCAAACGGAGACGGAGTTGACCACGGGAGAATGGTGCTCGCAGGAGTTACAGATGTGAACCAAGGCGGGTTCGTCGAGCATCAATTTCAATAGTGTTGAGGTTCCCCACGCCAAAACCGGATTACTGGTTGTACGATGTCACGATGTGATGTGCAGGTGATGAGAGGCGCTGTCTTTGGAATAGAGAGTCAGCTTTCAGTGCTTGTCTTGTCATCAGAAAGAATTCTGCTTGGAGGCAGTCATGGATCCGAAATTCCGTCTCTTTTTTCTTCTTTGATGTCAGTGGCGTATGCGCATACCGGGGCAAAGAAGTTCCTGAGATGATTTCTCGTCCTCCTCCGATTTATTGTGAGAAAGCCAGAGGGATGTTAAAGCAGCGATCAAGGGTGAGGTTGTGTGTATATCTCGACGATGGGTGATATATGTTCGGTCAGAGAGAGTGAGAGTGAGGGAGAGAGTAACAAGTGTGGTCAGGAGGGCTAATATAAGAGGAGGTGGTGGAGGGAAAGAGTTGGAATTGGGGTTGGGCTTCAATAAATTTGATGGGGCCTATATGGACGACGCGCTATGGATGAGGGAGAGGAGAGAATGTTGTTGATCGTCTTTCTCTCTCTCTCTCTCTCTCTCTCTTCCTCTCTTTCTCCCTCTCTGTCTCTTTCTGCCTATGCTATCTATGGAGATGGAGAGAACGACGAATGCTGGAGGATGGCAGTCGATGAACGGGTGATGGAGAGACCGAGTCAAGGTTGAAAGGCAGGAGGGAGGAGGGAGGAGGAGTACCCACACTATATGTACCGTATATGAATATACTAGGTATAGATGCAGTGGTGGTAGTAATGGTGGTGGTGGTGGTAATGGTAATGGTAATGGTGATAATGGTGGTATATATGAAAAGAGAAATATGTGTGCATGTCCCTTCGGGTGGTGGTGCTGCGATGACTCGGGAGGATGAGATCTGTGTCCGCGCCTGCACTTTGGGAACGACCCATATATGCGACCACCTATATCTACCTACATATTCTTACCCCTTATGATTTCCCTGCATTCAAATTGATTCAAATTGATGCTGTAACATACCTCCAGCTACCAGGGTTCTATATTACTACACCAAGAACCTGCTCGGTATTGTACTGATGTATGAGACCAGGGAAGAGGGGTTGTCATCGTGGGTTGTTGGTGTGGGTTGGTCGGTGCAGCCTGACCACGGTTGTGACCACTGATTGTATCATCGGGCGGAGGTAGAAAGAGTACTGGACTGGAAAATAGTGCTGCTGTAAAGAGAGTGGAGGAGGAGGAGAGTACAGTCCAGTAGAAATCTAACGGCTGGCCACCTCCGTCCGTCTCATCAAGCGCGCGTGGAGAGAGGGAGAGCTTTGAGCTTTGAGCTTGCATGCGCCCGTTCAGTTCAGTTCAGTTCAGTCCGGTTCATCATCCAGTCCATCGTTGGGCCGTAACGCGCAGACAGACAGGCAGGCAGACCAGACACAGTGCGGTGGTGCAATGCACGGCACAGGCAGCACTTGCACGCGCACCATCATCGTTCCATGCGATCGGCCTCTGTCTCCCGTCGTCTACTGATATAACACATCACAGACACATCCCATACGGTCCCGAGACATGGCCACGTTGTCGTAGAGAGGAGGAACGAAGAAAGGCTTGAGGAAGTGGGAGGAGGAACGCCCGCGGGAGTCCGCCCGCCGAGCAGAGGAGTGGAGGGGCGGAACGGAGGAGCCATGACGCACTTTTCCTCCGGGACATGGCTCCTCCTCCCCTCCGTCCTCGTTCATGTGGACGCGAGGATCATACATTTCTTTTGAAGCAGGATCCACTCTGCCTGGGACGGATCCCTACCTCCTAGTGACGAGTATAACCAGAGCAGTAAGGACGTTATTACTTTCGACTGCTGCCCTACACCTGTGTGGTCGAGTCATGGATTCCTCGTTATTATTCATTTTCAATCGCTGTCGTCGGCGGAGAGAGGGCGTCCTGTTCAGATCAGGGCTGTTCAGGGCTACTAGGGTTATACAACCCTAGACGGAAAGCTCAGATGCCTCAGGCATCACACAGAGAGAGAGACAGGGCACGCGTCAAGCTTGCAGCCTCACGATTCATCACTCCACCACTACTATATCGTACAGTAGACACTATTGCGGGCTGGAGACCGAAGCGAGATATGATCACCACACAGCTTCATCATCTTCCCACGTCCTAATCACAACCACCACAACACCTCCCCGTTACCCTCCACATCCTACATCCCGTGCCTCATACTTGTTCAGCCGATCACCGAATCCAATAAATCGATCAGCAATCTCCATCTTCCTCACGACCACACCCGGTCAGCAACAACTCGCTTCGGAAATCACACACACACACACATCTAAGCCGTCATGGTCAGTGAGCTCCCAATTGTGATTGCCAATGTACCCCCTACTGAACTACAGCCTCCACACAGACTTCCATAGGAACGGGTTACGACCTCTCCAACTCCGTCTTCTCGCCCGACGGCCGGAACTTTCAGGTCGAATACGCAGTCAAGGCGGTCGAGAATGGTGGCACCGCGGTCGGCATCCGATGCAAGGACGGCGTCGTGTTGGCCTTGGAGAAGATCGTCTCCAGCAAGCTACTCAAGAAGGATGCGAACAAGAGGATAGCGACCGTGGACCGGAACATCGGTGTGGTGAGTGGCCGTCCCTCTGCCGCGATGGAGGACCCCGTTTGGACAGCCTACTGATTTCAGTTCTCCCTCGGATCGCAGGTCTACTCGGGTCTCGTCCCCGACGGTCGCCACTTTGTCACCCGCGCACGAGACGAGGCCTCGAGCTGGCGGGGCACATACAAGGCGCCCATCCCCGCCGCCTCGTTGGCCAACCGCATGGGCGCCTACGTCCAAGCCTACACACTGTACTCCTCGGTGCGGCCCTTCGGGATCACCGCGATCGTGGGAGGCTTCGACGCCGAGGTCGAGCTGGGTGTCGACGGTGCAGTGGGGAGCGGACCGTCCATCGGCGCAGGCGGAAAGACCAAGGGGGTCAAGGAAGGCGGACCGTACCTGTACATGATCGAGCCCTCGGGGCTGTACTGGGGGTACTACGGCGCCGCGACCGGCAAGGGCCGACAGACGGCCAAGGCCGAGCTGGAGAAGCTCAAGTTGGACCCCAAGGACGGCGAGTGCATCTCCCTCGAGCAGGGCGTCAAGGAGGCGGCCCGCATCATCTACGTGGCCCACGAGGACAGCAAGGACAAGGACTTCGAGCTGGAGCTCACCTGGATCAGCGGCGTCAACGGCCCGACCAAGGGGCGACACGAGGAGGTCCCCAAGGCGTTGAAGGAAGAGGCGGAGCGGCTGGCGAAGGAGGCGCTGGAATTGGAGGATTAGAAATCGCAACGGACACGGGGGACGATCGAGGCTCGAGGCAAGCAAGCATGGGAAATGAGACGATGAGACGGCGATCGGGATGTACACTAGATTTATCACGGCCAGATCCGCCCCGACTCGAGGCATTGCCGGCCCACGGTGCTCCTCGAGGCGGGCGGGCGGCAGTACAAGGGTAAACTCGGCATGGCATGATTCTACGCTGACGAAATGAAAAAAACCAATGGGAAGACAAGGGTACTCACCCGCAAAGATAGATCATCCTCCCTCGCATCGCTCTCCGCAAATTCTCCTCCAGGAGAGAAAAGAAAGGTGCAATACCGAATCTTGCAAATCGTGGAATGCGTTACTAGAGAGACCCCGATTCCTTCTCTACTTGGTTTGTTATTACGGGTCGCTTATCACACACACACTCTCTCTCTCTGCTCGTCGCTCCTCCCCTGCCAGAATCTAATACGCACCTCCATCAACTCCTCCTTCACTTAGTGTTGTTGTTATTACTGTGGTTGTTACCAGGCGCCCTCAGATTCGCCTGGACCCTCGCCAATAGCTCCGCCCGGGTCGCCGTCTCGCCTGCCATCAGACCACGCTGGATCGTTCGTGTGGATGTTAGCATTTCTTCCCTTTCTCTTTTCTTTCTCTCTCTTTCTCTCGTTCTCTCTCTCTTTTTTTTTCTTTCTTCCCGAAAAAAGAAAAAGCAAAAGAAGTATAATCCAGAATGAGGAAGATAAGCAATAATTGAAAAAAAAGAACTTCAACTCACAGCATTCAACCACCTCCGCATCTCCTCCTCCGTCCAGGACTCCGGATCCCCTTTGGGATGATCGGTCGCGGGCGGGAACATGTCTCCTCCCCAGATGGTCCAGACCGCGGCGGCGCTGACGAGGGCGGTGAAGCCGAGGAAGAAATTCTGTTTCAGTTTGATCTTGTCAGTTGTTGCTGATGATGATTAGTTCAGGCAGATTCGGTTGGTGAGAAAATTCTCATGCCGGTCCTTCTCAGGCTTTTTCTTCTTCGGCTGGGAATTTAGTGCCGGAAAGTTGGTCGGCTTTCTCTTTTTCTTTTCCTGTCCACGGACGTGGTTTCATCGGACGAGTGGGTGTGGATACGATACCGTACTTTTTGGTTCAGAGCGCGGTCGAGTGGGGTTGGCATGATGGTGGTGGAGTCGTCGTGGGTTTTGGTTGTTGGTGTTTGATTGTTTGGTTTGTTGGCTGTATTGCTGGCGATGGAGGGAAATTGCTGATCTTGAGGTCCGAGGAGTCTCGTTCGTCGCGGGTTCTGCTGTGATGTCGACTGACTAATCTGATGATGGCGTTGTTGTTGATGATGATGGGAGGATTGTCCCAGTTCGCCTATAGGGATAGTTGTATATATATCTAGTCTTGGAGAATACTGGATGGTCGTTCCTACTATAATACCAGATGGGTTTTCCTTGTACTGTGATATCTCTAGGCTACCACATAACAAAGACAGTACGTGATGTCTACAATAGTCCTACAGTCCATTCCTCCACGATGACATAATATCACTCAGGTAAGTTACTTTCCCTCTGTCCAGGAGCGGGTCACCGTTACCGTAGCCCAAAGTCAAAACGGTGACCCTGCAGGGCACATACATGCACACACACATGCACACGCCTGGGGTAAAGCAGCTGCGACATGCATGTATGAGTGAGTGTGATAGCACTTGGACACATATGTTCTTACATACATCCAATACATACAGAGTCAGCAATAATCACCAACCAACTCCGAGGCTTGGGTCTCCTCTCTTCCCTCTTGGCTGCTGTCTCTTACAGTATAGTCCAGTCCAGCACAGTACAGTACAATAATCTCTCCTCATAATCTTAATACTACTCTGCATAACAATCGGCCGGGTTATACCGCCATCCTCCATTGATTGGCTCCGCAAAGGCACATTTCCGCTTCTCTGCTGGGCATGTACACTCGCGATCCCTTCGACGTTCGCCGCAAAAACCCTCCCGTTCCCATCAATCTCTTCCGACTCCCCAAAAGGAGCGCTTTCCAGAAAGTCCTCACCCAGGCAGGCGAGCGCACTCGATCCGTCGTCACCAATGCCGCCAGCGCTGCCTCTGCTTCCGCTTCCACTATGACTTCGTCTTATGGACTACCCACCGGCGGGCCTGGCGCTCGAGGTGGGACCCTCGCAGGCGAGAACATCTGGCAACCCGCCAACACCGCCACCAACCGTTCGCGTCAATCCGCTCAGAGCTATTCCAACGGACAGACCGGAGGAGGCATCGGCGAAAGACTGGGAGATATGCTCGGTTCCTCAAAACGGAGGAATTCATTGCCTTACTACAAAGACAAGCCGTTCAGCCGTGCCGGGAGGAGTCCTCTCGATGGGTTGAGATTGCCCAGATGGATGCTGCAGCGGAGAACGGTGGCACTGGTATTGGGGAGTCTGGCACTGCTATCGTGGTGGTTTGGAATACTCTCGCCGCTCGGATTCGCATCGAGGAGGGTGCGAGGAGACTCGGTGGTCAGACCGTCGACGCCGACCAAAGCCAAGGCCAAGGGCGGATCATCGTGGTTCAGCAGTGGAGAAAGGATCGATTGGGACCAGCGGGCAGGCATGGTCAGGGACACCTTCAAATTATCATTCGCGGGTTATGAGAAATACGGCTGGGGTATGTCTGACAGGTGGAGATGATGGCATACACGAGTCTACAGGATTAACGCTGACATTTCCTCCCAGGATACGACACATATCGCCCGCAATCGCACACGGTCGACAACATGTCACCCACTGGTATGGGTTGGATCATTGTCGACGCTCTGGATACTATGATGATCATGAATTTGACCTCCGAGCTGACTCACGCCCGAGCATGGATCCACAACAACCTGACATACGATCAAGATCAAGATGTCAACACCTTCGAAACCACCATCCGAATGCTGGGGGGTCTCCTCTCGGCGCACTATCTCAGCAGTGCTTTCCCGGGCAAATTCGCGCCTGTGGAGGATGGCTTGAGCGACGATATGTATGTCGAGAAAGCTGCTGATCTCGCAGACAGGCTTCTCTCTGCATACGAGACGCGCTCTGGTATTCCGGTGGCCAGCGTGAACCTGCACAAATACCAGGGCATTGCGTCACACATGGATGGCGGCGCCTCTTCCACCGCCGAGGCGACGACGCTACAGCTCGAGATGAAGTACTTGTCCAAATTGACGGGTGAAGTCCACTATTGGGAAAAGGCAGAGAACGTCATGAAGGTCATCGACGACCTGGAGGCTCCCGACGGATTGGTTCCGATCTTCGTCAGCGCGGATGTGGGAATGTTCCGGGGTAACAACATCCGCTTGGGGAGCCGCGGTGACAGCTATTACGAATATCTCATCAAGCAATATCTTCAGACTTCGAAACAGGAGCCTGTCTATCAAGCCATGTGGAACGAATCCCTGGCGGGGATCAAGAAACACCTGGTCACGTACAGCGATCCGGACAACTACACGATCATCGCGGAACGTCCCAACGGGTTGGAGGCAGCCCTCAGTGCCAAAATGGATCATCTCGTATGCTTCATGCCAGGCACCATCGCGTTGGCCACAACCGGGGGATCCCCTCTCGCCCAAGCTCGAAAGGGTCCCGGCTGGGGTCCACAACAAGAAGAAGACATGATCCTCGCCATCGAACTGATGAAGACCTGCATGGGCATGTACGCCGTGACCCCCACCGGCCTGGCGCCCGAGATCACCCACTTTAACATCTACGAACCGCCCCTCATGTACCACGACTTCACCTCCCCGGCCACGCGGCCCCGCGCGTCCATCGACTTCGCCCCGCTGAGCGAGAACCCCAACTTCATGATCCACGGCGGCGACGTGCATAACCTCCAACGGCCCGAGACCGTCGAGTCCCTCTTCTACCTCTGGCGCATCACCCGCGACCCGCTCTACCGCCACTGGGGCTGGGCCATCTTCCAGTCCTTCATCGCCCACACCGCCACCAAGGACGGCGAGGGCTTCTCCTCCATCGCCAACGTCCTCCTCACGCCCTCGCCCCTCCGCGACGACATGGAATCCTTCTGGCTGGCCGAGACCCTCAAATACTTCTACCTACTCTTCCGAGACGACGACGACCTTCTCCCCCTGGACTCCGTCGTCTTCAACACCGAAGCCCACCCCTTCCCGCGCTTCGAGCTGGGCCAGTTGTTCAAGACCGGCTGGAAGCGCAAGGCCCAGCGCTCCCCGGACGAACTCCTCGCCGACCAGAAGCGCGCCGAGGCCAACATGCCCGTCGTCGTCACCATCGTGCATACCCAGATGATCGAGAAGATCGTCGAGGCCATGACTGCCACCGCCACCACGGCTGCGACTGCGACTGCGACTCCGCCGGATGTGGCTGCCACGCCGACTCCGGTTGTCGCGGCGCCGTGATGTGTCGTTGTGGGCACGAGTTCCTTTTTGGTGGGGGCGGGCGCCGGTCTGTCTGATTACTGTACTTATGTAGTCCTACGTCCGATGAGCATTTTCTAGTTGTGTAGCCATTTCTGTCATATCATCATCAAAGGCATGGCCTCTTTGCATGTGCAGCAGCAGCAGCGACCATTCCATCAATTCCTCCATTCTTAAACGTGGCGCGTGACGAGGCGTGAGAGGAAGCAGGACGTCCCTTGTGGAGAGACGATCATCGTGAACAACCATTCGTCAATCATAATCATTGTCCCTTGGCTTTGCGATCAACGTGGGACAGAAGAAGACCATGTGGTCTGGCTCGACACAGAAAGAAAAAAAAAGCTTAGAGCATGTCTGCCGATTGAGAAATGCCCGGTGGCACGAGCCTTCTCGTTCATTCATTCATTCATCCATTCATTCGTTCATTCACATCTCTCTCGTCTGAAGCTAGGCCTATCTGGCATCATTACCTCTGTCGCAGCCGAAGAGCAAATTTCTCGAGGGGAAAAAAAGGCCGGACTTGGCCTATGGTCTAAAACAAAAACAAGTTCCCATGATGCACGCGCACGCTCTGTGTCCTAAATCACCCCAATGTTTATAGGCACCGAACCAGCTATCCTTCAATCCGCATCCACGAATTCCACCATGACCGTCCCGTTCTTGAGCTGTGCGTCCGCGATCGTCGTGTCCAGCGACTCGATCAGATTCTTGCCCATGCTGATCAGTTCGAAGTCTTTCCCGGCCGAGTCGTCCAGCGGTTCGGCTTTCAACCATTCGTAGATCCTCCGCACGGGATCTGTCAGGGAGAATCTGCGGACCACGCGGCCGCCGGAGTGGCGGAATTGGATGCGTGTTGTCTCTTGGGGGTTGGTTGATGTCGGCTCGGTGTGGGGATTTGAAGCCGATATCCGGGAGAATGGGGTGTCTACAGGTTCCGTGGCGCTGCTGCTTGTTTCTTTTGTGGCTGCTGTATCTGTGCTTGGTCCCGCCTGGCTTGTGCTCTTGCCGTCTTCCTGGTCCGCTTTGGTGAGGGCATCGGGATCATCTTCCTTAAAAGTGCTGTTTGTCGCGCCCTTGGTCAGGCTGTTCTGCAAGGCCATCTCCAACATCTCTTCCTCGCTCATCGCCGCGACGTCTTTCCTCGCCTGCTTCCGCTTGGCCTGCACCGGGTTCTTCTTCTCCATCTTGAGCGAGTAGCGATCTAGAAACTCCAAAATCTCCATCAGGAAATCGGCGGGCTTTGGACTCGGTGAGCCAGACCAGGTTTTGACTTGCTCGCCGGTGCGCGGATCGACGATGCCGATATGTGGGTAGGCATCGTCGGAGTCCCGCATGTTCGAGAAGTAGTAGTTGATGTACTCTTGACCGCGGGGATCTGTCTTTGCGAATTGTAGGAATATGAAGTGCTCTTTGACTGTATCGCGGATTTCGGGCTTCTTCCAGATATCACGATTCAGTACCTGGCAATCGAAGATTGAAGGGTCCTGAACGTTAACCAGGATCCACTTTTCGGTTTCCTTTCCTTCATCCCGAGCGTCTGACAGCGAGAGTGGTGAGATCAAGTCGAATGGAGGTCGGAAAAGCTCGGCCAAGTGATTTGCTTTGGGCGTGGCATCGGATGCACCTCCCGTGGCGCTCGACAAGGCCTGACGACGAGCTTCCGATGTGTTCGCGTCATCAGGGGTGTTCCAGATCGACGATGTCTGCTGCTGGTTGAAAATTCCAGGCGCCTGGTTCCGTGGGCGATTCCGTGCCATAAGCTGTTGAGCAATTGCGGCGTTCATCTGGTCAGGGTCGTCTCGCCAGTCCCCACTGCCAGGTCCGATGAGTGTCTCTGTTGTACGAGCCATAGGCGCGCGCACGTCGTCGCCTCCATGTGCTCCACCTCCTCCGCCACCGTACATCTCCTCTTGCAGCCTCCTCGCCATGGCTTCGTCATCTTCGACAGAAGGACCCGATCGGGTCGGGATCGGCCGACTTCCCAGCTCTTCTAAATCGTCGTCACCGCCGTCCTCATTGAAATCGTCCATGTCCTCGTCCTCGTCGTCGATGTTGATCGGGGCGTCTCTACCACCTCGTACTGGTCGTGATGACTGTGTCGGTTCCCTTTGGGCAGCCTGAGTGTTTGTTGTGGTCGTCGTCGTGGGCGCTGTTGTGTTGCCGAGATCGGGACTGGAGAAGAAGAGTTCGACGGCTTGTTCGACATTGCCGTCGGTGAGCTGTAGATATCGTTGAGCTTGCTCAGGCGTGCCGCTCGTGAAGGCGCAAAACGTCGAGACCTGTTCGTCCATGATTGACGCGTGAGGTTGTGCGAGAGTCGATCACGCTGCTGGAGGTGATGGTTGTTGCAAGAGGACTGCTATGATGGTGTTATGAGAGACGAAGAGGGGCAAGTTTGGGTGCCTAAGACAAATTGACGAGGATATGTTGGTGTAGAGGTATGCAGGTCAATATCACCAAAGTTGTTCGCCGGCGTGAAGTATCAATTGTATGCACTGTCACTCGGCATCATTCATCAATGATTTGGCGGGGCGAATTTGGGGGGAATTGTCAACGGTTTATACTGACGTAGCGCGCGGAATGGTGTAGAATGATTGTGAAGAAACGAGTCTGAAGGCGGGGGAGAGACTCTGTTCCGATTGAAGCCCTGGAGACCATTGTCACGACAGTCCTACTATCCACCAACAAACCCATTTGGATGTACACGTCTACCTGCTATATATACCCACGCACGACCGCATGGGAGGCATGTTTGTCGTCGTCGTGTCTTTGCTGCTTATGTAGAAAATCCCGACGCTTACCCTCCCGTGATATGTGGCGGCAAGTGGATGGGGTTATCAACACATACCCCGAACAGCCCATCCCAACACGTGGAGCATCTTCCTCATGGCGGTAGCGACAGGGCCATCTCAACGCTGAAAATTTACGTCTGTCCTCTGCACGAAGCATTTCGAAACTTGCCATGTATGAGCATAGTACCTCGAGGTCAGGTACCATGTGCATGCCTCGGTGGTAGTCATTTTTCGGAGCTAAGTCCGAGGTTGTCCCGATTCCAGCACTACGTTCCAGGCTCTGCTTCGTTCACTCGCAGGATGGCATGTCGTATCGCCCATTCTTCCCTTGCCTGCCGGAACCCTTTGAAAGCAAGGTCGTCCAAATAAGACATTGGGCATTTGACGGTGTGTAAGGGAAGGTGATCGTCCATGTGGGATAGCTGGAAATGCCAGAATTTGCTCGTTCATTTGACACGTCGAGCTGCATCGAACAACCCAGAGAGTAGAGCGCGCGACATACCGCGGCTTCGTTCATTGTGTGGTCAGCATTCTTCTAGTCTATCAGCTGTCAGACCACAACAACGTATATACATACAGCAAATGTTCAATCACAGTGCAAGGTACTGCGTCATCTACGTAATCCTGACATTACAGTGGTATGTACCTTCATGTGTATAACCTTGGAATAAACCAGGGGATAGACCTGCATCCATCATGCATGTGATGTCACCTCAGCGTCCAGATGCACATAACCGCCATACATTTATTCTTCTATGTCTATGCCCAATTTGATGGTTTAAGAAAGATATCTAAACCAACCATTCAAGTCAGCCTTCGAAAGCCAGAAATTGCACTATCTCACCATGAATACTAACTATTCGTTATCTGGAAAGGCTATTGTGACGACAGTCGCTCAGTCGTCAAGCTATCTCGTCCTAGGCTTGGACGATGGACGCCTGCACGTATTTTCGACTCAAGGGGAAGTTCTTTACAAGCTCCGGGCAGAGTTCTCGCCGAGTTCCTTGACGGTGAGACAGCATCAGCTCATTGTCGGGTGCAGAGACGGCTCAATAGAGTCTTGGGATCTCTTCACAGGGTACGTACCTCTCGCCGGAGTGCCTTCTTCAATTCGCATTGACCTTGTTCGCGATAAGCACGCGGGTAACATCGTTCACTGCACACGACAGTGCAATAAAGGACATTCTCTGGTATGACGAGGGAACAATTGTATCCAGCTCCAGGGACTCCAGTTTGAAAATTTGGTCGACCGAAGACTGGGCCTGCACACACGAGCTTGCAGGTCACACAGCTCCCGTGATTAGCATAGCAATCGACCACGATACTCTCATCTCTGCAAGCCATGATCAGACTTGTAAAGTCTGGGATGCCAACGCTGGGACACTAAAGCGCACGCTCACCGGTCACCATGCGAAGATTTTCAGCATGGATTTTGATGGCAAAATTGTGGTTTCCGGCGATCTGATTGGCGAAGTCCGCGTCTGGGATGCGATGACGGGACTCTGCAAGGCCATCTTGCACGGCCACAAGTCGATTGTGAACCACGTCCGACTACACCACGGCCTGATCATGACAGCTGGCGCAGATGGATCCATCAAAGCGTGGTCATCGGCAACGAGCACGGAAGTCTGGACAATACCACAAGCTCATCCGAATGCAGTCAATTCCATCAGCGTGAAGGACGACATCTTCGTTAGTGGTGGCAGTGGCGACGCCGTGAGCATTTGGCAAGTCGGAACTGGTGCATTACTATACAAGATAGGAGGACACTACAGTGCTATTTGGCAGGTAGGGTTTCTAAACCAAGGATCGAATAAGGTGTTCGCAACATTTTGGGACGATGGATCATCTCTAGCTATAATGTCCCTACTACATAGTTAATAAGCCGTAATTGTCAATGGACACGACCAGCGCCGACGGACGTCGACGCCGTGAGAGAGAAAGGTCGAGGCCAGGAAGCGGGCGCGTCGAGAAATCATGCAAACCCGCGCGCGATTTCAGACGCGGCGGCATCGGTTTCCAGATGCCGAAGGCCCGTCAGGGAGATTCCGCAACGTTGGGTAGCTAGACATGTGACTAAATCCATAGTCATAGGGCCATTATCAGGCACCGCTGATGGCTTGGGTCAGTCATTGCGAACTTATAGTATTGACCTGGTTCCACCGGAGAAGTTCACAAAGTAAAGTTTGGATCTGAGACTCACGCTCAGCGACCACAGCCCTCAACCCATATCAACCTTTTTGTGTCCACCGTAAACCAAGCAGAGGAGCAACGAAGCGGAGGAGTAGACAAGTAGATAAGCAGAGAAGCGGAGGAGCAGGCAAGCAGACAAGCCTTCATCCGTGGAACGTCTCGAACACGAGCGGACACTCACCCGAGTAGTCCTAGAATGAGCGGACTACACCAACCCTGCGACAAGATGAGCTCAACAAGTTCACCGCCATGCTTGAGGCAGTCTTCATCATTCTGCGAAACAAGGATGACGGTGCGATTTCGCCGAAGATGCTTCCTGTTCCTAACGAAAAAGTCGAGTCTGTAGGAATATGAGAAATCTATATGTGCCGAGCCACGTGCAAGCGTAGGGCTTCTATTCTCGTGTGTGGAAATATGATTGACATACCTAGGTAATGTATATGTAGACCGATGGCTGCGTGGTGGTTGGCAGTGGTGGTCGAGGTGTCGGAAGGACTTTTGTTATTCTTGATGAGGTCCCGTCTGGCATCTACAGTGTTCCCGCCCGCCCGAGTGAGTCTAGATGCGTCGGTCCGGCTTTGTCGACAGGTGCGGCCGTCCGAGCACCATGATTACCCGACTACAACAATAATCATATTATCGTAACAACCGATGCGCACAGCAGGAAGTGCTGTGTGTACAAAGACTTGCATCGGATGACTTGACCAGTCTTGATGAGATCGCACCACCAGAAAGTCCGCGCTTTCCTCAATCAGTGCGTCGCCTGCAACGACCGTCTGACTTTGTCAAGCTTCCTAGACATCGAGGCGTCGGGGTCTCCGTCCTCGCATTTAAGCGAATCTTAATGAAAGTAAACGGAGGATTCGAGCCCGGCGTCCCCATGGTTCTCCCCCAATCACGCGAGTGCGCATTGCGCGTTCCACGACCCAGTCGGCATTGACAACCATGTCAAGACGTTCGCGTCGGGAGCGATGAGGCGAGACCGCCATCCCGTCTGTCAATCCAGCCCGCGTCTCCATCTCGAAGTCGTCGTGCGCCTGTGTGCTGAAATACATAACCGCCATGTGCCCATCCGCGTGAGAACACATTTTCACGTGCCAGACAACTCTGGCTTTGGAAGCGGCCAAGTGAGGGTTATGAAGTTGTTCAGACCAGATCAATTCTCGCCTCAAGAAGATGTGGTTGTCATCTTCTACGATTGGCCTCTTGGTATTGCTGCTTGCTCCGCTTGGTCAGGCCGGCCACGTGAAACCAACATGCCGCGTCTCCGCAATACCATCGACGGTGACGAGCACCATCGTTTCCTATACTACATTGCCGATAACAACGAAGACTTACACCACTACAACGATCCGCTCAGGGACTGCCACCACGAGCGGGATTCAGAGTCTCACAACCATTGTCAGCGCCAGCAGTACTGCTACAAGCCTGATCACTACCGCCCTGCCGACATCAACCGTCACATTTTCAAGCGAGATCACCAAAACCGACGTTTCTAGCCTCACTATCACCGAAACCGTCTCGGGCTCTACGACTTTGACTACAACCTCGACGACTACCCAACTGCCGCCGACTACTATGGTCATTTCCAACACCATCACTATTCCTACAACCGTTACGATTTTCACGGCGACGACCGTCACGACCTACTTGCCGCCGAATCCTCCCAACGTCCGGCGCGCAGAGACCTGCGACCCTAGGACGTGTGCGACCGTGGTTACGTATGGCTTGACGACGACAACGAAATGTACCACCGTCATCAGTACCATCCGTCCTACAGCGACTGTGGTCCAAACGCTCTTCACAACAATCCCGTCTAGCACAGCGACAGCCCTCTCGACTGTCTACAGCACTTCCTTGGTTACTGTCATTGCTACTCGTAGCTTAATCATCACCCAGCCCGCGTCGACTGTGACAATCTCGAGTCTGATGACTACAGAGACAACATTGACCGATGTCTCCACTGCGACCTCGACGCTCCCAGACAGTGTGTCCGTCATCACGGCCGTCGAGACGCAGCCAGCTTCTACGGCTCTGACAACGGACGTGACGACGGCAACAAGCACGACCTTTACGACGCTAACCTCCACCTCGACTGCACCAGTCATCACAACGCAGACGCTCGTCATACCTGCTTGCCGTAACTTTTACACTTTGTCGATTTACACTAGTCTCACGTCATTCGTCGACCCTCTCACCACCATCACCCAGCCTATCATCGTACTCACCACTCTCTCCTCATTCGTCTGCACGTCGACACCGCGAACTGTGACTAACACGATAACATATGTGCCCACTGCAGTAACCTCAACAATACTGACCACCTCATGCTTCACTGGTCAAGTTACAAGTACTTCAGCCGTGGCGACATCGACATACAATGCCGGTTTTCCAGTCCGCTTGACTAGCTATACAACCTTCCCGACCTTTGGCACGAGCTGCACTTCCTACGTAACGACTACTGTTAGCACGCTTCCGCCGCCAACGATGACGGTATAGAGTAGACTTGGAACCGGTCACAAACAATACCAAAATTTAATTTAATTTTTCTAAGGTATCTTCATCTTCCCAGAGGCAGATGGCTCGAAGCAGAATGATTGCGAAGCAAGTATCTGAGGACTGCATGATCCGCAAGCTTTCCCTACCAAAACCGCTCTTATTTACGACGTACGGCGCACGACCTCCACGCGGCGGGGATCCGAATTCGAATTCGAGACCTTCCAACCACGCGCTTGTAGAGGGACATGCTCACTATGTTATTGGGGGTGATGCGCAGCAGGGAACGCAGATAAGAGCCATCACATCCGTGCTGATATTAGTCGCCCATGTCGCTGTCGTCCCTTACGTGGGCTCCACTTCTCCGTGGGACTGACTTCAAACGCCCACGCTCGTGTTACGATTCGAACGCAGCCATCTAACGTAGAGTCATGTGCACGAATGGCTATCTCCAAATATGTGAGGCCTGGTGTTGACAAAATCCTTCTTGTGGGCATCCCGTAGGTGTAAACGCTGAAAATCATCGATACTCGATGAGCCCATCTGGAGATTGTAGGCCATTGCCGAGGTCCTTTGCGATGCAGTAGCATCTTCGGCAGTCATGTCTCGATTGTCGTAATGAGTTCGTCGCCTGATTTCTGTACCGAGTAGAGTTTTGGAGTAGCATTGATCCGTCGCGATGTCGCTCCTTCAGACGACGATTCGGAAATTTTGCGTCTGAATCAGCCATTTCCTACCATAATCACCTTTTCCGGTCCCTTTAGCACCTACTTCCTCCTTGTTGGGCACGAGCACAAAACTCTCTGAGGTGCCGCGAAGCGGACCATCCTTGCGCTCCATCAATCTTACGCTCCCGCTGACCTGGACAATGAGACTCATGTTCCTTTCAGCGTCCCTGCGAGTCGCGGCGGGGACACCATCAAGACAAGGGTTCAGTACGTGCGCATCGAGTGATTGACATTCGAAGTGCATGTACGGCAAGGATTTGTCTTCATAGCGATCTTGCAATTGCTTGCCATCTTGGATCAATTCCCCGTTGTAGCTGATGTACGGCATCAATCGACCTGACACATTATTCGGCGGTACATAATAGGAGGCTATCGTATGCCGCGCACTGTTGAGGGCTGTATAGTACGAATCCACAAACGCTTCGGCTGCCTCGGTTGAAATTTTGACCTTGTCGGTGGATGAGAGCTCATAACGTTCGGGCATCGTGGTTGATCAAATACGAAAGCCTTTCCGTCGACAGCAAGGGTGTTATTGATCGGTATTTGACATGTAGACTTGCTGAACTCTCTCAAGCCTTCAAGATCTGTCAGCGTGGAGATGGCGCGAAACATAAAGCGGGAGAATTTGCCAAGATTCACAACTGTGCACGGACCAGGCTCGCCCGCACATCCCGAATTCTACCCATCGACACTCGATTCGGGCGACGACTTGGTGTGTTTTCAGATCGACGACTTCTTTCACATCCACGCCTATACACGGAACTCAATCGCCCATCATGCCTCGCGAAATCTCCGACATCAAGACCTTCATCGAGATTTGCCGACGAAAGGATGCCTCATGTACGCCAATCGAGACCAATCGGACTTGAGATGGGAATCGCTGTAATACTAACATGAAATGCGACAGCCGCCCGGATAAAGAAGAACAAGGTCACCAACCAGACCAAGTTCAAGGTCCGATGCCAGCGATACCTCTACACCTTGGTCCTCAAGGACTCCGACAAGGCTGAGAAGCTAAAGCAGAGCCTGCCTCCAGGTGCGACCTCATGATTCGCCGTCTACTGCAGGAAGTTGATGAAACTAATCTCACATTCGCCAACAGGACTCAGCATCACCGACACCCCCAAGAAGAACGCCAAGGGCAAGCACGTTGCTAAGTCGTCATAAGTTCGGGAGCGAAAGGCGTTTTTGGGATGGACAAAGCATGTGTTCTTTTGCGGGCCTGAGCTGGAGGGACATTCCTGCAGGCGGAGATACGAATCTTCGATGACTGGAGACGTTTCACGGTCCTGCGCATTTATCGACTTCAATGCATTCTCGAATAAGAACCTTTTTCCGGGCATTAAGAGCGAGTGATATGAAACTGCGAGGTTGTGGTGAAAGAGGCATCGTGATATCTGAGGCACGTACATGGCTGCACTTCTGCTGTTGATGCAGGTGCATCACGTCAATGGAGCCTCGCATCCAAAATGCAAGGATTCGATTAATGTTGACTTCTTCACTTCGCCCAAGCGCCAACTTGACGATGATCTATCAGCGAATGCTTCCGTGATAACGGTGTTGGATCTTGCTTTTGCTTGCAACTCAATGGCAAAGACGTTTCCAAAGGTCCAAGAGGGGGCAGTAATGGTCTTCCGGCAAGACGGCCTGGGGGACAGTGCGCTATTTGCACTCCTTATCATCTTGCCGTGCCCCGGTGGTGAGCTCCTGCGCATAAACCTGGCTCAAGCAGCTTCAGATGCCTTCTTGATCACACTAGAGTGAACCACACAAGCTCCTGAAGGCCCGGCTTCCGCATTTCCTTCGTAACGTAAATATCTAGAGTGTCAAGTCCTCATGCCTTTGTCGTCGTTTGGGGTTGGGGTTAGGCAACCCTAGACGGGAAACTCCAATGTCAACCAGTCGATCTTGTCCCAAGACGTGTACTCCAGGATGCCTGACAGGATGTCAGCGTGATCTCTGTAGACTGTTTAGGAGACGGTCTGTCTCTATGAATGCAACAACAATGATGCTCGACGTATAATGAGCGAGCACTTGGCGACATTGACCTCGGGACAAAACACAGACCACCTTACGTTGGGATAATTCATGGTAATACTTGGAATGACACTTGTGACTCTTGCAAGCGACGTCCATACCGATCGCTATCATACCTTCTGTCGTAGAGAAACGAATGAAAGAAGCCCGCGAGAGCCTCGGAGCATCATTAGGAATTAAGATTATACATTATATTTCGATTGTTCACTCAATACACTCATCAAAAACGATAACGCCGGTACAAATACCAGATCGTGCCAGATGAATTTGTATCCGACGAAGCTGCCGCTTGGTCGGCAGCAGATAGCGATTGAGTCGAGGTGGGATCGGCTTCGAGAACGTCTATTGAGGGCAACTTGTTCGGTAGTAGTGTTGTGCTGTATTGGCTGGTCATCGAGATGCATGTATCCCTGTGCAAATGAATATGCTGTTGGATGACATGATTTCCTTCGATGCACCGTCGATGTGTAGATGACCGATAATCATTCTGAAAGCGGGATCCAGCGTTTCACTCCTCTGTCCCCTTCGATCGCATCAGTGATCAGCCACGGCCTGAGACGTCCCGCAAGCACCTGCGAAGGTGTCTTATCCGTCCGACGGAAGCTGAGTCTGGAAATATGAACAGGAGCGGACCGGTTGATCACGAACCTCGTTCACATCAAATGCTGCGCTGACGATGCCTTCTGACACCGACCGCTTTGCCTCTACAATCGTAGATGACTTCGTAGGAAAGCCGTCGCCCTTGTGGGTGTCCCTTACACTGCTCCGTTGATAAGCTTGATTCACCCAAACTCCCCACATTGCAGATGACTCCAGGTATGTCTGATGTCGGCATTTGACTCGACCCGAGCATTATGAGTGGTGAGATGTTCTGGTCACTGGCGCCCGGACATTTGCTCGCCGGTCCATCCTTGGATCCTTTGCGTGAGTTCCGACCCGGCTTCGAGCCTGTGGAGCTGACCGAGTCTGAGGGCTTGACAGAGTCAACTCTTGAAGAAGCCGTGCTATTACCTTTGCTGCTCGGGGAGTGGATGCTTCCTGGTGATGCGGGAAGTATCTGCGACATCCACGAGCCGGGAATGTTGAGTTTGTCCGAGTCCAAAGAGACGATCGTAGGTCCTTTGCCAGGGGCTGGAGGCAAGAGCAAGCAAGCCTTATCCGGCGTCGTCTCAGAGAAGTTGACGACGACCTGCATGTTTGGATTTATCGCATATGTGATGTTTTGTGATCAGAGACGGCTGAAAGTTTGAAATGCAGCATGCATGCGATGTGTGTGTCGGCTCTCGGTAAGGGTAGAATGTGTCCTATCTTGTGGATGTGCGTGGCGGCGCAAATTGCAGACTCGACTGTGCAGGCTGTCATCGACTAAAGGAAAAGGCCGCTCATCTGTCGCAGGCATGTCTGACGATTTTGGGCTCTGCAGCATGCAGATCTTGCGGAGAGAGTGCAGCATATCATTAGGATCGCTTTGTAACAGTGCATCAAAGTACTCTAGTCTCACAGAGGTCCTTTCACTATTCGGTTTGATAGGGGCTAAGCGCATGCTGTTATGTCGAAATTTGGTTCTGCAATCGTGCTTTCAGGAAGCGCATACCGGATACGTAGAAAAAGCGATCATCGTTGTGGGAGCGCTATGGTGTTTCTACTATCTCGGGGAACGCGCACGTATTGCCGAGCAAGACAACTGAGACGACAGGCAGATGAGGCGACCAACCAAACTCGGCGGAAGTTTTGGAGGAGAGCGTGTACTGCGCAGAGAACGTGAGCAACGTAGTGCGGTTGCATGAACTTCATGATCCATGCTTTGCACATTCTCTTCGCCTGCGTTGCGGCGACCACAAATCTGTATGCCATGAGTGGGATGGCACCTTGAAATGTAGGCATTCATGGTATTTGATGAGGGGTAAATACATGCGAAAAGCAGGGTTTTTGAAACCCGGTTGTCATTCTGATAACCGTGATCTGAAACCGAAGTCGCCAAGCCTGGAAATGTGTCGTGAAGGCTTAAGAAGGTATGTTTGAAACCCATGACGTTGCCAAGGGAGCCAACGTTGTCCTGTCGAATGTTCTTACCCAAACTTTGACCAATATGGATCGACATCTGCCTGTCAGCTTCAGCGTCAATACCTCAAGCGCACTCCATGGAGGAGTAGCATCACGAGCACACGAGAATCCGGTCTGTTTGGACCTGCGCGTAGCTTTCTCGCAGACGCGACGCTGCCGTTGTCGCCTCAGGGACGAGGACAAAGAGAGGCACCGGAGTAAGGTTCCATCCACTCGAGGCACGGGCATCAACGTAGAATCTTCCATTTCCGGGCGAATGTAAACATCCCAACGGTTGACCCAGATACATAGCTCGCGCGGCCAACGGAATGGGAGAGATGCCAGGCCGCAGGATTTTTCAGGCTAGAGCGTTGCGCTCTTGAATATGAAAGCTGGGCAAGTGCCGGAAATATAATGTTCATTTTGTACCCCCGGAGTACAAATAATCTGGGATCGTTGTTACGATTTCTGTGACCATTCTTTTCTTACTGTATGAACTTCGTTCGAGGCGAGGCGATGAGATGAAGTTCTTCGTGGCGCTCACTCTTACCCTTTTGGCTCGTCGTATTACTTGAATAGGGTTAGCCGCATCTGTGCTGTAATCTTATTTCCATTGGGGCGTCGGGCCAGGGCAGGACTAGCAACACGTCCATTCACAACGCACCGTCGTGCTGCATGAAGTGCGCTCCGTCCATCACCGCCGCCGAAGCATCCAGAATATGGCCAGGCGGAGGTTAAGAACGCCGTCACAAACAACGCTCGATAGTCATAAAAGCGCTCGGACGGAAACCTGCTCGCCCGGCACTCAATCTGCTAATTGCCAGATGCGAGAGCAGGGATTTGTAATTGCTAACGCTCGTGCTTTCTCCGAACCATCGTTGCCCTCGTGGCCATTGGCTCATGGCATGCGCGTGGCTCCGTTGGAAATCTTCGACATGAATAGGTCCGAAATAACTTCACGGCTACCTGAGCGAACACCTGTTCTGTGAACTTTGGAGCGACATCGAGGCGAAGTTTGTTGTGCATACTCATTCGGGCCGCTGAACGATTTTCTCTATTGTTCACGGATCGCACGGCAGGCTGCACATTTTGGTGCATTGTAAATATCGGCCCATTTCCGAAATACAGTACAAGGAAATTCTCCGTCATGCGTACTACCCTTCCATGGCCATCACTATTCCGACATGGGCTCTCGCTTGGCGCATGGATCCGTCTCCCGCCTCCTCCCTCTTTCTGTGGCACTGTCCAGACTGTACGTTCTTCCTACCACTGAGAATCCACCCGTGGGTGCACAAAATGCCTTGGGATGTGTCGTGCCCAGCTGAATAGTGTCGATGACAAGCCGGCGGCGCGTCTTCCGTTGACGCCACGCTAATTCTCCAGGGGGAGTCGTCGCCCCTCTCAAGATGGCAGTGACAGTCAAGGGACTGCGGACGAGCCTTGCGTTCCTCGACGGATTGATTTGACGATGTGCCTGGTGACACTACCGGCATAGTCTGGCTGTCACAAGTGTCAACATACCTTCCAGAAGTTCCCCACCCACGGTCTATTTCGGCACCACTCCCGCAGAATTGGTGCGAGGGTGGCTTTGTTGTTGTGTGAGTATCGATTTCGCTTCGCTTATGTTCATATATACTCCGTGCACGAATGGGTACGGCGTCAGGAAACATAAATCAGAGGGAATCCTCTTCTATGTTCGTCTTGCTTCTATCTTCACTACAAGCTCTCCAGCCTCGGTGCTCTGACACCTGATAGTCGTTCCCTGTTCGAAATACATTCATTCCCACATCCGGAGCGCGCCTCCTTCACAGTCATTCGACAGATATCAGATCAACACATCATACATCGCAAACCATTGCACCAATCATGTCTCCAGCATCCCGATTGCTGGCATGTGTTGCCTTTGCCGGCCTCACTCTTGCCTCTCCTGCCGCCCAATTCCTTGACTTCGATGCACTTGAGCGTGCTCCTGCCGTGACCAGTGGTCCTGCACCACTTGCTGTAGCTGCCACCGAGCACACAATTGAGCACACCACGGTGATCAGCATCACAGGCGTCGCCACAGCGAGCGCCACTGCTGCTCCTACTGGAGACCCATTGCAACGTCGGGCTACTACCTCCCCATACACTCCGTACTATGCGGCGCTCAGGACCGGCTACACCACCGACCCAGCATTGGCGGCCACATCGACCACGACGGCCAACCAACCCTGTGTCACCCAGCCAGAGGCCGGCACCTACTGCGGTTTCATCAACCCTCTGGACGCTTGCTCACCTCAGCCCGACGGTTATGGCCCGGTTCCGGATCAAGATACACCTTCGGCGTTCTTGGCCTACACAAAGCTGCATTCGGCCGCTCAAGCGGCGCCAACAGCTGTGCGCTCGGACGACTATGCCACATACAAGCAGGTATTCAAGGACCTCAACGGAGCCGTGACAGGTGGCTCTTACCTCGGACTCTACTCTCTTCAAACATATAACGTCGCTGAATGTGCATCCCGATGTGACGACACAGACTTGTGCACTGCCTTCAACATCTTTGCGGAGCGTGACCCATCTCTGAGGCCAGCGAACAACGACGATGACATGCCTACAGTCTGGGGTCGGTACTGCCCCAACCCTCCTTCCATGACCACATTCAAGTGCACCCTGTGGGGTTCGTCCATTTCTGCTGCACTGGCTACCAACACTGGCCAATGGCAAGAAGATTTCCAAGTTGTCATCACTGCATCGAACGGCTACGACAAGACTGACAACACCACCCCGCCGGAATGCTCTGCGCCTGTTACTGACACCGACACGGCGTCTGCTACCCCTACGGTCCCGTCATACGTGACCCCCAACCAGATCAGTACTACCGCGACGCTCTCCCCTACTTCGGCTCAAACGAGCAGCACTCAAGTCACTTCTGCCAACCAGTACCCTGCTACCAGCACTCCTTCTTCTTCCTCTTCTTCTTCAAAGACTACTTCTAGCACTGCTGCGCCCTACACCACAGCCACCACTGCTGCGCCCTACACTAGGACTTCAAGTGTCGCGACGACTTCTGCACCACCACCGCCCCCTCCTGGCCCTACAAACCAGCCTTACCCGGGTGGCCCAGCTCCTCCAGGCGACAACAAGCCTCCAGGCGGTGGCCCAACTCCTCCGGGTGGTAAGCCTGGCGACAAAAAGCCTCCGGGATACAAGCCAAAGCCACCGGTCTACCCCTGGGGCAAACCCAAGTCGTGCAGCGGTAAAGCCATCGAGGCGCCCAAGTACAGCATGGGCTCTCAGTTCTTCCCGGGACCATACAACCCTCAGCTTTGTAGCGACTACGCCCTTCTCCAGAACGCTGCCAACAAGAAGGCCGGCTCCAAGGCTCAGTGCCAGATGTTCAACGCTTACTACCTGCACAAGAACGGCGTGCCCTTCGGCACTACTTGCAATCTGTTTAGCGCTGACATTAGCCCTCGATGGGCGACCTTCAGCTCTGCCCGGAGCCCTCGCGGCGACAAATACGACTGTAAGCAGAGCTGGACTTACACCTTGAAGCGATACTAGTCGTCGAAAACAATATAGGACCTTAGCTATTATGTTAATAATAATGTTTGTACCTGTAATCTCGTACTTCCGTTAGGGATTTAAATAAGCAAGAGAGTAAAGATTTCTATAGAAATGTTTATAATTCTGAGGTTACCTTCTTTATCCCTAGAGAGCCCTCTTTTTGGTTTTAAAAAGATATTATAAATTCGAGAGAATCTTATAAATGTATTTAAAAAGCAGTAAAAAGAGGATATAGAGGAAATATATACTAAGTAAAATAAGATAATAAATCTCTAAAAAGAAGAAAGAATTACTAAAAAGTAATATTAGTATTAAAAATTCCGACCTCTATATAGTTTTAGAGTTTTATATAGGGCGAGAATGTTATAAATAAATGAATAAATGAATAAATAAGAGTTTGTAAAATAGTAATAGTTTTAGATCTATAAATTTATTTACTTATCTAGGTCTAAGACTATGTAGATGATATCTAGTACCCTAGTATTATAGTAGTAAGAAAAATAATCAAATTTCTTCTATTAAAAGAACCCCCTTCTAGAAAGCTCTTATTTTAGTTCTATTTATAAATTTAAGACTATAAAGATATTAGTTAATTCTTAATAACCTAGCTTTTTCAACTTAATATAATAGTCTTTTAAAAGATCTTAAAATAAATTATCTATATAAAATAAAGCTAGGATTATAGAGGGCTTAGTCTAATATACTAAATAATCTAACTTTAATAAAGTAAAATAGATAATACTTTAAAGTAAAGAGTCTAATAGAGCTAGTCCTATTATAATTTTACGATCTTTACTCTCTATTTATCCTTTCTTTATATTTATCTTATATATAATATAGTTCTTTTCCTTTTCTACTATTATTTGAATTTGAAATAAATTAAAGTATTTAAAAAAAGTTATAGGTTCTATCCTATATTTTAACTAAATAGAATATAGATAAAAGCTAAATATTTCGTAAACTTTTAAGTATCTTACTAATTAGTACTTAGTTATATATAGTTTAATAGACTATTCTATTAAATATAAAAGTTCTTATATTTTACTTTCTCTCTTTCTTCTAATAATTTATTTCCTAGTATTTAAAATAGTAAATCTATTCTTCTAAAGAGAGAATAGTAATTATATTCATCTTAATACCTTTAAAGTATAGTTTATAAGAACTTTTAAAGTCTCTTAAAGTAATAAAGAAACTATATTTAATTAAGAAGCTGAAATATCTTACTTAATTTATTAAGCTTCTAGTATACTTAAAGTATCCTTAAATAAGATGTAAAGTATTATATTTATATTACTTATATATAGTAGTATTTCTTAACTAAAAATATAGAGTATAGAAGTCTAGGATTAAATATATATATTTCTTTTCTAGAGTATAGTTTATTTAAAATTTATTAAGTATTAAAAAGAAGTAAAGAAAGATTTTAGATAAAAAGAAAACTATAACTTATACTTAAAAAAGTCTAAGAGCCTCTTATTATAATTCTATTACTATTTAATATATAGTAAGTTAGACTTCTTAGTCCTATACTTATATTACCTAGTAATAATATACTTCTACTAAGCTAAACTTATACACTAAAAGAGAGCTAATATGTAGTTTTATCTTACTTAGAAAGAGGCTCTTCTATTTTACTATTATCTCTTTATTTATTATTTTTATTATCTTTATTATTTATACTATCTTTATTCTATATTAAACTCTAGAACTATATTAGATATTCAGTCTATTAAGGCTATATTTTTAATATATACTCTACTTAATTACTTTTCTTTAAGTTCGATAATTTTTCTCTTTACTATACTTAGTAAGTATTTTATTATTCTCGTTTTAAATTTCTAAAAATTATTAAGATAATAAACCTCTTTTAAAATAGGTATAAAAGCCTCTTTAGAGTAGAAGTATTATAATTTTTAATTTAAGATTCTTAGGGAGTTATAACCTATTCTTTTAAAACCTTTAAATCTCTAGGAAGATCTTACTTATATTATTTTATACTTTATACTTATATTATCTCTATATTTAATACCTCGTATTAATATTAAAGAATTCCTTTCTTAGAATAATTCTTTAGGTTTTTTACAACTTATTATAAGGGGTTTATAGAGTCTCTACTAAATATTAGGTATAGTTTTATTTACTAGAATAAATAAAGAGTTGTCTACTAGTATAAATATTAGTTTATAGTTTTCGAAAGCTTTAGAGAATTGTTTTCGACTAATATCTAGAGTTCTAGAAATCTACGAGTATTTAGTAATTCTAGTACTTATATATTAAATATATAGAATTACCTTATAAAATTAGTTTCTTTATTTAAGAAACTTTCTCGGCCTTTCTAAGTCTTATTAAATTGAATATAGAGGCCTTTCTAGGGCTAAAGATATATATAATATAAGTTTAACGTTATTTAAACTTAATTTATAAATTCCTTACTTAAATTATCTTATACTTAGTATTACTTCTAAAGAAATTTTTATTTCTTAATAAAAATATTCTCTATACTAATAAAGTAAATAAAAACGCTTTTTAGAAATTAGTAGTATAGTTAGATTAAAGTAAAAAAAGTCTAAAGTTTAAAGTTTATTTTTAAAAAAAACCTTTTAATTATAGAAAGATCTTATCTTTATCTTACTTAAAACTAGGTAATAGTATACTTTAATACTTACTATTACTATTTGGATACTAGAATTCCTTTCTCTTTAATATATATAACTTAAAATAAGAGTACTTTAAGAAATTCTTAAAAGTACGTTTTTTCTAGGACTTTTCTTTAGTATTTACTTCTACTTTTTTTTTTAATTTTCTTTAGATCTATTAAATAATAATATTATAGTTATTATAACTACTAGCTTATTTAAAGTAACCTTTTTATATTAATAACCTAAGTAGTTATTTACTACTATTTAGTTATTCTAAGTATAAAGTAAAATATAATAATTTATTAAACTGAATTATAATCTATTAAAAGCTTTAATAATTTATATATTATCTATTATCTAATATAAAATAAAGTTCTTCTTAGCTTTAAATCTTATAAACTATAGCTAGTAATTAATAGCTCTTTCTATTTTCTTTTAAATTTGTAGTACTATAGTAATTTAGTTTAATATAATAATACTTTTGTTTCTTCCTAAATATACTTTAAAATAGATCTTTCTAAGTTTAGATATTAGTAACTATAAGTTATGTAGATTTCTATTTGTTTATTTAAAATTCTAAGCTCTAAAATTTATTATACTCTCTAATTCCTATAAATATATATTCTAAGCGAGAATATTCTATTTAAAATGTCCTTATAATCCAAACTAGAGTATTATTATAAATAATTATAGAAAATTCTTAATTATAATATAAAAAAGTATTAACTAAACTCTTAAAGTAATTAGAATAGTTTTAAATACTCTATAAGATTTTTAAACTCTAGAACAGAAGAAGAAAGACATTACTAGTATCTTAACTCTCTTATATTTTTATATAAGATTTAATAGTTTTAAAATTGAAGTCTACTAATTTCTAAATCTCTAAGAACTTTCTTTTAAAATAAATCTATTCTTTTATTTATAAGGATTAGAATTATTTTAAACTATAACTTACAAGATTATAATACTAATTTATAACTTAATTTGTTTTTCTTCTTTAAGATTATATTAGTAGATCTAGGATTTGTTTATTAAATAAAACTATAATTACTACTTACTAAATTTTATTCTTAGTTTTAATTTAAATACTATAATAGTTAAGAAAAGTTTATTAATCCTAGTTAATAAAAATACTAAGAGCCGATCTTAAGATTAGTTATTAATATAGCTTATAATAATAAAGAGAATTAAATTTATAGTAAAGGAATATAAGAAGATTAGTAAAAGATAGAGCTAGATATTTATAGTATTTTTAAAGTAGATAGAATAAGAGTTATAAAGCTTATAAGTCTTAAAAAGCTATTTAAGTAATTTTGCTATAGTTTTTTGAATTTAAAGGAGCTACTATTTATTTATATAATACTTTTAAGACTACTTATTATTATATAAATAAGTACTTAATCTATATTATATATATATTAATTTATAGATTATTATTAGAGCTAGTAAAACTACTTACATTAGTATAAAAAGATAAAGTAAGACTATAATACGCTTCTAATAGTATATTAGATATTTAAACTTATATCTAGAGTATATTATTAGATTTAAATTTTAATCTATAATTTAAATAACTAGAGAGAAACTTAAATTAGACGTTTCTAAGCTTATATAGTTAGTTCTTCTAATTTTATAAGAAAAGTATTTCTTTTTTTATTTAGAAGTAGTAGTAATTCTTATTCTTCTTTTTATATATAGGTATTAGTTAAATAAGATAGAGTACTCTAACGGCTTAATTAATAGAAGTAAATAAAATATTCTTCCTCTTTTTTTTATTTAGACTTATATATTTATTATTTTAAAGGATATATTTTATCGAAAATAGATAGAAATATAGTATATAAGTCTTATAGACCTTTTATAAATATATAATATTAAAAATATAGGTGTAAAAGCTTATAATTAAGGGGTATTTTAGAGTAGGACTTAAAATATTAGTTATTAAAGTACTCTATTGATTTTAACTAATACCTACTCTTAGTATATTTATAAAGCTAATTAATATCTCTATTTTAAAAAGAAGAAATTAATAGTTATTTATAACTATAACTTACGAGTCTTAAGACTAACTAGTAGTAAAGTTAATATTAGTATACGTTCTTTATTTATAGTTATAAACTTTTTTGATTTTTCTTATAAAACTTTTCTAAGAAGCTTAAAATCTAGCTTTTAAGAAGAAGGTATATTTAAGAGTAGAAAAGTATAATTAATATTTACTAAGGTTAAAAGATAAGGGTAATTTAGATAGTAGCTAGGCCTATAGCTTTAATTTAACTAAACAAAAGATTGAAGTTAAATAATTCTTTATTTATATATAAAAATCTTAAAGCTAGTAATTAATTTAGCTACTATAAGGTTTTATAATAATATTCCAACCTA